AGCCAGGCAGCAAGGAGGTCATGGGAGGGGAGAGGGGAATCAGGGGGGCGATAAATAACGGCAATGTTAGCAGAGAAGGGTTTGAAAAGGCGAACTGAATGAATTTCAAATGATGGGAAAGAGAGGCAAGGGGTGGGTGGGTAGAGGTTTGGTGAGAGGAGAAACCCTACACCACCACCTTTACATTCAGAGTGTATTGGGTTGTGGGTAAGTTGAAGACCACAAAAGGACAAAGATGCAGGGGTAGCAGTATCAGAGGGGGAGAGACATGTTTCTGTTAAGGCTAGCAACCCTAGGGAACGATAGATGAAGAGGCCGTGGACAGTAGTGGATTTTGTAATATTGCAAACAGAGCGTGCCTTCCAGAGGGCAGTATTGAAGGAGGATTTAGAGAATGAGTAACATGAGATGGGTATGAGATTGGTGTGGTTCCTTGAGTTTTCCAAGATGGGACCGGGGTTTGTAGAGACATCACTAGCTGCTAGGAGCAGACGGATAGAAAGGAAGTGAAGGTGGGAGTAGGATTTGAAAGTTTTGTAGCAGGGTATGTATATAGAGGATTTGGAGGTGGGTTGTGTGTGTGTATATATAAAGATAGATTTAGCTTTGACAGAGAATAACATGGGGAAGATACGGCTCAGGGAGATGTAATGCCGAATAAGATCTATTCCTACTACAGAGGCAAACTGAATATATTACACATTGTCTGCTGTTGGTTATTATACAATACATAATCTTTATTTCTTGAAATAATTCGTTTTCAATATTTATGTCATGTGACAATCTATGTATAATTTTAGTAAGGTTCTCAGTTAATCAAATCTGTGTTATATCTGAGCTATTTGACTTCTTTTGTGATTCTCACGTAATGAGCTTATTTTTAGTAACTGAGAATTTAATTTCATTTTAATAACCTGTATCACATTCCTCGTAATGGATGTCGATTGAGCAGTCTGGCATTACCAGGCCATTCTGTGTACGAATATTGCCAGGTCTCTGAACAAAGTGGTCTGTCTCTCTAGATTAACCCTTTAGTGCTCCTGTGAAACACATGGAAGGTGAAAGCTGCATTCACTAACCCTAAAAATGAAGAGATATTAACCCGTTGGGTGCCATAATTATCTCCAATGTACCTTTTGCACTCTAAGGATTAAACCTGTCACATGTAGTTTATAAGAAAAAACATTCATGAAGGCTTTTTTAGATAATTTTAAAAAAAAATTCTCTATTAAAATGCAGGGATGAAAAAATATGAGCATGTATGTCAGGACCACGTAGGGCATTAAACACCCTGACTAATATTTTGACCATCACATCAAGGTGAACTCACTGAAGGGTCTTACTGCTTTGTACAACATCTATCAAGCCATTGCAATGAAGGGGTGATCGAGGTCTGTGACAATCTCCATGTAGGTGGTATGTGTCCAAATAATACCCATGAATGCCATGACCTAAGGTTCCCCAGCAGAACATTGCCCAGAGCTGCCTCCTTCCTATAGAGCAGTGGTAGTCAACCTTTTTCTACCTACCGCCCACAAATGCATCTTTTTGGTTGAAAAAATTTCCTTAGTTTTCGAGCAAGTGCGGAATATTTTTTAGAAAGGAGGGTGTTTTAAAAAAATAAATAAATGTACGTACATTTATCTTTTTATTTCTACTTAATTCATGTTTATAATGTTTTTAACTTCATAAAGTTTAATGAGAAAACAATAAAGTAAATTGAAATTACCTTTACTAGTGATTAATGAGATCCTTGAGGTTGATCCTGCGAGACTAAATATTTGATATCTGGTTCGATTTTCGTAAGGAACAAACGAAGGTCTCCTTTTTCGGTGATATTCAGACGACTTCTCTGTTTGCGCATAATATGATTTCTCATCTGTGCGTCAGCTCCCCTCCTCTCCCTCCTTAATTCCCCTCCCCACCTTTTCCCCCCCTTTTTAAAATTTTTTTTAACCTTCCTTATAGCAATGCCCAATAGGAAGGCTGAGCTAGATATCCCACTTACTATTACTTACTATAGCCCACTATAACACACAGGCACACATACATACATACAGACAGACACACACACAAGACATACAGACAGACAGACACACACATACATACAGACACACAGACGGGCACACATACAGACACACACACACACACAAGACACATACATACAAACTAACAGGCACACATACATACAGACACACACTCAGACATGCATACAGACACACACATACAAAAACACACATAAGACATACATACAAAGACATATACACACATACAGACAGACACAAGACACACATACATACAAAGACACATACACACACAACACATACATACAAAGACAAGACACACATACATACACACATATATACAGACAGTCACAGACACACACACATATATACAGACAGACAGACACACACACACACACACACACAAGACACATACAAACACACACATACATACAAAGACACATACATAAGACACATACATACACACACATACAGACACATACATACAGACAAACACACACAAGACATACATACAAAGACACATACACAAACAAACTCACACAAAATATTTGAGTCACCCTCCTGTTTCCTACCTTTTAGGTGAAGGAGGGTGACTTTCCCTGGGGTCCAGTGGTGGCTCAGGTGGATGGGAGTCAGAGTTCCCACTCTGACTCCCTCCTCCTTCCTCCCACGCGGTGTGTTAGCTGGGAGGAGTGATGTGCAGTCACTTCCTCCCAGCTCTGTGATGTAATCACAGGGGGCCCGGTTGCACTGTTAAAGCACCCAGTGCTGACCGGGCCCCCTCACAATCCACATCCATCGGGGGGCCCTGACAGCATGGGCCACCCGATGTAACCCCTCTATATGTGGCCCCGGTGGTTTGTCGCGCGGGCCTGGGCCACAAGTGGTGATGGCGGTACCCGGTCGCAGGGGTACCGCTGGCTTGCACCCACCCACCCAATCTCTCAAAATTCAAAAATCCCTACCGCCCACCTGGAATCCTGAAATGCCCACTAGTGGGCGGTAGGGACCAGGTTGACGACCCATGCTATAGAGCATCCTGCTGCCATCTCTTCCCCAGGTAAACAATGCACACAGCTCAATGAAGTGGTCTGGGTGCCAGGTCCCTCTAGTTTTATCCCTGCAGCTGAAAACATAGCAGTTTCAGAGATCCTGCTATGTTTCACTGAGGGTTAATTCAGCCTCTAGTGGCAGTCTCACTGACAGCCACTAGAGGCTGCTTCCGCGATTCTCACTGTGAAAATCACAGTGAGAAGATGCTGACGTCAATAGGAAAGCATTGAGTAATGCTTTCCTCTGGGCATTTTTAATGTGCACGCGGCTCTGGCTGCGCATGCGCATTCGGCTCCACTCGGCAGCCAACGTCGGAGGGGGAGGAGAGGTCACCAGCGCCGAGGGAGCCCGGTGCTTGATAAAGGTAAGTGGCTGTAGGGGTTTTAACCCCTTCAGCCCAGCGGGAGGGGGATTATGGGGTTTGGGGGGACCTAAGGTTTACATAGTGCCAGGAAAACGAGTTTGTTTTCCTGGCACTATAGTGGTCTTTTAAATTTATTGAAAGAACATGGGTAGGATTCAAATGAATGAAGGGCTTGAAATAATACTAGTATCAAATAATGAGAATAATTACATAACTTGACAGAATCAGTGAGCTGTGAGAAACAAAATGCCAGTTAATATTAGAGAGATTCTCTGAAAATTGACTCCTTCTTTAAGGGAACACTATAGACACCCAGATGACGTCAGCTCATTAAAGTGGTCAGGTGCAATCTCCCTGTCCCACCTAGTCCTTTTTAATAAACTGCAATGATTATATTGCAGGACTAAGACTGCCTCTAGTGGCTGTCAATCAGACAGCCACTAGAGGCACTTCCTGCTTGCTAGGCGACCTTTAGTTGCCTAAAGGATGCTTGACGTCCTCACGCTCTGCATGCTTTCATATGGGGAGGGCCTTATGCGACTGCAGTGCTAGCCGTGCATGCGTATTAGCTCCTCCCTCCTCCCCCCACCTCCCCCATTCCCCCGATGGATGACGTCAGAGGAGATAGGAACGGGAATAGGGTGAATAAATAAAGTTGTTTTTTTAACTCTTTCCAAGTCTCGGGGAGGGGGGCAAGAGGGAGCTGTAGTGCAAGGAATAAAGATTTATATTCCTTACACTATAGAATAACATAAACCTAATTTTACCCCAGTTGTGACTTCTTAAAGGCACATGTTTTAGCACGATTCTAGATTCTTATAAATATGACATTTGATTTTGGCACTGTTTTGACAGTCTATCTCAGTTTGGAGAGTAATACATTCTATAGCGTTATTTACTAAAGCAGTAACTGTGGAGTACAGTCAAAGACATGGCAAATTATAGTTTAAAATATCCAACTAGAAAACGATGACGATAATAATTGTCTCACCACTTGTTACTACAAAGTGAGACAACCCCACGACAATGAAAATATAAAGCCAACAGATCAGTACAAAACAAAAAAACATGAACATCTCAATGAGATCCAATGGTGGTCATTTGGGAAAAAAAAGGATGAAGCACTATAAGGTCTGTTAGCTTTTGAAATGTATTTAAAGAATATTCCTACCCCAGCCCAGAAAGGTGATATTAGTTGGGGGAACAATGTACAATGGATGCATACAGGTTATCTTACTGTGATTTCCAGCAGAATTAGCTAAATTGCACATAATTGCCCTAAGTGAGAATGCAGGAACCTCTGAATCTCAGTATCTCAGGTGTAACTCTAGCAGAATGTCATAAGCAGGGGGGCCAAAAGTGTTGGCAGGGTTGGGGTTTCCTTGCTTGTTTTAAGATTAATAAGAGATGGCATAGAATGACTAAGGCTGCCTGGTTCCACTTTAGCTTGTATGGGCTGTAATCACAGCTGTGTTAGTGGATGAGTGAGTTGGGGGGGAGGTTCCTGTATCAAACCTGCTACAGAGAGCAGATCAGAGAGCATTCACACAGCTGGTCTACAAACTCTCCCTGCAAGTTTGTATCCAGCATCTCTCCTCTCATCCTGCAAGTGCTGGACCGGGATGCTGGCTGCAGGAGCTATGGACCCACGAAAAAGGCATCAGGATTATTTGCATTTCATTTTCACCTTCCTTCTGATGCCACACAGCCTTCTCTGCCAAGGGCAGGCTCCTGGGGTAATTTGGGACACGCTGGTTAAAGATGGTGTTATCACAGGTGGAAATGTTCAAGATGACCCTAATTTCCCTGCTCCAAAAACTATGGGCGACCAGAAGGACGTTTTGAAGAAGTTGAAGGATTTTGCTTCTGAGACAATTATTAGCTCACAAGCAGCAATATCTGAGCTACAGCGTGGTGGAGGTGGAGGAGGAGGTGGTACTCCAGCTACTGACCAAGGAGACATTAATACTGCTGTTAATTTACAGATCCTTAGGCAAAACCTCCCTTTTTATTTGTCACCTGTCACCACCAAGTCATCTCTTACCCCATCCAGCACAGAGCCCATGTCTTCTGCCCATCATATTCCCCCTTCCAGTGGCTTGCCCCTAGTCACCCCTTTAGTTATGACTCCTACACTCAAGTCTTCTAATGGGGCAAAAGAACATTCCATAGTCTCCACTACTCCCAATATAAACCCAGTTCCCGACATCCTCAATTCAGAAATTACCCCTACCCCCTGTAACTCCCCAACCCCTTCTACACCCTCACACCCTTATCCATTCTTCTCATCTTCTAAAGGTTCTAAAGAAGTTCTTGTATTGTCCTCCATGGACCTCCAGGCTGCCTCCCACCGCACAGCTCGCTCACTGAAGCCCAGATCTATCTCCTCTTCTTACACCGTGAGGGTACCTGCAGGGGGCGCCCTGGGGGAGACCATCTTTACTGTCCCAGACAGTAGATTCAGGGGCAAGTGGTTTGAGGTCAGCTGGCCCTCAGACCCCCCAGTGAGTATAGAGAGTGGCTCTGGGAGGCTGTACCTGACCAGAAAACTACAAGGAGGACAGATAGAAGTCCAAGTCAAAGTACACAACCTGGACCAAGGTGAGTGGATACCGCATGTAGCAGGGGTGGCCAAAATATACACCCCCATCTCTAGTAGAACCTCAGCTCCCATTATGCGTTCACATCCTTAAAGATGGCAAAGCATTAAATGAGTTGTATTTCAACAACAAGAAATGTTCCCTTTAGCCTCCAGTGGCTACACAGGTCACTTAAATCAGTGGAAACTTCACTCTCTTGACTCTTTGTATACAAATGTATCAAGTCAAATTTGTGACCAGTCTGTATGTATGACAGCCATGTGTATCATATATGTCATTTAGGTTTAATATAGGTACAAGTTATTCTAACCTTGTCTGTTAAACCAGTGTTTCCCAACCCAGTCCTCAAGGCACACCTACCAGTCCAGGATTTAGGGATTACCAAATTGTGTCTAAGTTGTTTTTTTTTCTTCTTTGTAAAAACACCTTAGACACAACTGGGTAATCCCTAAATCCTGGACTGATAGGTGTGCCTTGAGGACTGGGTTGGGAAACACTGTAAGTTAAACCATTACAGTTCACATCAGTTACATCTCTAATAACTCCTATTTATTTATAGCTAAAACTTTGAAAGTGTCAATCATATTTCACAAATCACATTGTAATATGTCACATCCCCATTCATTGCCCAGGCTTCATGGCACCAACATGTTCTATAGCGCTGTACAGCGGTCTGGTGGAGAATAACATAATTTTTTTGTAAATTTGGTAATGTAATGTGAAATGTCATAGTTTGACTAAAACCTGGTATATTATAGCTGTGATATGCCTCATTTCACAATACAAAATAAATCAAATATCTACATTTTCCCTGCGTTGATGCCCTGTCATATTAGCAGAGTAACTCCTAGTTTCTCTTTAGAGCCATCTGACTATTTAATGCACAATGAGAGTGATATAAAAATGGAGCAATCTCACACAGCTAGCTTTAGATGAGACAGGCTGATGGAGAAATTCAATACACTCCAGTAATATAATAATGTAGTATTTGCCCCTATTTTATACATAATCTAAGATAAAATAAACAAATAATAATTAGATCACCTTTTTTTGTCTAAGAGATGCATTCTGGCGCAAATCTTTTAATACATAAATTCAGATATTAATTGTGAGATAATTGCACCACCTCTCAAATAAACACTTTTTTATTTTTATTTTTTATAATTCTTTATTTTTGCAGTGCATGCTCATATAACATTCACATATGAAGGTACCCCAACGGCATTCCTTCAATGCATTTCAGTCGATTGTAACATATAGGTACATGGTGAAACTTGCACAGTTTTATATTTATGTATACTGGAACAAATTATATATCAAGAACCGCTGAATAACAACAAGGTACATTAATAACAGATTAAAGCTATAACAGTTATTGCTGTGGAAGGTGTACAGGGTTAAGCTAAAAGATTGATTAGCGTACGTGTAAGACAGGTACACCCTTATGAGGTCAAGTAGCTGGGCTCAAGATGATTATGAGCGTTCTAACACAGCAAGCCTACAGGTTGTGTGGTCAGTATTGGCTATTTCTATGTGTGCCGCTAAACACTTTTATCCTTATTTTCCAACAGGACTGATAACATTATATTTATTACCTGTGATGTACTAAATGTATATATGTGTGTGTGTGTGTGTGTATATATATATATATATATATATATATAGTTTGTATATTGTATTTTTGTAATATTGCATCAATGCAATGTTTTGTGGATCCGGGACATACTTGAAAACAAGAGAAATCTCAATGTATCCATCCTGCTAAAATATTTTATTAATAAATAAATAATAAATAAATATATATCACAGTATGCGTAAGCATGCGTGGGATAGGCATAAGGCTATCCTAACTATAAGATAAGGCTAGGGACTAATGAAAGTATTTAGAAAATTGGGCAGACTAGATGGGCCGAATGGTTCTTATCTGCCGTCACATTCTATGTTTCTATGTTTCTAAGTATCCAACCTTTTTGTAACACAGTAATTTATATATTAGATTATAAAACCCACTCCATTATTATAATAACAATTAATATTGACAGCGCCAGGTACATTGCTGTACACATATATGTACCATGTTCAGAAAGATTGGGGTAACTAGGGTTAGGGGTCTTTAGGATTAGGGGTGTTAAAGTTAGGGGGCTTGGGGTGAAGATGCTGTGAGCATATATATTCTGTATTTCTAAACTGCTGTGTTCACACTCATCACTAATTTCATAACCCTTACTCTCTTTAAAACTAATCTTCCCTTTACTGTGGATTGTAGTCCCATTTGTTTAACCCCTTAAGGATACATGACATGTGTGGCATGTCATGATTCCCTTTTATTCCAGAAGTTTGGTCCTTAAGGGGTTAAGGCTGTCTGAGAATGATGGGACGTACAGTATACCACCTCCACTGTTCACAACATCTGCTGTCAAGGAACATACATTAAAGTGAATGCAAAGTGATTTCATATTGAAGGTTAAAGTCGTTGAACGCATACATGAGTTAGAGAATATTTACAGTTTGGCTATTTTTTTCTTTGAATTTGAAATCCACATTGAATTCTCACTTTAGTTAATAGTCCGGTGTACGTAGCATTAGGACAATGATAACATCCCTATATTAACATGAACTCTTTTAAATTCACTGTTCTGAAAGTAATGCTTCAATAATTAATAAATAAATAAATGATTGTGATAGGATATCCCTTCACCAAGCTGACACAAAAGCTTGACTGAGGTTAATATGGGTTGAGATCCAAAAGGACCTAGAGAACACAGGATACAATATATCACCACTGCATCACTTTCAGCCTATATTAACCTAATATTTTGCAATTTTCCTCTTTAATAAAATCTCAATTCAATATTAGTAAGGTAATATTGCTTTATATCCAATCTGAGTCATCTGAGCAAAATAACCAGCAACGTTTCCAGTATACATGGACTATGTACCTTTGAAAATATTACTGCAATGGTAACAGTTCCCTGGTTCCTGAAAAAAATTGTTTTCAATACCTGATAATTCTTAGTTTAGTGACAAATCCATATAGGGTTCATTCACCAGATAGTATATTGAAAACCCCATTGAAGAATTTAGACCAAAGTAGTAGCTGATAGGGTGAAATTATCAAACTCAGCTGTAATTGATGTTTGACTATTTTAGCCTGAATTTTGCAATTCTGTTTTCAATTCACTAGAATTTACTGTTTATTGAATACTCCTCCTTATTCATACAGTTACTTGTGGCAAATTGTGCAAAGCAATGCAAAATGTTTTCCAGCCTGTGTATACATGAGATTGGAGAAATATAGATTAATAATCAGGATACTTGACATATATGTGTGTCTTTATTAACAGTGAATCTTCCTGGCATTAAATAACAAGCAGCTAAGAAACTATTATTACTGGGATGTTAGTAAAGTGAAAAGATTTCGCCTACTCTGTTTTGTAGTTTATTTCTGGATTATTTTGGTGTATTTGTAGCTGGTCTTTCCTTGTTTTAAGAAATCAATACTGAGGGTATTAAGAATTCCTCAACAAAAAATAAAAAAAGCAATCCACGTAAGGAGGCATTCCTTTCGATATGATGGCAGACCATTCTTGCCAAGGGCTATGATCTCTAGAAATACAGTATCCTGTGCGTTAATGACAGTGTATCGACAGCTTTCCTACCCCCAGGGAGGGACCTTTACCAAACTCTGTCGTTCAAGGTTACATCTGATTCACCAGCTTTTTGTACCATTCCCCATCACAAGGTGCAATATCCTTAGGGCTCAACTCACAGGATTATTCTACGGACCGCGTAGACACCAGACATATACTAATTTGATATATATAAGGAATGGAATTAAAGTTTAGCATCTGATTGTTGGGATTCAATATGAATTAGCAGAAGAGACTAACAACTGATCACAAATGAGAATCCTTTATCCAAACGTAACAATGAAACCATGTTTCTATTTCTCCTCTTCATTTGCAATGTTTGCCTTGGATTTGCCTGGTCTAAACTGGATTATGATGTAATTTGCTAAATCATTAATATAATGTTTAAAAAAAAAAGAAAGTGTCTTATAAAAAAGGTTAAAGGGACCACATCTCATTGAAGTGGTCTGTGTGCGGTGTCACTGTCCCCTTAACTCTGCAATGTAAAACATTTCAGAGAAACTGTAATGTTTATATTGCAGGGTTAATGCTTCCTCTAGTGCCTATCTTCCAGACAGCCACTAGAGGCGCTTGCTGCTGTTTCACAGAGTTTAACTCTGTGAAACGACTTTGAACTTCCTCACGCTTTGCATGAGGACATCCAGTGACTTCCAAAACTCCATTGGAAAGCATTGACCCAATGCTTTCCTATAGGGAAGGTCTAATGCGCGTGTGGTGCTCGCCGCACATGTGCATTAGATTTCCCCTTTGGTGTGACTTTGTGGGAGGAGAACGATCCAGCACCAAGTTAGTTAAGTATTTGGAGTTTTTTTTAACCCTTTATTTGCTGGGGACCACTGGTAAGGGAAAGGGACACTATAGCATTAGGAATACAGTTTTGTATAGTGTTCCTTTAAAACAAGATATAAGTCATAGTCAGTGGTGTAAAGACCAATCAAGTAACAGTTCCCCACTTAAGGATGGCTGAGCATCATGGGAAGATCTGATGTGTCAAGGTTAGCCAAGAAGAATATTAGATTTATGCTGGCAGCTCTTGCCGTCTTGTGGAATTCTTGCTATTTTTATTTATTTATATTAGTGAGATAGATTGAGTTGTCCACTTCACTCAATTATTCTTGGCCATTCGTTTTCTGATATTTTGTGAGTCTGTCGCAGTTCATTAAATCACATTCATCCCATCTGCTTTGGTATTTGTTAGAAGTTCCACAACTTGATATAGTTTTGTCCCCCCATTTTTTTTTTTTTTTGAGAGCAGACAATACATATTATGCTTACAAAAAGGTAACATAACTCATCATTGTCAAATAATCTTTTTTTTGCTTCAGGAACTACCCTAAACCATTGCATAACGTTGGATAGGGGACACCTTAGATGGGCTCTGGGAAAACATTAATACTTTGTTACAAATCTAAAATTAGGGGAAAAGGCAGAGCTGGTTTCTAAAATAGGGCCAGAGACCACTTTACTAGGAAGGGTTCTGGTAATCTGGATTATTATAAAACAGCACAGGACTTTAAATAATATTGCCAATAAGTATGAATTCTGTGTTTTGATGTACAGTTCTCTGGTACAGAACATGTTCCATAGCAGGAGTTTCAAATCCAGTTCTTAAGGCACACCGACAGTCCCTGATTTAGATATTACCCATTTTTGTTTCAGTAGGGATATTGACAAAACCTGATATCTAGTTATATAGCATTACATAGTATTATCATGTATAGCTTGGTAAGCAAGGCTCAACATTTTGGGAAACTATGGGATTATTTATTTTATTATTGCAATGATAAAAAAAGTGTAACTCATTTTTAATTTTATTTATTAAATGCAATAATTAAATATAGACAAAGTTGTTTTTTTTTGCCTACCAGTCTGGCTTATGATTATTTTGCAAGGTTATTTTGTACTAAAAAATTTGTGAAATAATCTCAGCGACGCCATCTGATTGGTGCAGTGCAGCATTTTGCCATGCATGTGCATTAGCCTGCCAATGTTTTCCTATGGGAAAGCATTGGATTGGCTGAGATCATTGATAAGGAAAACTCAAAACAGACAAACAAAGACAAACAAAGACAAGCAAAGAAGTGACTGATGCTGACATGACTTCCTACAGCACAGCTATATGCTATACGCACAGCAAGGGTTTCTGTAATCTGTAGTTCAAGATTTTACAGCAAGAAGTTTACTGTAGAAAGTTAACAGCTGACGTACAATTTTTGGAGCAAAAATGGAAACTCTGCATACTGGGAGAAAAATCACACGTAACGACCTTATGGCTCAAAACAAATGATTAAATAAAAAAAATAAAAAATAAAGACCAGTTGAAAACATAACTAGCTGTTGGCTATGCCAAGTCAATGATATTTAACCAGTTCTTAAATCACAGAGTCCCACAAGCATTCTCACCTGTAATCTTAACATAATTGGCAGGTTTGGTACAAACCAAGTAAGCTGTGAGAGGATGCTACTCAGTATCACTGTGTGATGTGATATCCATTGTACTCCAGAAAACAGGATGATGCTTTAAAATTATGTCACCCTCTCTGAATGTTCCTGAGCTATGAGCTGGCAGACGGCACTCTTAATGTATGCTCACAGATATACATTACAAAGTATCTTTGTTCACATGAGCTCAGCGAAAGCCCAATTTAATTAGACCTTCAATGGGTTCATTTGGCCGAGAAAATGGACTGCGATGCGAGATTTGCTAGGAACCAAAAAAGAGAATACACATGCTAACCTTATGAGATTAAATCAAATATCTCTTACTAATCCTAAATCTGTCCAGATCTCATTGAGGCCACGCTGTCTGCTCATCAGAAGAATAATGCTTCTTCAGCTGAATGGAACTCACCGTCATTGCTACGGAAGAGGACTTTGACTGCTCAAGCTTCATGGGATTAAACAAGATTTTCCAATTCCTTTCCCTTTGTTAGTTTCTTTTCAACTCTCAGGTCTCCATATGTCACTGCTGCCTGTGTTTTTTCTTTTTTCTGGTATTGTTACTTTTTATATATATATTTAAATGGATTAGATGGCACGTACACATCTTAGTCCATTCATTTTACCAGGACTAGAATGAAATTCAAAACTAATTTCGCAGCTAAATTCTATTCTTAATCATTATGCATGAATTGTAATAATTTAGATTTTTCGAAGGTAGCTTGCGCCAGAACTAGCCATATTTTATGAATGACAATAAGAAGATATTCTAAACCAGGGGTCAGCAATCTATGGCACTCAATGCTGCCAGAGCCAAGCAGGCTCCAGCAGGAGTTCCACTGGTACTTCAGATATCTGCTAGTGCAAACCGAGCTGTGATTGCAGGTGTTCCTCAATGTGCACATTCAAACTCTTAAAGGGAAGCGATGGAAATGCACACTGGAGTAGAGCAGCCATCAGCAGCTATCGTAGCTCCTGCCCTTGAGCTGTACCTGGACAGCCTGGTCTCCACTGGACTCCAGGGAAGCCACCCACACTGCTAGATGTACACAGAGCTGCAGAATTATCCTCCCCCTCATACAAATACTAAGCACACAAGTCGACAAGAAGCCTTTCACAGGCAATAACACAGACAATAATTTAAGGTAATAAAAATTTTAAGGTAATTTAAACAAAAAAACAAAACATTCAGCTGCTTTGTTGAATACCGGTGACTCATATGATGGTTAAGCTTTCAATATATATTTTTTTTTATTAACAAGAGTACATAAAAACATTTTGCTCACACATTTTTACAGCATATATAATCTGTTATGTGTAGCTGAAGCTCAATGTTCAATATTGTTGACAAAGAATTATCCATGATGTGTGCAAACACAAGTATTGGAAATGGCGGGATAGGTCAATTATCCCTTCCCAGAAAGATACCCACAGTCATGAAGGCGTGTCATTTCTAAAATCATGTTTTACTGATTAAGAATAGAAAATTAAAACATATTTAAAAGAATTTGCTTAAAACAATTACATATCATCAAGAATATGGAAAAATATAACCAGAAAGACCTTTACTGAATTCATATTTTTGTGAAAAATAGCATATTTATATGTATTGATAGGTGAAGTTATGTAGGTTAAATAGGCATAGATTCTACTAATGCATTTTGCCTAAAAAACCTGCATGGTTTAATGTATGCTTCCTTAAGGAGCATGAAAGGCCATGTATCCTAGATTTTCTTTGTTTCCTGTGCTTTTGAGCAATAAAAAAAAGTTTGAATTTTTTTTTATAGTTGTGGTGTTTTTTCACACTATTTCTTGACCATGTAGTCATTTGCTGAGTGGTAATTTATATCGTGTTTAATTTATATTCTGTCATGCTTGTAGAGAGTGACTGGTACCTGAGCCACATAACAATTATTGTTCCAAAAGAAGAGAGTCTAGAATGGAGCATGTATCCCTTCCCTTACCTGGCAAGGGTTAACCCCGACGCACCAAGAGGGACTTTTGTGTATCAGCTGTCAGCCCATTATTATAATGATGAAAGATCCAGCAATGAAATCTCTTACTACATCATGGAAGGTAAGCAATATTTTTTTATTTATTTTTTTGCATTTTTTGCATAGCACTTTGAACTTTATGGATAGGGGTATTTGCTAAAGTATGACTTATCGTAAAGAGAACTCCGAGCTGCAGACCAAGATTGCCGAACTGACTCGGAGACTGTATCCAGTCTTTCAGTTACTAGAACACAACATTTGAATTTCACTGTGAATTTCCTACAGTTCTAACTTTAGGGAATACTCCTTTTTATATTCATATGTATCAACCTGCTCAGCAGCTTATTGTTTAATTAATAAAACAAATTCTAGCTAACTTAGGTTTCTGTTGGGCACGATGGGGTTTCTTCATCATCAAGCAGTTGAAAGAAATACTTTAACTTATTTAGCAGTTTATCCCCTTAAATACATACAAATAGGTGGAGTTTCTTGGTTCGTTGATGCAAAGTAAAATTTAATATTAAATGAGAACTTGGTATCACAGTCGTACATTGAATAAAGAGTAAGAGACGTGAACAACTACACCCAAAAAAGAGTGTCTGACATTTGTAGGTAGTTCAGTAAATTCTGACGGCAGCTGCTCACCGGCAATCGCGATGGGGGGACTTGCTTATCCCCTTTATCCCCTTACCTGGGTACCCGTCGGGTTCCGATGCTCCTTGGTTGTCCAGTGATCCACTTACAACTTTTGCACAGCTGCAGAAGCCAGAAGCCGCGGCAGTCGACATTCATTGGTTGAGAAGAGTATCCGCTTACCGCTCTCAGCCTATGACTGAAATTCTGTGCAGCCACTGCAATGACCTGATAGTAGTTATAGTACTTGGATTGTCCCTGTAATCATTTGAGATAGAGAGACCAGAAAGTGATAGGCGATGCTCCTGGAAAGTCTTTTTGTATGTCAGCTGTGAAATCTTTTTAAATCATGGCTATTGTGGTTAGTTTGTACACAAGGCTGACATTAGTAACTTTGCTTCACACCTGTGCAATGAAATATACCTTTTAAGAGTGTTGGGCTCCATGAACTGTTTGGCATAGCACATTGCTACCAGGTTTTACAATCTATTCTACTCCTTCACTTTGTAATTCTGTCCTATGGTCAATACAGGTTACAAATGTATAATTTTATAATTGTTAATGTGCACGAGAACACACAAAAAAAATATATATATATATTCATGCTGATCTCTTTAAAGGTGGTGACCAGAGATTTGAGATTGCTAAGGATTCTGGTGTTATCAGTACCTCTGGGTTACTGTTGATGTGGAATAAGGAATATACTCTCACAGTCCAAGCCGCCGACCGGCACGGAAAGAAGAGCCCACATGCCTCTATTTCCATTTTAGCTGGGATTCGGCCTCCGCAGTTTACAAACATTTCTTACAATTTATTTGTTCCTGAAAGCACAAGTCCTGGGAAAAAGTGAGTTTAACTCTCTATGCATTATAGTAAATGTATTTATTGTAACATTTTATGGTCTATATGAAAATAATAAAAACTATTATATCTATAATTTTGTGCATTAATAAATTGCAGATGAGCATCTAGTGTCAATTAATCACTCTCAGACAGTGAGTTAAGCCCGGCACCACTGGGTTTGTCTTAGTGAAGCTCTCACTGTAGGTGTATAAAAACATAGAAACATAGAATGTGACGGCAGATAAGAACCATTCGGTCCATCTAGTCTGCCCAATTTTCTAAATACTTTCATTAGTCCCTGGCCTTATCTTATAGTTAGGATAGCCTTATGCCTATCCCGCCCATGTTTAAACTCCTTTACTGTGTTTCGAGAAAGAGGAGGAGAGACCCAGCTGTACCCAGCAGACCCAGGTAAGAAGTCAAACTGTTATAAAATGGTTTGTCTTCATAAATGGGGGTAAGGGAGGGCCAAGGGAACTAGCACCATAAATACTACAGCACAGCATAGTAGATACTATGCTCCTTTAAAGTTGCACACAAACAAAATGGACAGCAAATCAGCTGGCTTAATATTGGGTTGGTACTCACTCAGGGTTTAAAGGAACACTTTAGTGACGGAATACCAACATGTATTCCAGACACTATAGTCTTAATGGACCAATTCGCTGGCTCAGAGCAAATGCTGGGCTGGAAAGGGGAGGGAAAGAGGGAGTATTTTATTAAATAATAAATCTTGTATCATCGTTATAAGCCCTGTGCTGTACACATAACAGTAAGCATAGACGAAGCATATAGAAAAAGGAGAAAGAAAATAAGGGGAGTGCCGTATAAAAAAAAGTGTCTGTATAATAATTGGTGCAAATATGGAAAAGGGGCGGAGTCTCCATAGCAATATGCCTGCTGGTTCCACTTGTTTCCACGGTGACTGCGCCACACCAATTTTCAGAACTCAACATTTTTATGCAGTTCCCCTGGAAGGCACATAATGGCATTGTACTTCCCTTCATTCTGTAATTATTCATAGTATTGTACCTGCCTGTGTAGAAGTTTACATATTTGTCTAAATGTCTAATTTCTCAGTCATTTAAAAAGTCCAAATTAATGTTTGTGGATATTTGATCTAGATCTTTGTGATTGTCTATATACAGGATAACTATAGTGGAAGCAGTGTCTTTTCAAAGCACGCCAATCACCTATACTTTGTTGGTGAATCCAAGTGGACTGTTCGCTATAAACCAGGAGAGCGGAGAGCTGAGTCTCACCCATGAAGTGGATTACGAGAGTGAACATCACCTTTATCACTTGCTGGTGAAAGCCCTGGAAGCAGACAGCGGTCTTAGCAGTATCACTGAGGTATTGCATCATTATTATTACATTATAGGTGCACTACAGTCACCAAAACAACTTTAGTTTAAAGGGACACTATAGTCACCCAGACCACTTCAGCTCAATGAAATGGTCTTGGTGCCAGGTCCCTCAGGTTTTACCCTTCACATGCAAACATAGCAGTTTCAGAGAAACTGCTATGTTTATATAGCAGAGTTAATCCAACCTCTAGTGGCTGTCTTCCTGACAGCCGCTAGAGGCGCTTCTGCAACACTGGATGCAAAATTCACATCCAGCATGCAGAACGTCCACAGGAAAGCATTGAGAAATGCTTTCCTATGGACTGTTAGAATGCTCGCGCGGCTCTTGCCGCGCATGCGCATTCCGCTCCACTCGGGAGCTGACGTCGGTGGGGGAGGAGAGGTCACCAGCGCTGAGGGAGCCCGGCGCTGGATTAAGGTAAACTGCTGAAGGCGTTTTTACCCGTTCAGCGCCACGGGAGAGGAACCCTGAGGGTGAGGGTCCCCCAAAGATGACATAGTGTCAGGAAAACGGGTTTGTTTTCCTGGCACTATAGTGATCCTTTAATGAAGCAGTTTGTGTGTAGAGATCATGCCTCTGAAGTTTCATTGCTCAATTATCTGCCATTTAGGAGTTGAATCACTTTTGTTTCTGTTTTTGCAGCCCTGGTCACACTTCTCCTGACTATGACTGACACAGACAGTATGAAAGCAAAATGGTTGCATTTTCAATCAGATATTAACTTACTGTAGAAGTTTTTATCTCATGCTCTGTAAAATGAACTTACAGAGAAGCCCCTACAGTTCACATACAGGAAGCTCCTGCAAGTTCTAGCAAGCTATTACCAGTGCAGGAGATAAGACATTATAAATTAAACAGAATTTGCAATAAAGGAAGTGTAAACATTAGATGACTCTTTACAGGAAGTGTGTAAGAAGGCTGTGTGAGTCACATGCAGGGAGGTATGACTAGGGCTGTATAAACAAAGTGATTGAACTCATAAATGGCAGAGAATTGAGCAGTGAGACTGTTAGGATACGATCTGTACACCAAGACTGCTTCATTAAGCTAAAATTGATAGGTGACTATGGTGTCCCTTTATATTAGTAACCATATCAGGTTACTGGCAACTGGAATGCGCCATGGAATGAATGTCCAGACTGGAGATCCCCCTGCTGTTATCATTTCTATAAATTGAATCTTCTTTGAGCCTGTTATGAGAACAAAATATTGGATGATTATCTAATTTTCTACCTTTTGTTCCCCAGTCTTTTGTAGCATCAGTAATTTATATAAAGAATAGTTTTAAAGGTGTCCCCTTAAAAGGGGGAATGCAAAAATGTAACTGTCACTCAGCTTTTGAGAAAGTGCGAGATGCACAAAATACATTTGGCTAATTCCTGTACCTCTTTCTCTGTTATCCAACAATATATATTTGCAAGATGGAATAGAGTTGTAATTTTGTTACTCTTTACCCTGGGCTGGAGGCTATGTTTTTGTGCCCTTGCAAACAAAAATCAGAAAAGAGCATATAAATGCTGTATACTCACCCCCTAATAACAGTAATTATAAACTATAAAATATGGAGGCACTCTAAAAGAGAGAAGGAATGGAAAGTGTCAGCCTTAAAGCTAGGAGATGAACACAAGTGGAGGGTAGCGGGAGGAGGGCAGGATTCTAAGACAATATAATCCTGAATATTAAAAGTGTAGTGATAAATAAAATACTAGAACCCATATAATTCTTGTATTATTTTGATTTCCTTCCAGGCAATGATCCATATCACGGATGACAATGACTGTTCTCCAGAATTTTTGAGATCCATTTATAGCCAGGAAAACATCCTAGAAAACGTTTCTGTTGGTACATCTGTGTTACAAGGTGTGTGGTTATGTTATTGATTTTGTGGAACTGCGTCAGATCCAACTTTGCCATGTTGTAAAGCATGAAATATGAAAGATGCACATTCCTGTAAATGGGTTTCATCCATCAGTGGGCTGATCTTGCTTATTATTTCTTATCAGTTCTAGCACAAGACTGTGACTCTGGATCCAACTCTGAAATTTCATACTTCACTCAGAGTGCAGACTTTTCCATTACTCTACAAGGCATCATTCATTCTAGCCAAAGACTGGATTATGAACGCCCCAATCACCTGTATGAGTTTGTGGTCATAGCCATTGACAAGGGAAATCCTCCAAGAACAGGAACCGCATCTATTCGCATTCGCATGGCCAATGTTAATGACGAAGCCCCAGTTTTCTCCCAAACTGTGTAAGAATATTCCATAGTATTTTATTCCCACATAACATGTTCTTTTTTATTGACTAGATGTTCTAAGTGTAGATATGACTTTAGTCTTATCTCTCAACTATGTAATAACTTGTTGGACTAATTTATTGTTGATTTTTTTAATTTTTTATCATCAGTCTATTATAGGAATTGTGCTTATATGAATATCAAGTCAAAACATTCCCACCATAACCCAGTTTCTGGAAAATCATAGTATCCACAGCGCAGGTAGGCAACGTACGGTACTCCAGATGTTGTGGACTACATCTTCATTAATGCTTTGCCAGCATTATAGCTGTAACAGCATTATGGGAGACAGAGTCCACAACATTAGGGGAACTGAAGCCTAACCTTGATCTATGGCCATAGGGTACTTATGTAGATCTTTGCACACTTCAGGCAGAGGGTGTAGAAAGAAAGAACAAAGTCGATACAAACACTAAAACTAGGGAACTTGATGTGTTCGTGAATAGAGATGTTTATTCTGTTTATTGTTCCTTATGCCTTGTAACATTACAGTGCTTTTTTAACATGGCTTATCACTGCCGTGGAAACATAAAAGTAGGACTTAACAATCTTCTGTTGAAAATGCTTAAAACCCATTAACAGGACATTACAAAGGTTATGTGTATAGACTGGAAGAAAGGAGATTTAGTCTAAGGCAAAAGAAAGGGTTTTTACAGTAAGAAAAAGGATGTGGAACTCTCTGCACGAAGGGGTGGTTTTATCAGAGTCCGTACAGATGTTTAAACAGCAATTGGATAAATACTTGCAAAAACACAATATACAGGGATATAATTTTCATTTCTGGGGTAAAAGCTACTTTTTCCAAGGATAATATAACTCCCATTCTATGGTCAAGAAGGAATTTTTTCCTAGTTTGTTGCAAAATTGGAAGTGCTTCACACTGGATTGTTTTGCCTTCTTTTGGATCAACAGCAAAAACAGATGAGAGAAAGGCTGAACTCGATGGATGCATATCTTGTCAGCTGTGTAATTATTTCTCTTTGTATGAGAGCAAATAGGAGCTTTGATGCTGTAAAGTGAAAGCAACAATTCCAGTCTACCTACATGCATTTTACACTGGCACACACGTTTATGAACAGATAGTTAATAAAAGAATATGGATCACGTCAAAATATTTCCTCTTATGACTTCTGTTTTATAATAAGGTCGCAAAAGAGATATAAGACCATTTCATGTAAGTTTGCAGATGGTCTTGTATCTAATTAAGCACTGATAAACTGGGACTGTAGTTTTATAATTTATTATTTACATTTACTTAATTTATGAGAATGTAAAGTTTGTCAAACAGTTTTAAATCTAAAAGGCTGTAAACTGTAATCCGTAGTCAAACATAATTCTACTAGGTCATCGTACATGACTGTTATTTTTCAATTAAATTATTAAATGAAGCCAATTTGATCTCTTTGTACATATTGATTCCAGTTATAACACCTTCCTCTCTGAAGACGCTGGACCCAGCACTTTGGTGGCAACCATTCACGCAATGGATCCTGATGGAGACATAGTTTCTTATTTCATTGTTGGAGGAAATGAGGAGGGCAACTTTGAATTGGACAGCCAGAAAGGTACCCCAAATATCTTCATAATTTAGCATTTTAAGGTCATCAGTCTGTATTTAATAAAATGATAATTTGAAGACCAAAAGACACTCTAGAAAAATCATCATGGTCTTCAGTAACTTTGACTGCTTTTTGGATTCCATACACAGCCCAGTCCTGATATAAATGAACCCTGTATATCTAATATTGATACAGTATACCATGATAGGCTTCATATTTTATAAATATTGCATCTATACTTCTTTTTTAGGCATCTTAAGACTGCGTAAAACACCTCCGCCTAATTTGACAAGACTTCAGTATGTATTAAATATTTCTGCGGTTGATGACAACTCCTCAGACGGACCAATACCGTTAAGTAGCTTCACTCAAGTTATTGTGGGAATAAATGATGTAAACAACAACAAACCCATCTTCGAAGAGGTGAACTCAAAGTGCAGAATTTAATTATATGTTTATTTTATTCGTAATAAGCGCCAGACAGGACTGTTCTCAAAGTTTTGCTATGTTATTTCTATTTATTACATATTTTTATATTTTGAATAAATTATTTAAAAAGCTTATCCAAAAATATTAAAGGAACACTATAATCACCTAAATTACTTATTATAGATCATTCCCCTGAAATTTCACTGCTCAATTCACTGTCATTTAGGAGTTAAATTTAATCACATACAGGAGGCTATTGCAGGGTCTAGCAAGCTATTAACATAGCAGGGGATAAGAAAATCTTAATTAATCAGAACTAGCAATAAAGAAAGCCTAAATAGGGCTCTCTTTACAGGAAGTGTTTATGGAAGGCTGTGCAAGTCACATGCAGGGAGGTGTGACTAGGGTTCATAAACAAAGGGATTTAACTCATAAATGGCAGAGGATTGAGCAGTGAGGCTGCAGGGGCATGTTCTATACACCAAAACTGCTTCATTAAGCTAAAGTTGTTCAGGTGACTATAGTGTCCCTTTAAATCAAGGTCTATGTCATTTAGTCACTGTGTTATTTAGCTAACAGTAAAGGTCTTGATTTAATAAGCCTTCCACATGATTCAATATGGTTAGAAAAACGTTCCAAATGATTTCTCCACAAAAGTCAACATTAAAGAATATGGGGGTCTTTGTAGACAGACTCATATGGGAAGTTTTTCTAAAAGTATTTTCTTCTAAAAGTACTTCATCAAGCAACATTTTGTACATATATATATATATATACAGTTGTAATCAAAATTATTAACCCCTTTTGAAAATAAGGTTTATTGTCAAAATGTGCAGACTTTCAGCTGTTTGCAGTGAACAAAGCAATTGAAATAGCTCAACACAATGAATGCCTCAAGTGGTTTCCACAAATTCAACTGAAAATGCAAATTACAATTACTTCTTCAGTCTCAAAATTATTCAACCCCTTCATGGCAGGCATCTTTAGTACTTAGTAGAGCACTCTTTTGCTGTTATGACCTGCTGCAAACGAGATGCTTAGCCAAATTTCAGCCTCTGGCAGCGTTCCTGAGGAATCTTAGCCCATTGCCTATGAACAATGGCCTCCAGTTCAGTAATATTCTTTGGTTTGCGTGCTGCAACCGCCTTCTTCGAATCCCACCAGAGATTTTCTATGGGGTTCAAGTCAGGTGGCTGTAGAATGGCCACTGTAGAATTTTTCAGGACTTCTTCTGCAACCAAGCTTTTGTGGAATTTGAGGTGTGCTTGGGATCATTATCATTTTGGAAGGTCCAATGGCGCCCAAGATTCAGCTTCCTCACAGACGGCATGTCGTTTTCTCCTAGAATTTCCTAATACTTCAATAAATCTATCTTGCCTTCTACTTACTGTAGGTTTCCAGTGCCAGAGGATGCAAAGCAGCCCCAGAGCCACCACCAAATTCTTAACTGAAGAGAGAGTGTTCTTTTCAACAAATGCTTCATTCTTCTTCCTCTTCTTCCTCTTCCTCTTCTACCACTGATCCATTGGGCCAAAAAGTTCCAGTTTTGTTTCACTGCTCCATAGAGCAGAATCACAAAACTTGTGTGGCTTATTTATATGATTTGAGCATATTGGAGCTGACTTTTCTTGTGCCTTTGTGTCAGTAGTGATGTACATCTTGGAGTTCTGGCATGGAAACGTTCTGTGTTTAGTATGCGCCTTACTGTGCTCACTGAAACCTCAGTGCCTATTGCCACCAAGTCTTGCTGCACGTCTTTTGAGGGATTTTTACAACCTGCCTTCTCAGAAATCTGGTTGCAGCTATTGGTAGCTTCCTATTTCTGCCCTGTCCAGGTGGTTTAACCACTGTCCCTTCAATTTGGAATTTGAGAACTATGTTTCCAACGGTGTCTCTAGCAACATTCAGTGCCTTTGCTATGTTTTTGTATCCTGTTCCTTGTTTGTGAAGGACAAAAATCTTTTCTCTTAACTTTATGGACCATTCTTTTGACTTAGCCATATTTCTAACATGCAGTCAAGCGTGACACTCAACAAAGCCAGTTCAGGTATTTCAAGGGTTCCAGCTCAAGTACACCTGGTGAAACAATGAAGCCCTTGGTTAGTTACATCAGGTGGGCTTGAGACAGCACCTGTTTTGCATATTTGTGCTGTTGTGAGGTATTCAATTCAGAGGGATGAATAATTTTGAGAATGAAGAAGTCATTCTAAGTTGCATTTTCAGTTGAATTTGAGGAAACCACTCGGCGAAGCGTTCGTTGTTTTGAGCTATTTTAATTGCTTTTGTTTGATTTGTTCATTGCAAACTGCTGAAAGTCTGTAAATGTTGACAAAAAAAACAGATTTTCAAAGGAGGTTGAATACATTTGATTACAACTGTATACATATTTACATACATTCAGCAAACAAGGAATTGCACTCATGCACTCACAGGAGTTGCTGTAGAATAATCTTCACTGCTTTCTATCATTAAAAAGAAGGCTATATCACAAGTTACAACGTTCGCTCTCACACCCACGACTTTCATCTGGTCCTGATCTATTCACACTGTGTTGAGGAACAGACACCAGAGGGACATTTGTGTTTACAATATTGTAGTTCATCAGTAAGATTTCATGTCTGCAGAAGCCCAAGATTCCCAAGAAAGTCCAAGACATTGTACATGAAATATAAATCTTACACTGCATACTGCATACAGCTGACTTAATTCCGTCTTTCTCTTATCAGTGTTCTCAATACAGTGAAAACACATGGGTTTTAGAGAATCAAGTTCCTGGTACCTTCGTCCTTAAGGTAGAAGCCAATGATGCAGATATTGGTCTTAATGGAGTAGTGAAGTATGGTTTAATGCACAAAGAAGGAGCTAATCCAAGCTTCATCATTGATGAAGATACAGGTATGGAGCACTTAACTGCTTTTATTTAACTTCAGTGTGAAACAGAGTAACAACTATTATTTAAGGCTCTTTAATTGTCTGTGTGCTCAAAAATAGCTTATGGACTATCACGTTACACATACTCTATACGTTGTATTAACTGTATTTGAATCTGTTAAATATTTTTATATAATATATTAATAAAAGGTTTCGGGTAGACTTTAGGCATTTTGGGCACAAACCACCATCAGAGCGTACAAGACTTGGTTCCTGTACAGTGGAACGTTAGAACCTACTCTGCAAATCACACTCTGATTGGCTGCTTATGAAAATGGTGTTGAAATTGCTGTGTGCCTTGTATTTATGAATAATATGTCATGTGGTAAATTCATGGCAATGTAGCCCCTTCATAATTTAACAGCCATATTTGTGGCAAATTGCTTCTGAATCCTTTTTACTTAGTGATCTTTATGTACATATTTTCATTTTTGTGTTTTGTGATATTCTAAATGTATAAATTCTAGTTGTCTGTTTCCACAGTAAATCTCAACCTAATTTCACTGTTAAATCCCATTTCAAATGTCATGATATGGTTAGTCTGCATGCACCTCAATAACTGATAAAATTATATCTCGTATCAATAACAATGCAATATTCTTTTTTTTTTTTTTTTTTTAAATAATTTTCGCTAACAGGCTTATCTTTTTCTAGGTGTTATAACCACTTTACAGAGTTTTGACCGAGAGAAACAAAGAGAATACATGATCTCCGTGACTGCCACTGACCAGGGTCAAGAGCCATTAATTGGTGTTTGCCAGATAACCATTGTAATTGCTGATGTCAATGATAACGATCCTAAATTTGAAAACAGTCGTTACCAGTGTGAGTTAAGCCCTGGCTCTTAAAATAAATAAATAAATATATATAAAGTTATGAGTCAGCATTACAGGATTTAACATTATGCAATGATGATTCTTCAGGTCCCTGGGCTGGAGAAGGTCTTGTTACATTGATGATGTAAAACCATGGAATTGGTGGGTCTTCAAAGTAGACTGTCCTCCAGGGCTGTGTTACTCTGGACACCTCATATTGGATGTCCTGTACTCCACTTGGTCTTCATACAATATCCATAACTGTGTAATTTTTAAACACAAGTGGATGCAGAGGGACAAATACCTACACACATTTAGGTACTTAACCACTGCAATGAAACCATGACAATTAAATGCCCCATTGTTCCTTGTATGTGTTGCCAGCTTAGTTAGTGGTGGCCCTGGCATTTTTTTTTCAAATAACTTCGATGCAAGTATTTGGGGACATGGTCGGAGTGATATAAAATTCTCCTATCTTGTCATGGGGAACATCTGGCCTGCTGCTGGCCGCCTGGATCAGCCACTGTTTTTAAACACACCAAGAATGTATATTTACAAGCTTTTATATGTAACTTGCCCATAAATGCATTTTCCTGTCTTATAGACTTTTTGCGGAAGGATACAGCGGTGGGAACGAGCTTCCTTCGAGCTGCTGCTCTGGACGATGACCAAGGTATAAATGCCGTCATTACATACATCATGGTGCTCCAGCGTCCAGAGTACTTTAGTATAAACCCCAGCACTGGATGGGTGTATGTGAACTATCCTATCTCCCAGGTAGGAGAAACTTCTATTAATATGCAAATCGAATTTACTTTACAATGTTAATTTGGGTTTGAAACAATTAAATTGTGGCTTAACTCAATTTAGCACAAAAAGTTAGTGTGATACTGGACAGGTCTATATTCATCTCCACAGAGAACATATTTTTCTATTTCTATGTATATTTTTGTTTAGATCAGCGGCCCCATCTAGTGCTTATAATTAACAGCCAACCATCAGAAAATATGGCATAATGTTATAATGTAACATAATTTAAAAATGTAATTGAATCCAGTATGTACAGATAGTTCTACAAATAGTTCAGCAGACAGTTCTATACATATCCATGCAGATAGGTTAAATAATCACATGGACAATTCTATAAATGATCTCCCAGATAGTTTTATAAATGATACAGCGGTTAGTTCTTTACGTAACTCTGTATGTCGTATATTTCTAACCTCACAGATAGTTCTGTAAGTGCTCAAGCAGATAATTCTATAAATGAGCCAGCAGATAGTTTCATAAATGATTTAGCAGATAGTTCTATAAATGACCCAGTAGATAGTTCCATGAATGAACATCCAACTGAATTATCATAGCTCAGCAGGTAAAGAGCAACATAGATGGTTCTTATTTCCATCAATAAGAGACTTCAAACTGTTTTGTTTTTCCATTATTTCTCAATCAATCTTTACAATTTTACAAACTAATAAAATATGGAATATGTGTTAGTATAAATATGTAATACTGACTTGAATCACTTATTTTTTTTTCTTTTGCCCTAGACATCACGTATCTCTCGACACATTATAGCCACAGATGGGGGTAATCGGAGCAGCAGTGTGGAACTAACAGTGATCATTACGAATGTGCACAACCAGCCTCCTCAGTGGGAGCAAGAGCAATACTGGGTCTCCGTCCCTGAAAACATAACCAGGGATTCAAAGATTGTGGTATGTATAGATCCACAACATTGTAGCCTGTATTCAAAGTCATTCTGCCAACCTTCAAAGGATGCTGGGAATCAAATCGTGAGCTACTCAACCCCAATAACAATGTAATTATATTGAAAATGAAAATAATTCACACACCTTCTGGCACAATAACAGTGTATTGAAGGTAATGGGTGATAGTTCAAACGAGAGGCACAGTATCAGCGGGTGATAGTTCAGGAATCAGATGTTGATCCAAGCATTGTAACAGAGTACTAAGAGTAGTGGGTGATAGTCATAGAATCCTGGGGTGATTCTGGCACAGTAACAGGGGTGATAATTCAGGAATCACAGGTTGATTATGGCACAGTTACATGGGGTGATAGTTCTAGAATGAGATGTTAATACTGGCACAGTATCAGTGGGTGATAGTTCAGGAATCACTGGTTGATCCTAGTATTGTAACAGAGTACTGACAGTAGTGGGGGTGATAGTTCAGGAGTCAGAGATTGATTCAGGTAACAGGGTGTGATAGTTCTGGAATCACAGGTGCTGTAATCTCTTTAAGCAAGTTAAATTTGAGAGTGAGTTGTTGGAAAGTAACTATAGTGAAACACATATTCAGAAGATGTACATGTGCAGTTCCGTTTTTATTTCATTAAATGTAACTATTAACTTTGATTCCCTGTAAGTACAGGAATGATTAAGGCCTTGATTTAAAGGATCACTATAGGGTCAGGAACACAAACATGTATTCCTGACCCTATAGTGTTAAAACCACCATCTAGCCCCCCTGGGCCCCTCATGCCTCCATAAATATAGCAAAATCTTACTGTATTCAAGCCTGAAGCTGTACCTCTGCATGCTGACTCAGAAAAACAAACAGTCTGCTGACATCATCATCCAATCCAATCCAATCCAATCCCAATGCTTCCCCATAGGATTGGCTGAGACTGACAAAGAGGCAGAACAGGGGCAGTGCCAGCATGATTCAAACACAGCCCTGGCCAATCACCATCTCCTCATAGAGATGAATTGAATCAATGAATCTCTATGAGAAAAGTTCAGTGTCTGCATGCAGAGGGAGGAGATACTGAATGTTTGGATGCATTTTAGGCAGCCATGACCCAGGAAGGATCTCTAACAGCCATCTAAGGAGTGGCCAATGACGTTATCACTAGGCTGTAATGTAAACACTGCATTTTCTCTGAAAAGACAGTGTTTACACCAAAAAGCCTAAAGGTAATGATTCTACTCACCAGAACAAATTCAATAAGCTGTAGTTGTTCTGGTGACTATATTGTGCCTTTAATATTGCTGGATAAGCTTTCTAAATGATTTAATATTTTTAGATAAACTTTTAAAATAATTTTTCCAACATATTAAAATATTAAAAATATGTCATATTTTAAAAAATATATACATTTATCAAAATATTACACAATTATAATATCCAAAAATATTAAATCATTTTGAAAATCTTATTCAACAACATTAAATTGAGGCATACATTAGACAAAAGAAAGGCTTTAAAAAAGCAAACAGCTGTATTAAAAATCAAAATAACGCTGCAAAAAGCTCATTTTATGAGTATTCTTTTAACTGTTTAAGTGCCTTTACCATCACATATTCTGACCTTTATCTTCATCATTTTCAGACCATCAAGGCTACATCACCACTTGGTGATCCAAGGGTTACGTACAACATAGAAGAAGGTCTTGTTCCAGAGACAAACTACCCTGTTCGCTTCTACTTAAAACCTAATAGAGCAGATGGATCAGCGTATGTACTAATAGCGGAACCTCTTGATTATGAGGAAAATACATATTTCACATTGAAAATTAGGGCCCAGAATGTTGCCACTGTCCCACTGGCATCATTTACAACTGTTCACATCAACGTTACTGGTAAGAATTGTAACTATATACCACAATCCAATGTATTGATGGCAATACTGAGGACATCACTAAACATCGATATCTCATGTTTTTACTTTAAAATGATGAATTGGAATATTTTTACATTATCATGGTGAGTAGGCAGTGTCTTGGGATGTGTGAGAATATTTAAAGGGTAGAAAGTGTCTGAGAGGGTATTTGAATGTATTCGTGGATTTCTCAGGAATCTTGGAGTGAGTTGTCACGGCTAAGGGCCAGATTATCACGTAAGGAGGCTTTTATAGGGTATTCATGGGGACAACGCATAGGGCAAGATATTAACATATAACATATATTAAAATATATGACATGGCATAATAAGCTGTGTCACCACTAACCCTTGCAGTTGAATCCAGCAGAGTCTATTTACTAACACAATTTGTATCTCTGGTTGCAGATGTTAATGACAATGTTCCGTTCTTCACATCTTCTGCTTACGAGGTGACCGTGCCAGAAGGAGCAGAGGTTGGAACATCAATAGTCCAGGTGTTGGCTACTGACCTAGACTCTGGCCAGAATGGGAAGGTTTGTGATAACTTTTTTAATTATAAGGTGTTCATAGCAAAATAATATTATTATTAACATATTTATATTATTCTTGGTGGCTTAATAACAGATGCAAATACATAAATGCCAACGCAGCACTTGCAATTAGAATATTTAAATTATGCTCAATTGCTATTAAGGTGCCTTCCAATTTCCAAATGAAGGCCACCAGCAGGTCACTGTATCGTTCCATAAAACATGTATCATCTCAAGTCGGTTCCACAAACGCAGCACACAATTAATTTGATTCTGATAGAGAGCTTCTGACCTGGAATGTGGGTTCTCAATATTAATGTGTGGCTTGCAAAGATGCTGGAACGGTATGTTTCTCATGACGTCAGCATGGAGCAAAGTCACTGAGAATTGTTGTATACATGATACAAACCAATTAAGGCAGTTCTGTGGCAAAATGAAGTTCTGTACTTGTCTGAGACCTCTCTCTTATCTACAAAAGTCTATTATCTTTCCTTGACCCACAGACTGCTGATCTAGAAAACACAGAATTCTTTAGCAATCCTTGGTAATGTAATTCATCAAACACTGCATAGCCAATTATGGACATATCTTAAATTTAAAAAAATAGCTAAATAATAGACTACTTCTCTTTAAATTAATTATGGCGCATGTTGCACCACTGGCCATACTAGTGTTTATAAATGTTTCAGTTTATTTGTTATCTTTGCAATGATTATCAGTTTATTTCCCTGTGCAAAGTGTCTGCAAGCCTCTTAGTATTTTGTACTAAATTACAGCACCCCTCCTTCCCTTAATTTTCCATTTAAAAAAATGACAAATGGTTTAAACAGGCTTGCAAGCAGCCACTCTCCAACTGAATCTACAGTGCATACAGTGCTTTCTAATACATAAGACCTTTTCAAATTTTAATAAAATTTTCATAACGTATATTAGAAATGAAGATACAATCAGTGCTGAATTGCATTAATTTTAAACAAAGAATGTCATTGTATATTTAAAAAAAAATTGATATTACTAGCACAGTCAATTGTTAAAATAACATTCTGTCACACGCAGGTGAATTATTTAATACTGAAAGATGTCAATGAAGATTTCCTCTGTTTTACAATTGACCATGAAACTGGAGTCATATTTACAAGAACATCTTTTGACAGGGAGAGGCAAGCATCGTACCTTATTGAAATTCAGTCTCAGGATTCTTCTGAATCTGCCCGTCTTGGAATTCAAGGCCACCCTAACACAGGTGAGCATATTGCGGCTTCTGTCCAAAGTGCTTAGAATTATATCATCAGACAGTGATCTCTTGTAGACATTTATGTTTAAGCTCAGTCCACCAGAGTCCAGAGTGGACATTTATAATCTTTCAGAACCCACATCTGACTACATAACCAAAATGTGTCAGACCCAGCGGTATTTGGCACCCAAATTTAAGAGAATTCTTATTAATAATGTAAAAAATGAGAATCCACAGGATACACAGTGTAGGGTGAAAAATTATGAATTTATTCTGGTTCCATGTACAAAACAGAATTACGACGCTTTAGTTGTAAAGGCCTTAATCATATATGTCCAAAATGTTGTATTTCTGCTTTGTCCTTTGGACCAGAATAAATTAATCATTCTTCACCCTACACCCTGTAGCCTGTGGCTTCTCACTTTTGATGTACTTTGGGGGTTAACAGACCTCCACCCTAGCGCTCCAGGGCAACACGCTACTACTTTTCTTATTAATTATAATTCACCAGATTTTATAGAGAATAGTCAGGTTTCAGCAAACTCGAGTGTTTGTAAACACATAGTGTAAAGGTTCCATATGCCATTGTACAGCGTTACGGAATTTGCTGACGCTATAAAAATTATAAAATAATAATAACATGTACTCAGCAGTTTGTAGATAAATATAACCTAGTTCCGGTACCATTGTTCAGTCTAAATCGACTCAGTTTGTATTGACTGGGGGAATTATTGACTAACAACACCTTATTGTAGGAAGACTCACTATAACAATTGTACCTATTAAGTTCACAAATAAGACCTGTCGGTTACCAAAATTACTGTAAGCGCTCTATTTTTTCCCCAGATACCGCCTATGTAAGGATCTTTGTAAGTGATATTAATGATAATGCCCCGAGGTTCCCATTGCAGAGATATGAGACCAGTGTGGGAGAGGATGAAGATGTGGGTTATGTTGTAATAACAGTAAATGCTAACGATGAAGATGAAGGTATGCTATAATTCTTTCAAACTTTTTTAAAACATATATACTAATTGAAAGTGGAAGTAGTTTACATCATGCAATAAGTAACTCTGTTTGTAACACTGTTTGAATCACTTCGATGGTAATGACCTTTTGTGTAATTCTTGCGTAATTCTTTTAAATGATTGAGTGTTCTCTAATACAGGAGCTAATGCAAAGATAAGGTATCAAATTACAAATGGAAACGGAAGAGGAATTTTTGATGTGGAACCAGAAGTGGGGTCAATCTTTCTCACCCAAAGTCTGAATTATGAACAAGACACCTACTTCGAACTCAGGCTGGTGGCTTCAGATGGCAAATGGGAAAACCATACTCTCGTCATCGTTAATGTCATTAATTTGAACGATGAGGCTCCAGTCTTTGCACAGAGTGAATATCATGAAAGCATTTCAGAGGAACTGACAGAAACACCTATCTTGGTGCTGCAGGTACTCGGCCTAAACTAGTTATTAGACAACTCTGCTCCTGTTTTGTTACAAACTGCAATTCGGCCAAATGTACAGGTAATCGTACAAAGTCTCGATTTCAGAACCGCTACATAGACTAATCACGAACAAAACAAACGACTCGCATATGAACGGTGGTGCAAAACAAAAAAAGAGATGACTGATGGGGAAAAAAGATGATTGGCTTTTTTGAACTGACACTAAATGTTGATTTTATTAACATTTCAGTTATTATACTCATCAAATAGAAGTAAAATGTTTTTTAGATATATTAGATGGTTTATAAATAAATAATATATGAATACAAATTGTTTATTGACCCTCCTCTTTTGTGTACTTTTTCTCACTTGATCTTTGAACTAAATGACAGAAAACCATTTATAGTATGTATATATTTGCCGTACATTCATTGGCCTATTTTCTTGCCATTGCAGTTGGTCTGATTTGTTTTCCTGATTTTTTTTTTTCCATTATAAAAGTCAGATGAGCGAACCACCATGTGGTAGAAATTTGTAAAAATAAATACATTTATTTTAAGACAAAGTGGGTTGGCCAAAAAAAAATGTTTTCATTCATCACAAGTCTATCAGTTATCTTTTACATTGGCGACTCCATGCCCTAGAGATCTCCAATATATGAGATATAAAGACTCTTCTAATTGTTTTGCAGACTTTGACAAGGTTGTGTAAGTGTTCTATTCCCATTAAAAAAATTAAACATTTATTTTTAAACTTGTAGGTGTCAGCCACTGATCCTGATCAAGAAGCTGATCAGACTGCACTTCAATATTCCCTGCATGGACAGGGGGCTAACAATGAATTTACCATAGATCAATTCAATGGAAACATTTATGTTCAGAAAAAACTTGATCGAGAACAGCAAGCAGTATGGCGTTTTCTGGTTCTCGCTACTGATGAAAATGGGGAAGGTTTGACTGGATTTGCTGATGTGATTGTTGACGTGAAAGATGTCAATGACAATGCACCATCTTTTCTCTGCAACTCCGAAGGATGCTTTGTGGGGTATATAGAAGAAAACTCTCCTGCTGATACCACTGTGATGGAGATGGCAGCTGTGGATTCAGATGACCCCAAATCTGGAAACAATGCATTACTTACTTATAGGATTGTAAAAAATATCCAGAATGATATAAATCTTAATCTTTTTGCCATTCATCCTTCTACTGGATCCATATACAATGTTTTGGGGTCTTTGGATAGAGAGAAAGAGGACAAATATTTGATTGTTATAGAAGCCGAAGATGGAGGAGGACTCAAGGGGACAGGAACAGCTACGATTTTGGTGTCAGATGTTAATGACCATGCCCCAGTTTTTACTCAAAAGGTTTACGCAGCCATCATTCCTGAAAACTCTGGTATTAACAGTGAGTTAGCAATATTTTATGCTCTGGACCTGGATGAAGGTGAAAATGCATTATTGACATTTAGTATCATTGCAGGAGATGATGACCATAAGTTCTTTATAGAGACAGATAAAATTCAGAAGCGAGGAATCCTACGTCTTCGGAAAAAAGTGGACTATGAAAAGTCCCATGAGAGATCTTTTAACCTGACAATAAAAGTAGAGGACTTGGATTTTTTTACTACCACTTACTGTACTGTCCAAGTCGAAGACTCAAATGACCATCCACCAATTTTCTACCCACACTTTTATGAAGTTGCTCCTTTGTCGGAAGACGTTCCTATTGGTACTGTGGTGGTACAAGTGTCCACAATTGACTTGGACTCTGGGATTAATGGAAAGTTCTCCTATCATATTCTTAATTCGTCTGACCCTCTTGGTCAGTTCTCTGTTATCAATGATGGTCAGATTGTTGTCTCTGGACAATTAGACAGAGAAACATATGCCCAGCATTGTTTGGTGGTACTTGCTACTGACATGGGTGAGCCAGCATTAAGCGGAAGTGCTACCATTGTTTTCAGCATTCAGGATGTAAATGATAATGCCCCACAATTTGAAGTCCAGTACAGCCCAATGATTTGGGAAAATACAGAGTATCCACATATTGTACAAATGAATAAAACTTCAGTGTTGCTACATGCTACAGATGATGATACGGTTATGAATGGACCTCCATTTTATTTCTATCTGCCAAGTGATATGTCCAGTGTGAATGACTTCAGTCTACAAGACTTTCATAATGGTAGTGCAATGATTACTGCACTACGAAGTTTCGACAGGGAAGTGCAAAAAGTCTTTAACTTACCCGTTTTAATCACTGACAGTGGAACTCCTCCCTTGACGTCAACTAATATGTTAACAATTCTTATTGGAGACAAAAATGACCATCCTCATTCGCCGGGACATTTGGATTGCATGGTCTACAGTTACAAGGGTAACATGTCGATGTGGACAGCTGTTTGCCAAACATACCAATAATATTTCACTAACTAGACTAATGTGTTATTTAGAAAGCAGTATAATTTACTTAAGTCATACTTGTAGGTAGTCCTTAGAGATGGGCAGAACCAGAAATAAAAACAGAAAAATTGGTGGGGGGGAATGTTGTTTTCCAAAACCATTTAAAAACAAAAAAATAAGGTTGGAATATGTTCTTTTACAATGATAAACAATATGTCCACGACATAGTGTTTATATATTTAAACCTCCAATATTTCTAAAAAAACATATTTTAACCGCATTTCTTTATCTTCATAACCTTTATCTAAATGCTGACCTGATTCTGTTCTCCCATCAAAGCATACAAGGCTACGTACTAAAATGAGAATTTAAAGTGAATTTGAAATTTAAGGCCAGGGTAGCATATCTGAAAGCTAGCTGACTTACATATTTTTTCAGTTTCTATTTTGACTGTAAATTTGAAATTCACTTTAGTAAATAACCCTGTTAGTGTTTACCTGTAATCTGGCCACTAAATTGTCGTTTTTCTCCTCTCCGTAAGATGATGAGGCCAACATATTCACAGTTCAATGCAGAAACCCCCCCACAAAATTGCAAATACTGTCAAAACAAGTATTCTTTTTCCAAACTCTATCAGAAAGACAAAACACATCCTTGCAGGCCAGAGGTGGCTGAAAGACATTAAAATACTTAATGGAATTGCATGAGGAAGAATAAAATCTGATTCTTCTCATATGGATGTTTTGGTCAATGATTCTCTATCAGAAAACTTAGTATGAAAAAACTCTAGTTCTGTAGTAGTGAGAGAGGGAGCCCTTGTGGGTGTCTGTGGGTAGGGGGGAGGGGAGGGAATTTTATTATTTTATTACAGTGTATATATTAAAATTATTTCTCATGAAATAGGCACTTTCACAAAACAGGAGCTAGGGTGACCCCCTAAACACCCCAAAAGCAATTCAGCAAGCAAGTGCTTTCAATTTGGAGTATCTCTAATGGAAATTAGACTTTCTCTTTGTTTGATACTATGAATTAGCAGAAGGATTAGAAAAAAACAAAATAATGTGCTTGAGTTTTCATATTTTTTTTATGTTGATTTTTTTTCGTTGTTTTTTATTGTTTTTGCGGGGGTTGTCTTTTCTCGTGTACTGGCAATAGAGATTCCTTATAGTTCACGTGATCTTAACATATCCAAAGCTATTTCAAAAAGCTTATTTAGTTTATTATTTGTTTAATAAGCTATGTTTTTTTTCGGAAAATAATCAGGAAAATACCCTGTTTTTAAAATATCATAGGTTAGATTGAAATGTTAGATCTAGTTTTACGAATAATCCAATCTCTTAACAGGCATCCTCCCATCACTTGACCTTGGTAAAGTCTTAGCACCGGATCTAGATGACTGGGAAAACAAAATGTACCATTTAGATGGCAAATCAAGGTAATGGGCAAGAAACAAATATAGCATGGCTACAAAGTGCCATGATATATACGTGTGTATGTTGTGTGTGTATGTTTTAATTTGTTTATTTCTAAGAAGTGCACTTCACACACTACAAGCTATCTTAAATTGCTTATTATACAATTATTAGTAAGTAGTGATGGTGGTGACACAATTATATATATATATATATATATACTTTGGTAAAGGGACACCAAAACAACTTTAGTTTAATGATGTGGGTATTTTGTTTAGATAAATCTTGACCTTCCAGTCTCAATGCTAAATTATCTGCCATAAAAGAGTTACATCACGTTGTTTATGCAGCCCCAGCCATGTCTCCTCTGGCTGTGACTCATGCAATCTCCCTATAGATTTCCTGAAAAGTGCTCAAGTTTCTAATTTCACTTATTGCACAGTGTGTTTAATTTAGAATTTATCTCTTGCTCTATTCATTTTCTGTTAGAGCCTACAGTAGCCTTCTGTGTATGATTAATTGACAGAGGAGGAGAAAATTAATTTTAAAGCAAAAACACTGTACATTAAACTTTTTTTTTTCCATGGAGACCCCAATTTAGTATTGTTGGATATGCTTTTCCAATGATTTAAGATTTTTGGATAGACTTTTAAAATAATTTTTCCACATATTAACATAAAAAAATAGATTGTATATAAAAAAAATCAGTAAATCAAAATATTACAATATTAAAATAGTTTTCATAATATCAAATAATTTTAAAACTTTATCCAAAATATGGTATCATTTGGAAAGCTTATCCAACAATATTAAATCGAGGCTCAAGTGTTATAGCTTCTAATTAGAAGAGAATTAAACAGCGACACTGCAGGTGTATGATCTATCTACCAAATCACTTTGTTCAGCCAAAGTTGTTTTGGTTCTTAAAAGGCCCTTTAGTTGCAATAAATAGCATTTATTACAGTGAGTGCTAATGCTCCCTAGTGGCCATATATAGTTACTACACCATATGTTAATATGGTTAATATGAGCAATGGATTATAAGAGAAATGTTTATTTTGAGATATATAGCCTGGTCATTCCTCTATTCCTGTAATTTCACCCCTGCCATAGACTCTTCTCCCTTCATGAAACCTCTGGCCTGCTAACCATGAAAGAAGGAGCCATGCCTGGAACCTATAAACTGAGAGTAAAAGTGACAGATGGCATCTGGCCAGACGTGCTCTCTACAGTTAAGATTGTAGTCATTGACATCTCAGAAGAAGCAGTCCAAAATGCAGGGTCAGTGAGGATGAAAGGTAAGCAAGCCTTCAATGTTAGTGCTTTACTAATTCAATACATTATTCAGCACCAAACTGATTAAATGGACATGCATCACTTTGAGACAAACATCTCATTTATAAGCTTTAGCTCACTCTGTAGGCTGGTAACAGTTAACTGATTTTTTTTTTTTCATATTTACCTGCTTCCGTCTTATGCTTTCCACACAAATTCCACACAAATTCCAGGGGAGTGGAGGTGACACTGCTCTAACCAATCAGTGTCCTATCCCTAGGAATGCTGGAAAAGTGCACTGAACATGCCAGATTTACATATGTGCAGTTAAAATATCTCTACACCTTGGAACATTTTATGGGGAAGATGAAAGGAAGTCTAATCAATATGATTCATGCACAGCAGGCAGGGCCGGATTAAGGGCACAGTGGGCCTGGTGCTGACAATTATGATGGGCCTAATTACGGAATCTTATCGACCAAAAACACTAAAACAATCATACCTCCCAAGCGTCATGTATCTGATGGAGATGGTGCTGGAGGGAAACTCATAGGATGCAGCTATAAGAAAACACATACTCTATGCTAATCTCTCTCTAATTTATGCTTTCATCTTTTAAGTAAATCCATACCCCCTAACAGCAGTGTCCAGTGAAGCTGGAAGTCAATGGGCAGGGTAAAAAGGTGTGCCACTGGTGCAAATCACGTGACCAGACCAGCCAAAAGGGGAGAACATGCCCAAAAAGGGGGCATGTTTGTCCAAAGAATTGGAAGGTCAACCTGGCATCATGGCATGGATGCATGTCAGGCTGCCTGCCAATCCTGCAGGCTGTCCAACTAAGGGCATACTATGATGCGCACACTCCATGCTTTCTAAGGACTGTCCCCTAGCACTCGCTGGTCCACTTGTCTCCTTACCTTCTTACTAGCAGGCAGAAGTTCCTGGTGTATAGTCTGAGACAGAGAAAAGGTGTATGTAGTGAGTGTAGAAGAAAGGGGACATGCCACAGTGTTAGAGAGACAAACGTCTGCATTACCTTAACTAATTTTATTGTCAGCCAGTCCACACAAGTTTTGTTCCCATATATCCCTCTTAAGCTTCCAAACTTAAAGGGACACTATAGTCACCAGAACAACTACAGCTTTTTGTATTTGTTCTGGTAAGTAGAATCATTCCATTCATGCTTTTTGCAGTAAACACTGTCTTTTCAGAGAAAATAACTCCAGATGGCTGCTAGAGGTGCTTCCTGGGGCAGTACTGCCTAGTGTGCAGCACTGCCATCCAGTGTCTCCACCCTCTGCATGCAGACACTGAACTTTCCTCATAGAGATGCATTGATTCAATTTATCTTTATGAGGAGATGCTGATTGGCCAGGGCTATGTTGGCCTTGTGCTGGCTCTGCCCCTGATCTGCCTAGTTGACAGTCTCAGCCAATCCTATGGGGAAGTATTGTAATTTGCTCAGACCACCACTTCTGATGATGTCAGCAGACAGTCAGTTCAGAGGCAGAGCCAGCAGCTGCAGACTTGAATACAAGTAATATTTTACTATATTTAGGGAGGCAAGAAGGGGCCAGGGTGGTGTTTTTAACATAATAGGGTCAGAAATGCATGATTGTGTTACTGACCCTATAGTGCTCCTTTAAGCAAGAGTATGTGAAGAGTAGTTAAGGTTGCCACCTTTCTTGGAAAAAAATACCAGCTTTAATCATTTTTATAATTAATTAGTTATGCGTGACATCACATGATGTAAATCACAACGAGTGACATCAGAGAAAATTCTGTAAAATCACCAACAAACTACTCACAGTTTGATTCTGCTGTATAGATGGATTGCTCCCAGTGTCTCCCTGTCTCCCAGTGTCTCAGTCTTGCAAGTCACCAAGTGTCCCAATGTCCCTATGTCTCACAGTGTCCCCATGTGTCTCAGCATCCCCATGTGTCCTGGTGTCTCAGTGTCCCCATGTTTTCCAGTGTCCCCGAGTGTCTCCCAGTGTCTGTGTCCCAAGTGTCCTAGTGTCTCAGTGTCCCCATGTGTCCCTGCTGCCCCCATCCCTCACTTACCTGAGCTGTAGAACTGCTGTATGGACTCTCTGTGCTGTGTAGCTGCTCCCCCACGGATCAGTAAGTAGTAGAGAGAGGCAGGGAGGGATATGCTGTAACTTCCTATCTCTGCCTCTCTCCACACACAGTGACCCCTACTGGCCGGTGCTGGTATTGCAGGGTAATCTCCATTTATTCTGAGAAAATTACCTGCATTTGTATTGCCGGTATTACTGCAATACCGTCACGGCCAGGCAGCCTCACATACCGGCTGTGCCAGTAAAATAGCAGTCAGGTGGCAAACCTAAGAGTAGTGTGTTAAAAAAAAATTTTTTTTTTTTTTTTTTTTTTTTTAAATGGGCCTATTCCATGGGCCTGGGCCTGGAGCTGCAGCTCCATCAGCCCCTATGTTAATCCGGCCCTGACAGCAGGATATGGTGTCAGGTTTTTCTCTCCTACTGCTGCACAATGATGCCCTGTTTCTTTAATTAGTGGACTGGTTTGAAACTGAGATAGGTGGGTAAGAAAGGGTGGTGTGAAGAAAATCCCCTAGCTAAGAGTCGTGTCCAAAAATGCAGTCTGACAAAGTTTAAAGTATGTTTATAAACTTTCATTAGAACTTTTTAAAGATTTTCTTGCTTTGTATTGTTTTCTATATGTTTAAAAGTATTTGCTTGCTAGTCTAAAAAAATAATTATCAAGTGATGCATGTCTCTTTAACAGTAACTTTCGAACATTACACTAAAACAGTTCCTGTTGTGAAATGAATTTGATTTATAACATTACTAGGGCTTAATAAAAGAACATTGTATTTTTTTTACTGCACACTGTGGCTTCTAAATTATCAAAACCAGCTTTTAAAATCTGTTTTCAACCCTGAAATATTAATTAGTTGTTTTATTGTTGTGATACTTTTTATAACCATGTTGTATCCCATGTCTTTTTATCTGAACCACTGCCCTTCTAATGCCCTGTGTGCCTCCAGGTATAACTGCTGAAGAATTTCTAGCGCAATCACTTGACGATGTCAGTAAATTTGAACAGATGAGGAGTCTGCTCTCGGAAGTTGTTCAAGTTGAACTGAGCAGTCTTTATGTGTTTAGCGTGTTGAACACTGCTGGACTTACAGGCAGTACAGATATCAGGTTTGCCGTTTCAGGGCCCCCCTACTATCCAGCGGAAAAACTCAATGGCATGGTGGCTTCGTCAAAACAGAAGGTCTGATGTAAATTTATTTTACTCTATTTTAAGCCCTGTGTTGGGGACATGTCACAATTCAGTAAATATTTGACATGACCTTTTCATCAGAAATATCTGTGTTATCCTAATTACTAATGTATGTAGACATTGTATAATTTGAAATATTTATTTTCTTAAATTTTGTTGTTGAACACACATCATTTGTGACATCAAAGGGGAGTGAGTAGATAATGTTATATTTTTTTCTTTATAGATAGAATCAGCAATGGGTGTTCAGATAGCGAATATTGGAGACTATGAGTGTGAGAATGCGAAGTGCAGTCACAAGACTGGCTGTGTGGTCTCCACAACCTACAAGCATGTTCCTACGATGGTTACAGTACCAGGCATGTCCTTTGGTTCAGTCACTGTGCTCACTCGAACCACTTGCTCCTGTCCTTCTCGAGAGTATCGGCACCTACCCTGCTCTTCCTACCTAACTAACCCCTGTCTTAATGGAGGAACCTGCACAGACACTGAGCTCGGATTCAGGTGCGTACTTTACCTGATATAGTCCTTGCATATTTGGGTGTGATTGGGGTCACGTGATATAGCTGCCAGCATCAGTACAGAATGAGTACATAGCGATCGAGGGAACAGTGCACACAGTGTACAGAGTGATCCCAGCAACTACTTGCCATCTGCAGCACATTTGTATGAGTACAGCAGGCTTCCCTGTCAGCAATGCAAAGGTAGGAGCCTGCTCTGGCAAGACCCCTGCCGCCTGTCACCCAGAGTGGACTGCTTCCCCTGGTTAGCGTGTCACTGTGCAGTATGTGGCGGTATTGCTGCCTATCTGTGAATTGCTAGGAGCTGTTCCCTGTTATTTTCCCCTGTATTATGTTGTATTTGTGTGTTTTACCTGCTTGGGAAGGCTCAATGCGAACAGGTTTCGTTCACCTCCCGAACGGGGACCACCAAGAACCCTCATTTAGAATGTTGTCTTAGAACGTTCACACCTTGTAGCGAGGTGTGAAAACCACAAACCGCGAGGGAATGCTGACCCTGGGTTGTGCCCCGTTCATTAGACGGATGCCATCTAGGGGGAGCATTCGTGGATTGCTTCCCACCTCATTCAGTTCCCGAACGGGGACCACCCAGTGCCCTTGGAGTGTTCACACCAATCAATTAGAACGTTGGCAACTTCCAAACCGCAAGGGAAGTAATTAATTAGTGCTTCCCTGTGTGGCTACCATTCGTATAGACGGATGGTGGCCAGGGCGAGCATTCACGTCCCGAACGGAGTTGCTTCCCTTGCCTGGTTTCACCTAGGGATTACACGAACGGATCCTTGAGATTGGTGGATGCACTCTCTTGGGGACAATGGCGGTTTGGCTGGCTTTCTGTGACTGGGACTCCCAGGTACAGAGGCTCATGGGATAAAGACCCCTTGGCCACTGGAGGTGGGAACCCTGAGAACAAAGGACAAAGGGACTCCTGGGAATGTGAGGGCCCTGGGAGGGGACACTGAGTGGCGGGAACAGAGGACAAAGGGACTGGGGTTCCGGTTCCGTTATACGACCCCCGGGCGGGGAAGGGTCCTGGGAGGGGACATTGTCTTCATGTGTGTTCCACCCCTTGCATAGGGTAAGTATAAAGCCGTCTATGGCCAATAAAGTTGTTGTTGTACCCCCAGGACTGTGTGTCATCTGGTTACTGAGTGGGAAATGGGTCTCTCGGTACTATAACTGATTCCCTTCCAGGGACAAGACGTGGCTGAATCAGGACAACCAGTCGGATTGCTAGCAGGTCCGCGACATACTACAAGATCAGCATTGGCAGTTAACAATCATACAACCCCTAAACTGTGAAGTAGTGTGTTTAGTAGACTTGTGCACGTCAAAGAAATTCAGCTAGTCTGAATCTATTCGTCTGACAAAAAATTGGTTCAAAAAAATATAAATGTACAGGCACTCTCATATCCGTTTCGGTGCAAGTAATCAAGGTGGCCCATTAACCTCCAAATAATATAAAAAACAATAATTGATACTGCACTCAAAATAAAACAAAAAGATGATATTTAATCAAAGATAGTGAATCAATTTCATATATATCAAATATGTACAAAAAATGTGAAAAAAGGATACTGTAAATGACAAGTATCCTATGGCAACCAGTGTAATATCATGTAAAATACACGGTATCCTTACAAGAGTTAAATTCATATGAGTATAATAAAAGTTAAATTCATATGAGTATAATACACTTTGAAGTAGTATGAGAAATTCTCAATCTGGATTATTGACCAGTGTGGACAAAAAAAGTATATACAGTATATACAATATATACAATAATGGAAAAAAGTAATAGAAAAAATAGAAAAAATGAATAAATTCCTTAAAAAATCAAAAATGGAAAAAAGAGAAAAAAAGGAAAAAAAGGGGGGGAAAAAAAGAGAAAAAAATAAAAAAATAAAAAAATGAAAAAAGTTGTATATACAGTCACCAGTGTGTACACACTATTGTATATGGGTGGATCTCACCAATATGCTCTGCTGAGAAAGGAAAAGTCCAGTTCTAGATGAAGTTATCTGAGTTGCAAATTGTAGACTGTTCCTCCTATTCCTCTCCTGTTGGTTGAAGGTGATGGATATAGCAGGTACTTGGCAGATCCTTGGATAGTCCGGGTCAAATATGTCCAGAGTGTGGACTTCTTGTAGACTCTTGTACAGGATAAACGGGCTGCGCGCTCGGGACCCTTCAGCCCCTTCAAAGGCCCTGTGTAGAAAAAAGGAAGTAATGAGTCCATATTTATATCCATTTTCGGCGCGCCCGCTTGTTCGCGCGGGTCGCGTCCGAATGACGTAATGACGCACATGACGTCATGACGTGCTCCTCTCCGTGTGCGCATGCGTGTAATAGTTTCACTCACGCATGCGTACTCCTGCTGACTGCGTTATGCCGGAGAAAAATTGCTTGACAAAGTACATAATACCAAGATAATGGCATTAAGTACTATAAATTTACAAAATGCTAATATACATAAATACAAGGTATGGAGAGATAAAGTAAGAGGACCTAGAGGACATAAATACACACTCTTAGTATATTTTTAAAAACAAAAATACATGACAAAACCTACAAGCTATTTGTAGGATATACAGAAGGGTATTACTTCAAATATGAGAGGAAAGTTGATTCATAAGTGGGGGCACAGTCATGAAATTGAATCAACCCTGTACTTATGTTCTTAATGATAATCCTAAAGTACTTTTGTATGTAATATTGCAACAGATAATCAGAAGGTCAATAGTTCCTTCAACCAAAAATGAAAAAGTGAAAAAATGAATAAATGAAAAAATGAAAAATGAAAATATGAAAATTTAGCAAAAGGGCATACTCACCAGCAGTGTAGTGTGTGAAAGATGCCCATGGGTTCTCTTATGTTGGACCCCGCATTCTGTCGGGTTGCGGACCACACTTGGTCAACTATTATAGAGCTCTTTAAGGGATAATAGAGACCGACGTGCCACATATAGACCAAAGTGTATACTGTAAAAATAGAATGAGAGTACAATATTAAGTCTGGGAGACAAAGAACATGGACTCCCTAGCTGGAGGTATGCAGGTATACACCCTTCATAAATAGCTTCACAGAAAATGTTTGAGGTCATAGTCCTCATTCAGCCCGTCCGAGTGTGTATTTATGTCCTCTAGGTCCTCTTACTTTATCTCTCCATACCTTGTATTTATGTATATTAGCATTTTGTAAATTTATAGTACTTAATGCCATTAAGTCAGCAGGAGTACGCATGCGTGAGTGAAACTATTACACGCATGCGCACACGGAGAGGAGCACGTCATGACGTCATGTGCGTCATTACGTCATTCGGACGCGACCCGCGCGAACAAGCGGGCGCGCCGAAAATGGATATAAATATGGACTCATTACTTCCTTTTTTCTACACAGGGCCTTTGAAGGGGCTGAAGGGTCCCGAGCGCGCAGCCCGTTTATCCTGTACAAGAGTCTACAAGAAGTCCACACTCTGGACATATTTGACCCGGACTATCCAAGGATCTGCCAAGTACCTGCTATATCCATCACCTTCAACCAACAGGAGAGGAATAGGAGGAACAGTCTACAATTTGCAACTCAGATAACTTCATCTAGAACTGGACTTTTCCTTTCTCAGCAGAGCATATTGGTGAGATCCACCCATATACAATAGTGTGTACACACTGGTGACTGTATATACAACTTTTTTCATTTTTTTATTTTTTTATTTTTTTCTCTTTTTTTCCCCCCCTTTTTTTCCTTTTTTTCTCTTTTTTCCATTTTTGATTTTTTAAGGAATTTATTCATTTTTTCTATTTTTTCTATTACTTTTTTCCATTATTGTATATATTGTATATACTGTATATACTTTTTTTGTCCACACTGGTCAATAATCCAGATTGAGAATTTCTCATACTACTTCAAAGTGTATTATACTCATATGAATTTAACTTTTATTATACTCATATGAATTTAACTCTTGTAAGGATACCGTGTATTTTACATGATATTACACTGGTTGCCATAGGATACTTGTCATTTACAGTATCCTTTTTTCACATTTTTTGTACATATTTGATATATATATGAAATTGATTCACTATCTTTGATTAAATATCATCTTTTTGCTTTATTTTGAGTGCAGTATCAATTATTGTTTTTTAAAAAATTGGTTCAGAAGAACTGAGTTTCATCCATGTGGCACTTTCATTCGGACGAATATCGTCCATGTTATCATTTCAGGAAGAACTATTTGGACAAACCAAAATGGAGTGAAAATGCTTCTATTAGTGTAGTGTAATGCGAAAATAGCTAAAATATTGCCTTGACTAATAGTTAGGCAATATCTTGCATTTTGCATTCTGCCAACTATATAATCTGTCTCTTATAGGAAATTTTTAAAAAAAATCACAAATCAGTAAAATAAATGAAAATCAGATAATCAAATTTAGCACTGGCCATGGTTGACAGTAAAACCAACATGTCGGCAGATCATCATGTCCATGCGTGTTACACTATAGCGTAGCACCCATAGATCTTCCAAGAATGGTGCCGGTGAATTAAGACAGAAGACGGTAGACGGTAAATAATTCTATACCTCCCCATGCAAATAAATGTAGTTTGGAAACTCAAAATACAAAATTGTCATAGCATGAGAATAGTAATAAAAACAACTTCTCTTTAACATCGCTTAATAAATGTCTGGTACGGGTTACCGTAGGGTCCATTCCTATGAAGCAAGCTATTACTAGTGGCTTTCATGGGTCAATAGCAGTGGAGACAATCCAAACAATTTGGACATTCTACAGGAGCCTTTAAGCTGTGCCCAAAGTAAAAAAGAATAAAATTCAGGGACTCTGAGGCGGCTAAAGCTTAGGGCAAGTGTTCTATGTCAGTTCTCTCCTGCGCAGATTGTTGCGGCCACCGGAGGCTGTGATAGTCCCACAAGATGAGTGCGGCAGCAACCTGCTTAAGTGCGGGGTTATCTCTTCGACGTAACCGGCAATAGCTTTTTTTGTCCCTTGATTGCACTATGGTTGTTGTTGCATCCGGTCGCCTTCCTCTCTGGTCTCTCCTTTTTCTGCCTCGTGCAGGTTCAGCTGTCGGAGGAATTTCTCCTGGTCGTCTGTGGAGGTCAGGGTGAGTGTCCGGTCTCCCCATGGTACTGCCAGGGATCCATCTGCACGGATTATTTATTCCTTTGCTGAATTTAAATGAAATAAACTGAGATGTAGCAATCCACATCTCTTTATCCTACCACTAGTTGCCTCTATCTTAACTCCCTGTCTCTCATTACTCTAAGCTCTCTCCTTTACACCTGTCAGTCAGCCTAGACAAATCATACAAAGAATAGTACAAATTAGACATTGGAGGAAATTTACTAAAGTGATCTATATACTAAATTGTTGTGAAAATTGTCTTAAAAGTGTTGGCGTTTCTCCGCTCGAATTCTTCCATTTTTGTCTAAAAAGTACATTTCAGATGGGACCGTCAATCTAGATTATTGGAAAAAAGAGTGAAGTTAAAATATTACGCTTTTCTGTAGAATTAGTAATAAATCCTTTATATGGCTAAACCATTGGAGCATATGTAAAATAGACAGTCAGGAGATAAATAAAAAAATAGATTTAATAATTTATGTCAAAAATGTGTACCCAGGCTATGCCTAGACAGAACTGGATTAATAGGTACTATGCTAAATGTTTAATAATAATTTTGAAAGAAAATTCAGTGTCACACACAAAAAAAGATAATGCTAGTTATAGGTGATGATTTTCAATGTCTTATTCAATAGTGTAGTTTCCAGAAAAGTTACCTTTTCCATTTAGGAGAAATACAATTCTGAGTTTATGAAGCAGGTAACTCACATGGCAGCAGGACATATGGTATAGAACACAATAAATAAATATCTGCTTACGGGGCAGTAATAAGAAGGCAAGGGGACCTGAGCAATAACCCTCGGGGCGGCTGTTGGCTCCCGTCCTGCGGCGACGCCGACTGATGGACGGGCAGGAATGCAGCCTGCCGTGAGGCCCTGGCTGGGGAAGCGGCTGATCCCCCGCGCTTGGTCAGGCGGGACCTCTCGCTCGCCTGCAGAGGGCCCCGTTCTCCCCCCCCGTGGGCCGAGGGGGTTATCCCGGACCCCACCGGGGAAGTAGAGATCACCCATGACAACTGAACAGGGAAAAAATCTAACCTGAGACCGCATGGCACAAACCAAGATGGCCTCCGCGCCTACTACAAGCCACAACATCGGAGCAATGGCTGGGCACCGTCTGGAAACCGACGATGATAAGTACACAGCGTACTGAAGGCGGCCAGCAGGCAACGGATAACCCTAAAAGGTACATACTCACCACGCAGGCTTAGCGCACTACCAAGAGCAGAATCACAGCATCCAAAACAACACCTCCCATTGTCACCGGCAGGTCTGTGGGGACTATATTCGGACTCTGACCCTGCCTAAACATAGTGGAGCGATGGACATGGGGCACAAGCGCTACTCCCAACCCAAGGCTGGTACCAGCGGACACACTCCTGGCCGGCAGGTACCCAAGCATTTCACAGCGTGAAACACAAGGAAGCCAGCCGACCAAGCACAGCTGCAGGAATGACCAAGCGACTGCCAACCACATACACCTAAAGTTACAACAGATCACTGTGTAATCTTTATTTTAGCGCACCATTCGTAATATCACATTGAATTTACTACAGTCAATTTTACTTATGCAGCCCCCACAGAAAGCACTTAAAATGACTAAGCTTACATATGTACCCAACTCAACAAGCACGGCTTTCCGCTGTTCCCTGGTGGTTAAATCTAATCAGTATATAGAAAGCTGTAACTGATGTTATCTTGCATAGCCTGTAATCCAACATACTTAAACCATACTAATTTCTAGCTCCATGTTAATACTGCATGTTCGCTAATCCCTTTTAGTTTGTTTAGCCTGTGTTTAACGGTTTACAGCGAAAACCTACTCAGCTAAGCTAGAAACAGATAATACTTAAATTCCAATTGTTATGTTTAAACGTCATTTCATCTAATAACAAAAATGTGCATGGAACGACTTATGTTTAAACGTCATGTCATCTAATAACAAAAATGTGCATGGAGACATGCCATTATTGAAGGGACTCACAGCGTGTATTAAGTAAACAGTAAACAGAATATGGTACCTGAATGTAATCTTATCTAGGAGCCTTTATTATCAGGAAATGTGCATTGTCTAGCAAATACTATACCTGTTATCCACCTATGGTCTAAACTTGTTAATATAATATAAAATGAGGTTGATAATCCTAGGAGATTTCTGTAATCTGTTATAGTGACCCTAATCTGTACAACTCTTGCAAGTCTCCCTCTCTTTTTTCTGTACCACCATAATCACATGCCTCAATAAAATAAAGAATAAAAAAAAAAAGAATTAAAAAAAAAATGAAAAAATATCTGCTTACAAACTAAAAAAAGATCACTTATCCATATTTTTTACCAAGTGACAGCAAAACATTTTTGTTATAATTTTTGGTAGCTGTGTTATATTGTTAAACATTTACATCAGGGGTGCCCAAAAGGTAGATCACCAAATGTTTTAAAACTACTAAAGCATCATGGGAGCTATTGTTCTACAACATCTGGACTTCTACTTTTGGGCACCCTTGATTTAGATGATTCAATTATGGGAGACCCGTATATTGACTTCAATATCACTATACAGTGTTCATTATTATTTTTTTCTTTCTAGATGTGAATGTCTCTCAGGTTTCAATGGCCCGGAATGCCAGCAAACTGCGCACTCGTTCACAGGTCAGGGCTATGCATGGTTCCCTCCCATGAGCCTTTGCTTCGAGAGCAAAATATCTTTGGATTTCCTTACTGAGTCATCCGATGGCCTCTTGCTCTTTAATGGTCCCATGGCAACCAGCACACGCGTGAAGACAGAGGACTTTATTGCAGTAGGTGAGGAGGTCATGCAATGACCTTGTAGAGAAAATTGTATAGCAAATTCTATAAATATCCATTAGAAATGAAAACCATTTTTTTCTAATATATGGAAGGATATGCATTACTTGTTTGAATGCAAAAAAATGTATCGTTTTAGAGATTAAATTCATGTATTTTAGTTCAAATGAGATTTGATATTTAAACAAAGTGGAAAAAAACTATGCAGATTTTACATTGCAGTTATAAAGTAAGTTAGAAATCAATGCAGTATCGATGCACTAAGTGGCCAGGCCAAGCAATCATGAACTGCTCTGATTTTAAGAGTTCTAACAATTTAGAATATTAGCAGAAGGCAACTAATATCTTATGTGACTGCAAGGGTTTTCTCCAAAGCAATACAACACCCAATGCCAGTGCTGTTTGTTTTACTGTTAGTGTATCAAATTTATTTTTCTATATTTCATAACTGAAGTGCAGGCCTGCAGGGCCATGATCTGTCCAGTCACCCCATCTACTCCCACCTTGTCTTTACATCTTTGCTCTTGGTCCATTTTACCTGTTCCTTTTAGCATTGCTCTTCTCTGTTCCCTTCATTTTAGGTCTGATTTCTAAACCTTTATCTTTTCCATCCTCTTTCAGTTTCTTTCACCAATGTTGGTCATTTTATATCCCTCTATCATCCTTATCAGTCTATCAGTTCTTCTCACACTTTAAGCCATCCTCCTATTTTTGTTCACCTCACCACACAAATTCTTCTAAAGTCCTCTTCACAGTCCCACCCAGCCACTCATAGTCCCATGCCTCTGTCCTGTGTGTCAAAACTCACACTCACAAAGCATTAACATACAAATGCCTTATAAAAGAACGATATGACAATAACACATTGTTTCACAATCATTACCAACGATGAGAGGAACTGGAAGAGTGTAACTGGTAGTTTAGCTTTTTTATAATCCCTGTGTATTCCCTGTAATTTTTACATTTTATACTTATTTATTTGTTTACTAGAGCTTCAGAGTGGATCACCAATATTGGTTATTAATCATGGCTCGGGTACGCTCTTTCTTCAGTTTTCTACAAAACTAAACATGGCAGATGGACGCTGGCACACAATCGAGATTATGAGCAGTGGAAAGGTATATGAACTCACAGTTCCCATGCGCTACCTACATATCACCATTATACTTTCTACCACTCTTGGGAGCAAAGCAATTTGTTAGAGTAAAGGCAATGGAAAGATTTTGGTCGATTTGCATTATATTTTAGAAATTGTGTCAAATCCTTTACAGTCTGGCCAGGATTATGGTATAGCAGTCTCAGGCAGAAATATTAATAAGATCAAAGTATTTAACCAGGAAAGGTACATTAAGATCTCGTCAGTATTAAGTACATTCTGAGGACTAGCAGCTTTTACCCAACACAATGCTACTTATTTTGTTGGTGAAAACCAGAAATCAGATGTGTCCTTGCCTATGAGCTATTTATGTTCATATTGTAAAATATATATACTGTATGTGTTTATAAATACCGTATAAATTATCTTATAAATACCGTATAAATTACTTTATAAAGGTTACAAAATTAGTCATCCAACCAAGGTCAGGTGGAGTTGGATTCTGGTAAAAAAAAAAAAGTCAAAAAATATGAATAGACAGTTAATGTATGTTCCAATGTTGTATTTAAAATATATTTAACTGAACCACTTGTCCTAACATGCACCCATTCTTTTAGTGATTGATAAAAAAGTTCAATTTTTCATCTTAGAAAGTCAAGATGACTCTCGACCATTGCTCCCATAACTTTGTAAATGAAGCTGTTGGGCCTCAGAAAACACACAACAATCGATCATCATGTGAGATTTCAGGGGAGACACCTGGGAGCAAGAGGCAAGTAAAACTATTATATGTAGGATAATTTGGGGACTTATTTATCAAAGTTTTTGTTAATTGGTGGTTAAATTCCACCATTAGTTTGATTAAAGTGATCTGAAAAAAATCTCAGTTTTCTTCATAGTAAATTCTGCCAGTTTTCATGGAAATTTAAATTTCAGAAGACCTCCAAATTTAGAGTGGTAGAAAAATTCTGCTAGTTTTCTGATGAAAAAAGTGGTGGAAATATTCATAAATCCACTGCATCTGCAAAAACAGATATTATTTCCTTCATTATAGTGGCAGTACAGTAGGAATGATTACGATTATAGTGCTTAGGTAGCCTCCTGAAATAAACAAAAATTTCAGTTTTTCTTTACTTGAAGCAGCAGTAGGGATAAAGCAAGATACCTCGAAACCATGGGTGGGTCAGTAACTACTCAAGCAGCTTGTAACACCTTAAATCCAAAAGAAGCTTCTGCTGAGGATACATTGTCTAGCCTGTAATGCCTTGTAAAGGTATTTAAAGAGGACCAATGCAGATTTCTTGTGGAAAAATGTTCTTTCTGCCCAAGAACTACTCTTTTACCTTAATCGACAGATCCTTTTCCTATTACCCTGTTTGCAAGCTGAATAGTCTCATTTACCTAAAGTGCTGTCGTAGTTGATGATGCTTCATTCCATTTAATCTTTCCCCTGAAGTTGATTAACAGAAGATCAGATCTTCTCCAATCTGCTGTCTTCTTCAAGTAGATTTTTAATGTTCTTTATAAATCCTAGCAGTGAAGGTGTTCTTCTTTAAGAGCTGATGGATTTTCAAATAACGTAGGTTAAAATTCCGGAATACTGGTGATGTGGATAATGCTTGTATCACTCCATCCATTTTTTCTGAAGTGATAGCAATCAGGGAAATAAATACCGGTGCTGGCCATAAGTAGCTGTTGGCTCCCAATGGGGGGCAGATAGCAACATTTCCCACCAGACCAGTAGGGATCATGATACCCACTCCGTGGCCAAAGGTAAGCATCAGAGAAGGGGGAAAACACTTTAGTTTCTGTTTAGTAGAAATGCTTTATTAAAGAAGTCCCTAAGCCCCTATCCCTCCACAAATGTAACCGCAGAAGCAGCCACCACACCCACATATACATACACGCTCGCATTAACACATCCAATTGTTTCATATATGTATGTGCGTGTGTATACATATATGGAGGGAGGTGCATTGAGGAAAGTGGCGTTGTGGCAAGGAGGGTAAATCTGGCCCTGTATACTGCACTGTTTCAAGAGGAGCAAATGGCTTTTAATTTAATTTTATGATAAATTGACTTTACTGATTTCAGTGGTGCTAAGATACTTCCTGCTCTATGGTTAGTAACCCACAGGCTTTTTTGGGATAACAACAGATCACATGGTCCTTAACCAGCTAATAAATTTAATATTTAAAATAATATCACGGAACCAAAAATTGTTAAATGATAGGTCCTATGTACTAGCTTTGTAAAATATTTCATTCTGTAACCGAAACAAAAAAAAAAGATATTGCAATAAAATACATTTTAAAGATAAATTAATACCTGTATTATTTCTGTCTTCATTGCATTTGTTTCCAAATAATATAATCCCATCAAATAGAAGGTCTTGCAGGATTTTACCTATATGATACAAGAACCTACTACTGAAACACATTTAGTTCTTTGTACATTGTATCAGGTTATCATTGTTTACTTTGATCATATTTCCAGGTTCCTGAATGTTTATCAGCCCCTTCAGCTCGGTGGCGTGCGGAACACACGCCCAACACTTCACCCTTCTATTCACTTCACAAGCTTTACTGGATGCATCCGGAACCTCTATGTTGATAGCAAGGTAATGCAGAACAAAAATATATCTTAGCTATGGTCTAGTGCAGGGGTAGGCAACCTTTGGCCCTCCAGATCTTTTGAACTACATCTCCTATAATGCTTTTACAGTCATAAAGCTGGCAAAGCATCGAGGTAGATTAAAAAAAGTCCAAGACATCTGGTGTGCCAAAGGTTGCCTACCGCTGGTCTAGTGGCAGGCTAACTCTGAAATGACATGATCCCCACAAATTTATCATATGAGTAGTGTTTAAATGTGTCCTCAAAAAATACATACCCGTTGTAATGAATATGTGTGCTAAGGCTGTTCTGTATATGATATACATACTTGTTAGTTGTAATAAAGTAGGGTTGAAAAGTAATGGCTTACTCACAGCTTGCTATTTAGAAACATTTATTTATCGCAATAACTATATTAATAACATTAAGAGCAGATAAGGTGAAATCACTTATCAATTTCACCGTACCATTACACATAATTACAAAAATTAATTATATTAGTAACTCGTTTCTGCAGCTATAGTTTGCCAAATGAGAATGGGCCTTGTAAGAATTAATTTTTGTGTTTATGGAATGGCTGCCACAGGGCATTTAAATAGAGGACAAAACCAGATCTTGACAGTAGTTTGGTAATGATCACAAGAAGGCATTCCCAACTACGCCACTAGGTGGCAGAATAACCATCATATCCAAAAAGAGTTACAGTACTTATTATTGTTATTGGTATTTATATAGCGTATTTATATAGCGCCAACTAATTCCACATCGCTTTACATCAAAAGGGGAATTTGACAAATGAGACAATAATGAAATGTTACAGGAACAATAGGTAGATGAGGACCCAGATCAAATGAGTTTACAGTCTAAAGAATAAAACCAGTTCACAATTCACTGATCATCACAGCCAGGGCCGGTGCGTCCTATAGGCGACTTAGGCAGTCGCCTAGGGCGCACCGGCCCATAGGGTGTCAGGTTGGAGTGGGCTGGTAGGAGGGAGACTCTAAGAGACAAGGGGAGGGAGAGCACTATGGGAATGGGGGGGCCGGGCAGGGGAGAGCACTAAGGGTCCGGGGGAGCATTAACGGTCAGGGGAGAGCATTAAGGGATAGGGGGCAGGAGAGAGCACTAAGGGACAGGGGGGCAGGGGAGATCACTAAGGGACAGGAGGGGAGATTGCTAAGGGACAGGGGAGAGCACTAAAGGACAGGAGGCAGGTGATATCACTAAGGGGCAGGGGAGATCACTAAGGGACAGGTGGGGAGGGGAGATCACTAAGGGATAAGAGAGCACGAAGGGGCAATAGTGGAGGGGAGAGCACTAAGGGGCAGGAGGGAAGGTGAAAACACTGAGGGACAGAAGGGAGGGGAAAACACTGAGGGACAGGCAGGGCCATCTTTAATATTGATTGGACCCTGGGCAAAGCATTTGCTTGGGCCCCTGGAACCTGTCCCCCCTCACCAGGCGTGCAATCACGTCCTCCACCCTAACGAAGTGGCAGACCTAAAGTAGAGAGGTGCAAGAATTTTTTTGAGCCTCCCTATCGCACGGGCGATTAGAAGGTAGATCCCCATCTGTCGTGCAACTCCAGCAATGCACTGACAGCTGGGGCTCTTCCATTTACCCATGTTTGAAGGTTTGTATTTAGCACTAAGCTGTTGTGTGTTTGAATGTTAGCAGGTTTTTGTATGGAATATGTTTGTATGTGGTGTTGGCGTACGTGCAAGCATGTATTTATGTGTAGTGTTGGTTTTTGAATGCAGGGTGTGTTTACATATAATTTTGGTGTGTAACTCAGACGTGTGTTTTGGAGTTTGAATGCCAGTGTGTATTTGTATGTGATGTTAGTGTGTGAATGCTGAGATGTATGCACATATACACACACACATATATCGATATATATATATATATATATATATATATATATTTATGGCACACACAGACAGACATACTGGTACACAGACATACTGACACACACACAGTCAGACCTACTGACAGACAGGGACCTACTGACAGACACACACAGACATACTACACACACACAGACCTACTGACAGACACACATACACACACAGACCTACTGACAGACACACATACACACACCGACCTACTGACAGACACACATACTGACACAGACACTGACAGACCTACTGACAGACACACAGACCTACTGACAGACACACACACACAGACATACTGGCACACAGACATACTCACAGTCAGACCTACACACACAGACCTACTGACAGACACACACACACAGTCATACTCACACACACAGACACACAGACATACTGGCCCACAGACATACTGAAATACACCTATGCAAACTTTAAAGCCCCCCTCCAGTTTCCTACCTTCCCTGGGGTCCAGTGTGCTGGTTGGGGTGGTTGGGAGTTGGGGACTGGCTCTCTTTGCTCAGTCCCCCTCCTCGCTGCCTCCTGGCTCAGTCTTCCTCCTGCGCGGCTCATCATCTCAGAGGGAGGAAGTGACTCACCGACGTCACTTCCTCCCATGCTGCCGTAAATCAGAGGGCCCGGTCGTGCTGTTAAAGGGTCACAGCACCCGACCGGGCCCCTGCTGAAACGTGCTCACCGGGTGGCCCTAAATGTATTGGCCACCCGGTGAGCCTCCTTAGAGTATGGGCCCCGGTGCAGCCGCAGTACCAGCACCGCGGGCCCATGGGGGGGGGGGATTTTTCTTATGCAGGCTATGGGCGGCGGGGCAAATAGGGCAGCTGCTTTGGGCCCCCAAGGAGTAACTGGGCCCGGGGCAGCTGCCCCGTTTGCCCCGCGTTAAGGACGGCCCTGGGGACAGGAGGGGAGGGGAGAGTTCTAAGGGACAGGAGGGGAGACCTCTAAGGGACAGGGGGAGAAGTGGAGATGAGACCACTAAAGGACGGGGTAAGTGGAAGAGATCATTAAGGGGTTAAAGAGAAGCACAGAAGGGCTGGTAGGGGAGACAGAGACACGCTTGTGAGGGAGACAGATAGAGGGGCCTGGTGGGAAAAGAGACACACCAAGGAGCTGGGGAGAGTAAGACGCAAAGGGGCTTGGGGGAGTTAGACATGCAAAGGGGTTAGGAGGATATAGGAGACGTACAAAGACGGGTGGGGGGGTAAGAGACACACAAGGGGCTTGTAAGAGATACACTAAAGGAGGGTGTAAGTCACAAAACTTTAAGAAAAAATATACAAAAAAATTATATTAACAAAAAAAAAATTATAATAAAAATAAACAGCTACTCCCTTCTCAGCCCCTATCCTACCCCACAAACCCTCTCTTTCTCACTACACACATACACAATGCATCTCTACACACACACATGCACAGAAACATACAATGCATCTCTACTCACACAAAGACACACCGAAACATATGATGCATCCTACACTCACACAGAAACACACCATGTTTCCCTTACACACACAGAAACACACAATGCATCCCTTACACACACACAATATAGCCCTTGCACACATACATAGAAGCACACAATGCATCCCTTGCACACATACACAGAAGCACACAATGCATCCCTTACACACTAACACTACTTCTCTTCATGCTTCTCTTACACACACTAAATGCACCCATTACAGACACACACACAGCATTACATTACATACACAGAAACACGCACACACACACACACACACACACACACACACACAATGCAGCCCTTGCATACATACACAAAAGTATTAAGAGAAGCTCACTGCTTCTGTTAATGCATCTCTTAGACACACTTAATGCACCCATTACAGAAACACACACTGCATTACATTACATACACAGAAACACACCTTGCATCCCTTACACATACAAACACAGATTCACACAATGCATTCCTTACACAAACTGGTATCCCTATGCACTCCATTCCATAAGAACACACACACATTACATCCTCTATAATAACACATAACATATTCCCTACACGCATACACTCTACTCCCTGTGAGCTAACTCATAGGTGGGCCTTGTAGGCATAAGGCTTATGGGCGGGCCTCGTATGCATAAGGCTTATGGGTGGGCCCAGGCCGTGATCTGTGTAAGGGGCCCAAAAAAATGGAGCTGCTTCCTGTTCATTGATTTTTGTGAGCACTGCCTCCAGAGAGCCTGTTTTAACACCAGACCAGTGAAGCCAGACTGCAGCCTAAGCCCATCATCATCCTCTTGTCCTCATCTGGTGGTAAGTAGGCAATCCAGTATATTATTAGGGGCACTAATCTCTAATTTACCTCACATTAAAGGGACACTATAATCACCAGAACCACTACAGCTTAATGTAGTGGTTCTGGTGTCTATAGCCGGTCCCTGCAGGCTTTTTAATGTAAACACAGAGAAAAGACACTGTGTGCAGCAGCACTGGCGTTGGCTCATATGGCAGATCATATGGGTGGGTATTGTGATGTTACATGGTGGGCAGAGCATTTGGAGGGGGGGGGGGGGGGGGGGAGGAAATTTTTTGTTTGCCTAAGGCGGCAAAAACCCTTGCACCGGCCCTGATCACAGCACAGGTTTACAAACATTTTCAAGGCACATGGAAGGCTAAATTATAATTGCAAGTATCTGCATAGAGGTGTAAAAGTATATAGCATTATTATAATGTTAAAAGTATGTAAAATGTATGTATAAAAGTATCTGCATTAGATAGATATACGTGCATGAGCAGCGTGCATTTATATAAAGATACAGGGATTGTGTTTGCTAGAAATGTATCTCATCTATAATCGAAATACAAACATAGCGGGAAATATAGTAACCATCTGCAACTGTAAAAATAATAAATGAAACTGTATGTTAAACAAAAAAAAGAGCAGTTATGAAATTTACTAGCAATTCACTATTTGATTAGTAACGTACTACTAACGCTAAAAGAAAGAAATGTAATTATTTGTCATTGTCTATTTCTTTTATTCCTCACAGGTTTATGTTTGCTTTGTGATTTTATTACAATCCATTTCCAGGGTTTGAAAAAACTGTTTTATTTGTAGACCTTACTATCATATGTAGCATATCAGTAAATGATTTTATTATACCTGCTTCCTTACATTTTATTTGTTGGGATTAATGTATAATAACATATCTATTATTCTATATTATATAACATTATCAGGTGTATGATTTGCAGCAGCCAGCGGAGTCTTTAAACAGTGCTCCAGGCTGCCCAGTGACAGATGAGCTGTGTAAGGTGGCAGGATCGCCCCTGTGTGGAGGTCATGGTTACTGCACAAATGATATTACCTCTGTTAGATGTGACTGCCATCCAGGATACAGCGGATTAAACTGCAAATCAGGTTCGTCAAGTAAATTTAGACTGCAATTAAGAGAACAAATAAATTATAAAAATAAACATTCTCTGGGATATTTTAATTAAACTGAGATGCATTTTCATTAAATATATCACTTCGATGAACTGAAAGGCACTACGGTTTTAGTAACTTACTACTATTAGAATGGTTTACAGCCATTACTGCTAAGTTATAGTTTATCTATTCTATGGTAAACAGTCTTTTTTTCAGGGATAGTTTGTTAAGTTCTTCCCCCATGTCATAGAATGTGCAATAACTGCCATAGAGGCAGTCAATGATAGCAAATGTAAAACAGAATAAAATCTCAAAGAGGAACACGTGGAAACCTATACCCTTAGTGGAGTGCCGTAATAAATATTAGATGGGTCGCTAACCCCTCACAATCTTTATGTATACAGGAATACACAGCAAGTACATAAAAATCAAAAGGAACAGAATATAGTGGTAGTGTATCTATAAATCAGGTCACTCACATGTAGCGGAGCCTATACGTATTGGCTCCGTAAATAATAATTACCTTACAGGGTTAACTCCACCTCTAGTGTCTGTCTACCAGACAACCACTAGAGGCACTTCCAGGTGGTAAGGTGATTTTTGGTCGCCTACCTGATGCTGGACATTCTCACGCAATGCATGAGGACATCCAGTGTCATCTAAAACCCCATAGGAAAGCATTGTGCAAAGCTTTACTATGGGTTAGTCCTAAAGCGAGCGCAACTCCTGGAGCACATCCGCCTTAGGCCACACTGCCGCTGATGTTGGTGGAGGAGAAGCAGAGGTGGAGCCTGACCCAGCACTGAGGAACATCAGCGCTGGAATCAGGTAAATGACAGAAGGGTTTTTAACCCTCCTAGCACCACATTGGGGGGGAGTGCGCAAGGGAGGGGGGCTTTGTTTTCCTAGCACTATAGTTTCCCTTTAACCCCTTAAGGACAGAGCTTCAAAAGCTTGTCTTTCACTTAATGACAACAGCATTTTTTTAATTTTTTGCTGTTTGCGTTCAACTGCAATTTGCATTTTACAAATTTATTGCACCGACACATATTATATACCGTTTTTTAAAGGACAGAAAGGGCTTTAATTTGATGTAACATATATATATATATATATATATATATATATATATAAATGCTTATTTATTATTAAAAAAAAATACAGAAAAATGCAAAAAAAAAAATTTGTGTAATAATAATGTGTGCACAATGAGTGCAGGTTAAGGAAAGTAATTAAAAATAAATTAATTTAGTTGTTCTGATTTACAGAATATATAATGTGTCTGGGATTTTAAGTTTTTTTTGGTAGTTACAGGTCACAAAGCACAAGGAGTAAATGAAACCTTTAATGTGGAGCAATTTTAGAATTTGGTATATTTGTCTTGTAAGCTTAATAGCCATAAAAGAAAACAAAATTGCCACACAAAAGTATATATTTATATAAAGTAGATATCACAGGCTATTTACTTAAGGTTGTTTTGACACTTTCTACGTAGCCATTTCACCGCCAACCTCTGCTAAATATTGGAGTAAAATTGTGTTTTTTGGGTTTTTTGGCACACAAACTTGTAAGAAAAAAATTCTCATGTATATTTTGTAAAGTTGGTGTGTGCTATTCCTGTACAAAGTTTTATTTTGTGTTCAGTTACATCTGCTGAGTAAAATGACACCCCCATTGTATGTCTTTGGCACTATTTCGTGAAGTTACAGTGCCATATAGGATACCTGTATTCACAGTAGAATTTTGAGAGACGGATTTAATGAGCCTATGCTTCCATTTGGGGTATTATAGTAGTTTGACTGTTCAAAAAAAACCCACAAAGGCCTACCATTTGTAAAAGTAGACACTCCAGGGTATCTCATAAGGTGCATATTGTGCCTTAACATGCCCCCATTTTTTCACCAATATATGCCAAAGTATGTGATAAAAAATTATTTTGTGCATTTTTTACATATGGATTGCATTTTTGCTGGGCATTTTGTATATTTCATATGTGCCACTAAGTTCAAACCCCCCCAAATTATGCTCAGCTAAGTCTTCTGAGTAAAAAGACACCCCCAATGAATGTCTTTGGCACTATTTCGTGAAGCTACAGTGCCATATAGGAGGCCAAGCCATATCATTTTTTACCGCACTTTGAATTTTGACGCTGGGCCTGTGTGCAATTTCCAAGCATCTTCGCAGGTTTTAAATTCAAACTACCACACAAAGGCCTACCATTTCTTAAAGCAGACACCCCAGGGTATTTCAAAAGGTATATTTTGAACCTTAGCGTGGGATCATTTTTCCGCTAGCTTGTACCAGGTGTAGTGGTAATAAGCGTTTTTTCTGCCTTTTTGACACACAAAGTGAGTTTGCACAGTATATTTTGCAAACCTTATGTGTGCTACCACTGTATAATACTTCATATGTTGCACAGCTATGTCGGCTGAGTACAGCTATACCCCCGTATGTACCTTTGCCAGGTATATGTGGACATCGGAGGGGCACATTTGGGACACAGCCATTCCAGTTTTTTTCAAACTTTACACTTTTACGCTGTGCCCATGTCCCATTTTAGAGTATTTTACCAGGCTATATAATCCAAATACCCTATAAAGCCATACCATTTCTTAAAGAAGACATCCCAAGGTATTTCAAAAGGCATATTTTGAACCTTAGCGTAGGATAATTTTTCCGCTAGCTTGTACCAAGTGTAGTGGTAATAAGCGTTTTTTCTGCCTTTTTGACATACAAAGTGAGTTTGCGCAGTATATTTTGCAAACCTTATGTGTGCTACGACTGTATAATACTTCATATGTTGCTCAGCTATGCCGGCTGAGTACCGCAATACCCCCGTATGTACCTTTGCCAGGTATATGTGGATGTTGAAGGGACGCAGCCATTCAGTTTTTTTTCTAACTTTGAAGTTTTACGCTGTGTCCATGTTCCAATTTGGAGTAGTTTAGATGGTTGGTTATTGAAACTTCCCCACAAACACATACTATTTATTAAAAAATACACCCTGGGGTAATTCAAAAGGCATATTTTGAACCTTAGCGTGGGATCATTTTTTCTCTAGTTTGTTCCAGGTGTAGTGGTAATGAGCATTTTTAAATGTATTTTTTTACTTTTTTTATTTTTAAAAACTAGTTTTTAAACTTTTGTTTTGCTTATTAATTTTTTAAAAACTTTCCTAAACTTTCTTAAAACTTTTTTACAGATTTAACATTTTTCTAAGCTTTTTTTTTTTTTTACCGTTAACCCCTAACTAGCAGTAAGCAGCACTAACAGTAAATTCCCCATTTTCCCAAAACTCCCACCCACCCCAGCAAGCAAAATATATAGTTATAAAATATTTTCATTAATTAATTAAATAAATTGAACCCCTGAGGGTTAAAAAATAAATAAAAGTAAAAAACTGTAGGCAGTGATCGACTGGCAGGGAAGAGGTAAATTTTTATTTGGACTGGGTAAAGGGGTTGTTTTTTTTTTATTTTTTACTTAAACGTTATTAAAACTTTTTTAAGCTTAATTTTTAACTAATACAGAGGCAGACCGGAGCACCAATAACCCAGCGATCGCCGCAATAGCGGTGACCCGGGGTTAATTTTACCGCGTGACGGACGAGGTCCGTCACTCGTCGTTAAGGGTTTCCCCTGAGCGCTTTTGAAGTAACACAGTTCCTCTTGTTGGAGGTTTGTTTTTGTGAAACAGAATAGTTTATTTTAAATTTACCAGCAACCTTTTTTTTTTTTTTTTTTTTTGCCGTGCATAAAAAATTATAACATACAATTTCGAGGTACCCCAACGGCAATCCTCAAAGCAAACATCACATGTTACACTTGGGGTATTAAGTTAGACATGCACAATTTTATAATATTGGGGATAAGAATCTTTATGAGGAGTTAAAGTGGAGACATAAATCGTGTGCGAGAGCTGCAGATATGGGGAACTCCTAAGCTCTTCAGCCAATAAGAGTGTATGTGTGATCCAGCTCAATATGGGTAAACATATTTTAGTGAAACACTATAAGTCTAGCTTAGTAAATGCGCATGTACTACTGTATTGTCAGTGAGCGAGAAGCTGAATGTTACAGGCTGAGCTTATGTGGGTGCTGAAGTATGAAATATACTCTACAGAGGGACAAAGAGTGGAAAATATGAGATGCTAGCTAGGTCATCTGATTATATAAAAGAACAGGGTAAAAACCATGGGTTAAAGCACTTAACAGTTTGCCAAATCAGGTAAGGTGGCTGCTATTGGTGTATAGCGGGTCTGGTAACTTAGGCACGGAAGGGCATGTTCAGTCCATGTTCAACCGACTCCTGACATCGGGAAGCACAGGTAATCTGCTAAGCAGTCCCTCAGGGCCTTGAGCACATGTGGGGGCCTGTGAGGCCGAGTGGTTGCAGGGGGTCCAATTTTGGTCATTCTCTGCATCTTCCTCTGTGTCAGTTTGCATGTCGCTGTACCTCGTCGTTTGCCTGATCACCACTGTGGGGGCCTCGCCTTCATCAGCGATGATCGCCCTAGGTGGTGGCTTGTAGTTGTGGGTGGCATGCTCTGTTTACCTGGTTGCTGCCGGCGAGCTGTTCTCTTGGTGGCTCCCGGCCCAAGGAGGCGGTTGCCACTAGTGGCAGGTACTGGACACCGTTGGATGCCGCTTCGTGATCCGCGGCCCTTTTGTGCTGCCTGCCTCTGGTCTTTTGCTGGGGGGTCCCGTTGGGGACTTGCTGCTTTTGCCGCCAGCTTCGCCCAGAAGGCTTCCAGGATAGCATCGAGCTTTGCCTCTAGGCCCCCCTGGGACACCAGTCTGCATTGTGTGTGTAGTTGCTTTGCTTGGCTGTGGCAGGGGGGTGAGTCCGCCATCTTGTGCGTCTGGTTATATTCTGTGATTCCGATGCGTTGGCTAGGGGCCATCCACTCTGTAGGTAGTGAAGTATGGACCGGGATGTCCCCCCCGGCCCAGAGGGGGGGGAATGGGGCTTTGTGTGGTCCTGCTGGGTGAGGAGATCGGGGACAGGAGATCGGCTGCCTCTCCCGCCCGTAGCCCTCGCTAGGCCGCAACCGCTCTGCATGGCTTTTGGCGGCCAGCATCCCGGTTTTTCAGACCGGAACACTCCAGCCGTCGTCTGCGATAGGTAAGTCCCTTTTTGGGTCAGGTTGTGAGCGGCAGGAGTCTCGATTCGATGCTTGGGCAAGTAGTTTGCTTGGGAGCTCCTGCAAGTTGCGACCGTCCGCCATCTTGGTCAAGCCCCGCCCCAATTTACCAGCAACCTTTAACATAAAAGTATCAAAGTGTAAAAAGGCATTAAAATATCAACATCACAAGTTAACTAAGCATAAATTTGATGTTCATGGTTTTTTATATTTAACCAGAAAATAAGCAACTCAAATTGGCACAAATGGGCAGGTATTATTATTATTATTATTTTAGCATTTATATAGCGCCAACTTATTCCTCAGTACTTTACAATATTATAAATGGGGGAAATGTAACAATATATGAGACAATTACAAAATGTTACAGGAACAAAGGGTTTATGAGGCCCCTGCTCAAATAAGTTTACAATTCTAGATGGAGTGAGGTATAAAAACACAAGTTTGGTACAGCATTAAACTGTATCTGGGCACACTCCTTCCTCTCAGCTATAACAGAAGCTTTCCACACCAGCCTTTTTGTACAGGTGAGCGTTCATGCCTAGTGCCAACCAGCTATTAAGTAACACTTACGATGGCACATTAGTTATTGTTTACATATGTTTGGTTGAAACAGGCTAATGCAGCTTCCTCCTATGTAATGTTTTCTAGTTTTAATGGATCTAAACAGTTTTCAAAACTTAGAAATGAACAGGTGAGATGGTTGTGGTATTTTATGGAATGCCTTCTTCTACAGTTCTACAAGAGTGGTCATTTGGAAAGGACAGTTGGATTCATTACCTTGTTCATCCTTCACTAAGCATGCATCTGACAAATGTGCAACTCATGGCTCGCACGCGAGTCTCATTTGGTACCTTCCTCAGCTTGATGTCTAAAGACAGATCTTCGTTTCTGAGGCTGGAGGTAGGTCACCTGATTAATACTCTCTATGCCATATTTTAAATATATTACAAAATGTTTCTTCTCTGCGGTAACTCAGTTACATCACTTGGGTTTTAAAAATAAGTCAGGGCTTTAATATTATTAGTTGGGCTATAAAATAAATATATTTATGTTCAGGGCAACAGGGCAGTGTTTATTTCCCTCAAAAAGCACTTGAATTTATAGTCTGCATTTCCACCATGGTTTTTTTTTTTTTTTTGGACCCATAACATTCCATAATGATGAGTAGTCCATGAATAAGGATGCTCTACCATATGAAGACTTGAAATGTTATAGGAGTGAAATCAATTAATAATTCAAGAAGATACTAAAGAAACTGCTGCAAATACCTAAGTGGTTTGTTGTCTTCCTACACAATTCTACATGCGTCAAGGTAATTTTTCTAATGAGCTGCCCATTAACATAAACTCGTTAATGGAAATGTATGTCTTTCTGTGCATCACCCAATGATGTCACCATATGCCTTCATTCGAGCTGGATCTGCCCCAGCCAAACTCTGTTAAATAGATATATGGAAGAGATGAATAAAATAAATTAATTGTGAGCCCATTTACCAATGATTCATTTCTGATTCTGGTTTCAATTTCCCTAAAGGTGGCCGAAGGACAGTTTGCCATACGTTTCGACTTTGGAGACAGAGAACACTTTATTAGGGTGCCAAACTTGAGGATAGACCATGGCCAGTGGGTACTACTAAACTTAGAACGTTATGACAATATTTTCACATTACGTCTTAATGGTGGTGGAGGGGAACGACAAGTAACTTCGGTATTGGGAAAGAACTGGTTGTTTGACGTGGATCCATCAAGTGTTATGCTAGGAAACAGCTTCCCTCAGCAAGCAGATAATGACTTTGAGGGTAAGCACCAACATTTAATGGCACGGGGTAAGCAACTTTTTGAACTGAGGTAAGGTTGTAGACCTTTGGGTCATATCAAATGGGAAATGGCATGTGCAATATGTCTAGCAGGTCAGTGCAAAAAAAAAAACATTACTTTTAACCTAATTCAACCAAATATGACAGGGAAGTGGTTTTTGTGTGTGTGTGTGTGTGTGTGTGTGCGTGCGTGTCTGTGTGTTTGACTTACTCCGTTGTGAATAAATAAAGGATTGAATGACAGCTTTATTTTATTAGCCAATTACTTTAAAGAAACATTAGCATTTCAGTTGAAGTTCAGTTTACATGAAACAGAACATTTAGAGCAGGGGTGTCCAGGAGGTAGATTCCCAGATGTTTTAAAACTACAGCTTCCATGATGCTTTACCTTTTCGGGCACCCCTGATTTAAAGAAATTGAAAAATATATATGGAGGTTATAAAACATGGCTAATTTTGCTTATTGTCAAGGAAGACTGTATTTTCAATCAGACAGGGAGCTGCCATTAGTTTATCCTCATCTTGTAATTTTCTGTCTTTTTACCTTGATTTGAATTCCATCTGTTTTCTGATTGGATGCCTAGTGCTCTCAGCCAATTACAATATAGCTATATTGCCAAATGAGTCAATACAAATGTCCTTTACAGGATGCCTGCGTGATGTTCGCCTAAATGGTCTCATGCTTCCTGTGGATGGAGAGAGTAATAGGTACAGCACAGTTGTGAGTTCATGTGGAATCAGCAAAGGATGCTATTCAGATGCCTGCAGGAATGATCCATGCCAAAGTCCTCTAAACTGTATTGACTTATGGAGAAAACATGAATGCAGGTAATTTTACACTTAGAATTTAAAGGAGCACTATAGTGCCAGGAGACAGCCACTAGAGGCTGGATTAACCCTCAATGTAAACATAGCAGTTTCTCTGAAACTGCTTTGTTTACATCTGAAGGGTTAAAACCTGGGGGACCTGGCACCCAGACCACTTCATTGAGCTGAAGTGTCTGGGTGCCTATAATGGTCCTTTAAATTGGGAAAATCTGTTGTAATTTAATTAATTGGATCAACACTTTTTATTGTTTCTATTGTGATAACTATTATTTGCTTTTATTCATTTGTATAGTGGTAACAAATATTGTGTCAGAATATAGAGTATAGTAGTTGTAGTTATGTGTATTACCTGATATTGGGAAGTATGTAATCGGGACATATATTAATAGTGCTATAGTTGTATTTGATTTTAAAGGGGAACCATGACTTGCCTAAAAATTACACCATTGAATAAAATGTTGAAAATCACATACAACATGCCTTAACCGTTTTGTTGTATGTAATGCTCCATGTTCTTTTATGTTTATTTTAAAGGTTTATTAAATGACAGTTCAGTTCACTTCAGGCACAGCCAGGGCACACATTGAAAATGAGGAGGACAAATAGAAACATTGTTTCCTTTTTCCTTTTTGGCTGTATGCTTTCTTAATGCTGTCTGCCAGGTGCAAAAGGCAGAGCTTATAATAATGATTGACAGGGAGCTAGAATGGAGACACACAGTTGCAGGACTGGCAATACAAAGCAGCCCTGGAAAAAAAAAATGTATGCCAGCCCTATAAGTCATGGTGCCACATAGGGTGTGTGTGTGTATATATGTACACCCTGTTCCAAATTATTATGCAAATTCTATTTAAGTGTCACAAAGATTAAATATTTTGTTTTTCAGTTTAACTCATGGATGGCATTGTGTCTCAGGGCTCTTTTGATCACTGAAAACATTCTCGGAAACCTGTGATAATTAGATTGCCAGGTGAGCCCAAGTTAACCTCTTCCCGCCGTAACGGCGTTCTATGCCATCGCGGCTTTAATGGGCTTTAAAGCCGTTGCGGCGGCATAGAACGCCGTAACGGCTTTGAGCCCCAGAGGACCGGCGGTACTCACCTCCGCAGCGATCCTATTCTGGAGGGCTGCCAGACCGCCCAGGCAGCCCTCCTCTGGCGAATGAGGCCCCGGGGGTCATGTGATCGCTCTCAAAGAGCGATCACATGGCCCCCTATAGCTGGCTGTGGATCTGCCAGCAGGGGGGCTGTCTGAAATATCAGACAGTCCCCCTGCTGGTGGAAAGTGTAAAAAAAATAAATAAACATGTTAAAATAAATTAAATATATTTTTATATATATAATATATGTGTATATATTATATATATAATATATATACATATTGTATACATATAACGTCATACGTAATGTATTTTAATATTAATATAAGTATATATTAAAATACACTTAGAATGATGTTACATATATATTATGTATATATATTATATATATATATATATATATAATAGATATATACACATATATTATATATATACGTATAATTACAATAATAAATAAATTAAATAATAAATAAATAAAATATTGAAACAAAATTTAATATAAATTATATATTCATATGTAATTTCATTCTAACTGTATTTTGTTTTTAATATATATATATATATTGGTAACAAAATACACTTAGAATGACATTCTATATATATCTATCTATATATAAAATACAAATAACCGCAAATATATATAGATAAATACATATAATTACATAAAAGATTACATTAGTATACACGTAGAATTTAAATACCTATAAATGCATATATATTAAAATTCTACGTGTATATTTAAGTAATCTTTTAACATAATTATGTGATTTGATTAATTAAAATTTGATTGACATGCCTGACAACACAGGGAGAAAGTGCAGAGAATTTAATTCGCAAGCACTATATTTGACCCTGTAACTCCAAGACTCCATAAAACCTGTACATAGGGGGTACTGTTTTACTCAGAAGACTTAGCTGAACTCAAATATTAGTGTTTCAAACTGGTATATTGTATTACAACGATGATATTTTAAGTAAAAGTGAAGTTTTTTGAATTTTTTTACAAACGAACATCATGTTTATGGACTATATTATTGTTGTAATATGTTTTACTGTTTTAAAACACTAATATTTGTGTTTAGTGAAGTCTCCCGAGAATAACAGTACCCCCCATGTACAGGTTTTATGGTGTTTTGGAAAGTTAGAGAGTCACATATAAGGCTTTCATTTCATTTTGTTGACATTGAAATTTGCCAGATTGGTTATGTTGCCTTTGAGACAGTATAGTAGCCCAGGAATAAGAATTACCCCCATGATGGCATACCATTTGCAAAAGTAGACAACCCAAAGTATTGCAAATGGGGTGTGTCCAGTCATTTTTAGTAGCCACTTAGTCACAAACACTGGCCAAATATTAGTTTTTTGCTTTTTTCACAAAAAAACAAATATGAACGCTAACTTTGGCCAGTGTTTGTGACTAAGTGGCTACTAAAAAAGACTAAACATACCCACATTCAATACCTTGGGTTGTCTACTTTTTCAAATGGTCTGCCATTATGGGGGTAATTCTCATTCTCAAAGGTAACATTACTAATCTGGCAAATTTCAATGTGAAAATGAAACGTTCTATATTTGACCCTGTAACTTTCCAAAACACCATAAAACCTGGTAATTTGGGGTACTGTTGTACTCGTGAGACATCGCTGATTACAAATATGTGAATAACAGTATTATGACATTTACAGCTAAAATGTGAGGCGGAACTACAAATTGTTTTAAAAAATTAACATTTCTCACAGTTTTTAAAATTTTATTCATAATAAATTATGTTTCATATATAAATATTTGATATGAAATGAAAGCCCTGTTTCCCCTGAACAAAATGATATATAATAAGTGTGGGTGCATTTACTATGAAAGAGTTGAATTACGGTTGGACAGACATGTAGCGCAAATGCCAGGTTTTGTTTACATTTTGTTTTGTTCACAACGTGTATATTTGGCTCTGTCCTTAACCCCTTAAGGACACAACTTCTGGAATAAAAGGGAATCATGACGGAATATTTCCGTCATGTGTCCTTAAGGGGTTAAGGGGTTAAGGAAAAACTACTAAAGGAGGGTGTTCCACATTATTAAGCAGAGCACCATTTTCATGCAATATGGGGGAGAAAAAGGATCTCTCTGCTGCCGAAAAGAGTGAAATAGTTCAATGCCTTGGACGAAGGATGAAAACATTAGATATTTCACGAAAACTTAAGCGTGATCATCGCACTATTAAGTGATTTGTGGCTGATTCAGAGCACAGATGGGTTCGTACAGATAAAGGCACATTGAGGAAGATTTCTGCCAGATCCATGCATCTGATCAAGAGAGCAGCTGCTAAAATACCATGACATAGCAGCAAACAGATATTTGAAGGTGCTGGTGCCTCTGGAGTCCCACGGACATCAAGGTGTAGAGTCCTCCAGAGTCTTGCAACTGTGCATAAACCTTCTGTTCAGCCACCACTAACCAATGCTCACACGCAGCATTGGGCAGAAAAATACATGAAGACTAATTTTCAAACAGTCCTGTTCACTGATGAGTGTCGTGCAACCTTGGATGGACCAGATGGATGGAGTAGTGGATGGTTGGTTCCAACAAGGCTGCGACGTCAGCAAGGCGGTGGTGGAGTCATGTTTTGGGCCGGAATCATGGGAAGAGAGCTGGTCGGCCCCATTAGGGTCCACGAAGGTGTAAAGATGACCTCTGCAAAGTATGTAGAGTTTCTGACTGACCACTTTCTTCCCTGGTACAGAAGGAAGAACTATGATTTCCATAATAAAATCATCTTCATGCATGATAATGCACCATCTCATGCTGCAAAGAATATCTCTGCATCAATGGCTGCTATGGGGATAAAAGGAGAGAAAGTAATGGTGTGGCCTCCATCCTCCCCTGACCTCAATCCTATTGAGAACCTTTGGAGCATCCTCAAGCAAAAGATCTATGAGGACTGGATGCAGTTTACATCCAAACAGCAGCTCTGGGAGGCTATTCTGACATCTTGCAAGCAAATTCAAGCAGAAACTGTCCAAAAACTCACAAGTTCAATGGATGCAAGACTTGTGAAGCTGCTATCAAATAAGGGGTCCTATGTTAAAATGTAACGTGACCTGTTAAAATGTTTAAGAAGTTAAAATGTTGTTATTAGTTTGATTGAAATAGCTTTTGATTTCAGTAAAGATGCTGCAAACACAACAAATGACAATTTTCAGTTCTTTAAAACCTGTAAAGTGTTTTGAAACGTACTGTGCGTAATAATTTGGAACAGTGCATGGTAAGTTTTTTATGTTTTAAAAAAATACTGTTATCATTAGGAGGTTTGTTCAATAAAATTTGAATTGTACTCTTAATAGTTGATAACATGAGAATAATGCTGACTGTTATTTAGATCAATTATTTAGGTAAATGAGAAAAATATAATTTACATTATAATTTGGAACAGGGTGTGTATATATATATATAGTAAATATTTACTATATTACATATATATATATATATATATATATATATATATATATATACACACACACAGTATCTCACAAAAGTGAGTACACCCCTCACATTTTTGTAAATATTTTATTATCTCTTTTCATGTGACAACACTGAAGAAATGATACTCTGCTACAATGTGAAGTAGTAAGTGTACAGCCTGTATAACAGTGTAAATTTGCTATCCCCTCAAAATAACAACACACAGCCATTAATGTCTAAACCGCGACGAATGTGAGTACACCTTTAAGTGGAAATGTCTGAATTGGGCCCAATTAGCCATTTTCCCTGTGCGGTGTCATGTGACCCGTTAGTGTTACAAAGTCTCAGGTGTGAATGGGGAGCAGGTGTGTTAAATTTGGTGTTATCACTCTTACACTAACAAATACTGGTCACTGAAAGTTCAACATGGCACCTCATGGCAAAGAACTCTCTGAGGATCTGAAAAAAAGAATTGTTGCTCTACATAAATTGTTGCTCTAGGCTATAAGAAGATTGCCAAGACTCTGAAACTGAGCTGCAGCACAGTGGGCAAGACCATACAGCGGTTTCACAGGACAGGTTCCACTCAGAACCGGCTTAGCCATGGTCGACCAAAGAAGTTGAGTGCACGTGCTCAGCGTCATATCCACAGGTTGTCTTTGGGAGCCAGCATTGCTGCAGAGGTTGAAGGGGTGAGGGGTCAGTCTGTCAGTGCTCAGACCATACGCCGCACACTGCATCAAATTGGTCTGCATGGCTGTCGTCCCAGAAGGAAGCCTCTTCTAAAGATGATGCACAAGAAAGCCTGCAAACAGTTTGCTGAAGACAAGCAGACTGAGGACATGGATTACTGGAACCACGTCCTGTCGTCCGATGAGACTAAGATAAACTTATTTGGTTCCGATGGTGTCAAGCGTGTGTGGCGGCAACCAGGTGAGGAGTACAAAGACAAGTGTGTCTTGCTTACAGTCAAGCATGGTGGTGGGAGTATCATGGTCTGGACCTGCATGAGTGCTGCTGGCACAGGGGAGCTGCAGTTCATTGAGGGAACCATGAATGCCAACATCTGTGACATACTGAAGCAGAGCATGATCCCCTCCCTTTGGAGACTGGGCCGCAGGGGAGTATTCCAACATGATAACGACCCCAAACACACCTCCAAGACGTCCACTGCCTTGCTATAGAAGCTGCAGGTAAAGGTGATGGACTGGCTGAGCATGTCTCCACACCTAAACCCTATTGAGCATCTGTGGGGCATCCTCAAACAGAAAGTGGGGGAGTGCAAGGTCTCTAACATACACCAGCTCCGTGATGACATCATGGAGGAGTGGAAGAGGACTCCAGTGGCAACCTGTGAAGCTCTGGTGAACTCCATGCCGATGAGGGTTAAGGCAGTGCTGGAAAAAAATGGTAGCCACACAAAATATTGACACTTTGGGCCCAATTTGTACATTTCCACTTAGGAGTGCATTCACTTTTGTTGCCAACAGTTTAGACATTAATGGCTGTGTGTGGAGTTATTTTGAGGGGACAGCAAATTTACACTGTTATACAGGCTGTACACTTACTACTTTACATTGTTGCAGAGTGTCATTTCTTCAGTGTTGTCACATGAAAAGATATAATAAAATATTTACAAAAATGTGAGGGGTGTACTCACTTTTGTGAGACACTGTATATATAATATTTACTATTGGCATGTTTACTTTTTAATTAAAAAAAATTGGTCCTTTTATGGAAAAAAATTCAATGATACAGTAAGCACACAAGCTCACTGATACACAGGTTCACAGAGAGACAAGCTCATTGACACAAAACACAAACTCACTGATACACACAAATAGGCTCACTGACAGACAAAGCGCTCTGACACACACACAAGCTTACTACAAACAAACTCACTGACACACACATGCTCAATACAGACAAACTCAGTGACACACACAATCTTACTACAAACAAGCTCACTGACACTCACATGCTCACTACAAACAAGCTCAGTGACACACACACACAAGCTCACTACAAGAAAGCTCAGTGACACACACACATATGCCCACTACAGACAAGTTCACTGACGTACACACGCTCACTACAAAGAAGCTTAGTTAGACACATGCTCACTACAGACAAGCTCACTGACACACATGCTCTACTGAGCATGTGTGCCAGTGAGCTTGTCAGTGACACACACACACAAGCACACTGACATGCACATGCTCACTATAGACAAGCTCACTGACACACACACACAAGCTCACTGACACATATGCTCACTAAATACAAGCTCACTGACACACACATGCTCACTAAATACAAGCTCACTGACATACACAAGCTCACTACAGAAAAGCTCACTGACACACACAAATATGATATTAAAATATATGATAACCAAAACCCATGCAGCCTAATTTTAAACCCTTACATAATGTAATATTAAAATATATCATTGCCTCTTCCCAAGTCCCCCACCTGAGGTCCAATTATATATTTTAATACTATATTTATGTGGGGGATTGGGCCACAAATATAAATGTCACAAATATCCTTGCCTCATTCCCAAGCCAGGTCTTTCCTGTCCTCAGCTCTTTCCTGTGCTGCCCTCTCCCTCTATCTAATACACTGCTGCCCCCCTCCTCCGCAATCTAATGCACTGCTGAACCCCTCCCCCCCATCTCAAACACTGCTAACCCGCCACCCCCATCTAATACACTGCGGATCCCCTCCCCATCTAATACACTGCTGACCCCCTCCCCAAGTAATGCACCCCCCAAATCTAAAACACAATAGGTCCCCCAAGTCCCTTTTCCCCTACCTGTACTTCAAGATGCAAACAGGACAGTCCTGTCTAAGCTCAGCTCTGTCTTGCAGTACAGTGATTGGTGGCATTCTGCACATGCAGAACTGGCACTGCGTGCAGGGGGGGAGGGATGCTGCAGCTACGCCGCGCACTGTAAGTCTGCCACTGCACATCCACTGGGTATGATGTCATATGCCTTATGCTGCTCAGGAAAAATCTTTGTGCTTTTCTGGCCATCAGCCACAGGAGCATCGGCCATGGCATACCAATCGGCCGTGGGAGGACAAACAGGAAAAAAACAACTCCTGTCTTGTAGCTGGGTGCAGCCACAGCTCAAAGCGGCTCCAGGGCAAATTACCAGTCCGGCCCTGGTTGCAGGACAAAGATTTGAATTGTTACGTATAATTTTGTTTATTACATCTCACAAACACATATATATGTTATGTACAGGGGTAATTAAACATTGCATTAAACAGTGTGCAAAGTGATACTAAAAAAAAATTGGATTCTACTATATGGTAGAATAACTGACCTCATGGACATCTTTTTAAAGGACCACTCAAAAGACCATAACCACAACATCTCACTGTAGTGGTTATGGTGCCAGGAATGCCCTGGCAACCGTAATTATAAATTAATAACTATAAGCTAGACAAATCCTTATATAGTGAAATCTTGAGATAAGAATTTACAACTATAACCACTGTGCCACTAGTAAAAATAGTAACCACCATCGGAGGTTACAGGATAAAAGTACATAGAGGGTGCTTATTGAAATAAATCAATAATCAATACTGGACTCAGTGGAAATAGCAAATATAGAATGATCCTTAGTTAATCTTTCTAAGGTCTTTAAATGTATCAGCTGGTCGGATCTAAACCTCCTATAGAGTAAGGTAGGTAGAATCCACTAGCTGTTAAAGAGTTAATATAGTAGAGATCCTATAATCTTTAGAATCAATACCACATATATATCATAGGTATAAAATAATAATAATAAAAAATATATCTTTTAATAAAAATCCCAAAGGATCAGCAGTTAGTATCATATATGTGAAGCAGACATCAAACTATTTATAAATGGTTTATTGTCTAAACAGCACACAAAAATATAAAAGACTAATAATAAAAAATAAAAATTAAAACAGTCCCACATGAGAGCGATAACTAAGGATCATTCTATATTTGCTATTTCCACTGAGTCCAGTATTGATTATTGATTTATTTAAACCGTAATTATAAGTAGTCAAATCATTTTTGACTTATTACTCTCAGCCTGCACTGAGAGCCTTGCTCTGGAGACCTAATGGAAGTTCCTTAGGAACTTCAAACTCTCTGGTGTTAGTATTGGATACATGGAGAAGTATCAGGTGGACCCCTAGTAGGAACTCAAACCAATAAAAAACATTTTGACTACTAACACTAGGGTGGGGGGGCACATAGGCACTCCTGGCACCATAAACAACGAGCTGTAGTGGTTGTTGTCCTTGAAGTGTTCACTTACAAGTAGTAGATTCATAGAAACATGTTCACAATGTATATTTCTTGTTGTCCTGACATATTGACAAACTAATTATAATTATCATCATATTGACTATGGGCAGTTTGCACTGAACTCTGCATATTTTCCTATCAATGTACATTTTCTTGTGTGATTTGTTTTTTAAAATTAAGTAGTATTTGTCCTTAGCATGTGCTCTTTTTGTTGTGATTTCATTCAGGTGCCCGGCAGATAAAGTTGAAGTGACAAATAATGTGACTGGGCACAAGAGTTGCCACCCTTCCCCATGTACGCGGTGGAGCTGTCGGAATGGCGGCACTTGTGTGGCTCAATCCCACCAGAAGTATATGTGCCAATGCAAGGATGGCTACAAAGGAAGGTTATGTGAAAGCATCCAGATAAGAGCAGGAAAATCTGTTGGAATCAGCTCTGGCTCCATATTAGCCATCAGCATGTGCCTACTTATCTTCATAGGTACCACTGTGAGCAATGAGATTCCACTCTTTTCTAGAATGATTGTTATTTCAGTGATTAAAATGTTTGCTTGCTGGTTCTATAGGCCTTTATTTATGGAACTTTAAAAGAGCACTTAGCTCGAATAGTTTCGGAACGTGATAGTTTAGTGTAAATGAAAGTCATAAAAATATGTCCAAACATAATTTAGTTGTCCAGAATTTTCAAATTCATGAGAGTGGGGGAAGAGAAGGTAGAAGACAGATATAGGAATAAGTAGGAAAAAAACAAGCGAGGTGAGAGATCTGTGCCATCTGAGCTACCCGATAGAAGAATGCAGAGTTTCAGGTCTTATAACACACAGGACTGGTCACACCCATATAGTTACACACAGTACTTTGGGGACTACTTTGTCCCTGCATTTCTCCTCCGCCTGACTTTTTTTAGACACAAGGCAGAGTTTAAGAGTCAATCCTTGCAGCTGTCACCATTGAAGACTGCAGGGAATTGGCTGTGGCCAGACTGCGGGATCCTCCATAGACCTCAATGCAGTTCTCTTGCACAAATTTATGAGAATACAACAGTGACGTCAGCGCCAAAGAGGACCATGTCTGAAGAAAATGGTGGCACCCCCGAGGGACAGGTTCAAGTAAGTAAACTCCCACTTCCCCACAGTACCACCAGCAGCAATGTCACCGTCTGAGACTTTGCAAATTTGGCAACATAGTAACATAGAATGTAATGGCAGATAAGAACCATTTGGCCCATCTGGTCTGCCCAATTTTAAAATACTTTCATTAGTCGTTGGCCTTATCTTATAGTTAGGATAGCCTTATGCATATCCCACGCATGCTTAAACTACTTTACTGTGTTAACTTCTATCACTTCAGCTTGAAGGCTATTCCATGCATCCACTACCCTCTCAGTAAAGTGATACTTCCTGATATTACTTTTAAACCGTTGCCCCTCTAATTTAAGACGATGTCCTCTTGTTGTGGTAGTTTTTCTTCTTTTAAATATAGTCTCCTCCTTTACTGTGTTGATTCCCTTTATGTATTTTTTTTTGACATTCTTTATTTAGTTTTGTGGTTTGACAAGAAGTAACAGTACAAACATTTGTTTCCGTAACAGTGTTTCGCTAAAGATCCCTTTTGCCATATCCCTTCTCATATCACCCCCCCTGCTGAGGTACGAGCCTGCTATCAGGGCTCAGCTGGCGGCCGGGTTCCCACCGGGCGGCAGGGACAGCCCCCCAAGGGCCGATAGAGGTGCCGGTACTCCCGTTCCCCTCTCTCCATCCCGCGCCCCCGCCCCCCAGTCTCGGGCCCCAAGCGGGGAGGGTTGTGGGTAAAGCGGTAGTTAGGTGAGGGTGCGCCTCATTGCGCGGTTGGGTTGGGGTACCTTGGCTCGAGGCGCGGGCCGGGCTCCCCCCTCTGTGGGGGGTGATAGGTGTGTGGGGGGAGAGGACTCCGTTGATCCGGAGCTGGGCCGTTGGGGTCGCGTAGAGCGCTGCGATCCATCGCAGGATGTTAGGGCCGAAACCCATCGTCCGGAGCGTGGTTTGGAGGAATTGCCAGTCCACCCTATCAAAGGCCTTCTCAGCGTCGGTGGAGAGGAGAAGGCTACCCCGCTTGGAGCGCTGTTGTGAGTGCATGATGTTAAGGGCCCGGACCGTGTTGTCCTTGGCTTCTCTCCCCGGGATGAAGCCAGTTTGATCCGGGTGGACCAGCGTAGAGACCAGGCGGCCTATGCGGGTCGCTAGGACCTTCGTAAAAAGCTTAAGGTCGGAGTTTAGTAGCGATATTGGTCTATAACTGGAGCACGCGGCCGGGTCCTTGCCTTCCTTGGGTATGACCGTTATGGTGGCCAGGAGGGTGTCCCCCTGGAACCTACTGGCTTCCAGAAGTGAGTTCAGGCCCGACAATAGCTCCGGTAACAGTATCTCTCCAAATGCCTTAAGATAGCGTGGGGGGAGCCCATCTGGTCCCGGGGCCTTGTTGAGGGGGGTGTTTTTTAGGACCCCTGGAGTTCCTCAATCGTGATGGGGGATTCGAGTTCCTCACTTTGTTCGCGTGTGAGACTCCGGGTGACATGTTGATCTAAGTAAGCTTGTGTCTTCGTTTGTCTCCTTTGTGTCTCCCCGGCTGTCTGATCCGGTGCAATGTTGTAGAGTTTAGCATAATAGTCTCGAAATTCCCCGATTATCTTGTCAGGCACTTGTGTAAGGGGACCGCTGTGCGTCCTGATTTTAGTTATGTGGCTCTGGCGGCGTTTCTGCTGCAACATTCTGGCGAGCAGACGGCCACACTTATTGGAGAACTCGTAAAAATGGCGGTTGGATTTCCGCAATGAGTGTGAGAGTTGTTTAGACAGTTGGTGCTGTAGGGCCCGTCGTGCTTCTAATAGCGCTCTGTATACTTCCTCCGAGTTTGTAGTTTTGTGTTCTTGGTCTAATTGGGCGACCCGCGCATGAAGGTCCGTTAAGAGCCTGCGTGACTCCCTCTTTCGTGCTGTGCCGACCTTGATGAAGTATCCCCGGATTACGCACGTATGCGCTTCCCAGCGGGTCAGGTGCGTCGTCTCTGTAGGGTCGTTTTCATTGAAGTATTGGCGGAGAACAGTCTTGGTGTCCGCAAGGGTGACAGCATCAGCAAGCAGTTGGTCGTTTAGCTTCCAGTGCCGGTGTGTGGGCTTATGCAGGGGGGACGCCATGACGGCCAGGACCGGGGAGTGATCTGACCAGTTGGCCGGAAGGATCTCACATGAGTGCAGCAGGTGGAGGCAGGGGCGGACTGACCGGTCGGGCACTTCGGACACGGTCCGAGGGCCCGGCCGGGAGGGGGACCCGCCGCCAGGGCCGCCTTTAGGGGGCCCGGCGGCAGGGCTGGATTGGGGACTTGAGGAAGGTGCCACCGGGTGGCCGGTCCGGTGGCACACTGTGGGGGGGCCGGCCGTTTCATGTTAGAGCCGCTGGACCGGGTAGCAGCCTCGCCGGTCCGGCGGCATTCCTCCTACTAACGCTGAAGGAGGAGGAGGAGGAGGAGCATGTGTCTGTCATGCTCCTTTGCGGTTCCCACATCCTGTGCTGGGAATTGTGGGAACCGCAGGGAGCATGACAGACACATGCTCCTCCTCCTCCCTCCTTCAGCTGCTAGTAGAGGAATGCCGACCGGGCGAGGCTGCCACCCGGTCCGCGCTGCAGCATGAGCGCCCCAGACTTGAGTAAGGGGGGAAAGAGGGGGAACAGAGAGATGGGGAGGAGAGAGGGGGCAATAGAGAGATGGGGAGGGGGGAAAGAGGGGGAACAGAGATGGGGAGGGGGGAGAAGAGGGGAACAGAGAGATGGGGAGGGGGGGGAGAAGAGGGGCAATAGAGAGATGGGGGGGGGAAGAGGGGGCAATAGAGAGATGGGGTGGGGGGGGAAGAGGGGCAATAGAGAGATGGGGAGGGGGGGAAGAGGGGCACAGAGAGATGGGGAGGGGGGGAAGAGGGGGCACAGAGAGATGGGGAGGGGGGGAAGAGGGGCAATAGAGAGATGGGGAGGGGAGAAAGAGGGGGCAATAGAGAGATGGGAGGGGAGAAAGAGGGGGCAATAGAGAGATGGGGAGGGGGGGAAAGAGGGGGGAACAGAGAGATGGGGAGGGGGGGAAGAGGGGGCAATAGAGAGATGGCCGCCGCCATCAGCTTCTCCTTAGTGCTATACGTGTGGAGGCAACAAAGGACGTCACGGGGCCTTCCATCCGGGCGTTGGGGCCCTTGTGTCCTGTGAACGCGGTCGAACTGGATCTCTTTGGGGCCCTCCTGGCCCAAGATCTGTCGGAAGAGGGCCCTCAGGGTGTCTGGCAGTGGGGTTGCGTCCGGCTCCGGGAGGCCCCGGATCCGAATATTTTGCCGCCGGCTCCTGTTCTCCAGATCTTCGACTTGGCGTCGCAGGGAGAGCAGTATGTTCCCCTGTCGCGTGGTGGCCAGTTCTGCGGCCCGGTGCTGCGTGCGGCATGCTTGCGCCTCGGTCTCCAGGGCCTCCACCCTCACTTCAACCGCCGACAAGTCTGTCCGCAGGGCCGTGATCTCCTCCCTGATCGCTGTCCGAAGCTCTTGTAGAAGGCCGCCCGAGTCTGCCTTGGTGAGCATATGGGTGGAGATCATGGCCAGCTCCTGCTTAATCTGGGCCAGTGTGTCATCTGGGAGGGAGTCCCCCATGCTGTCCTGGCTCGGGGATCCGGGCGCCATTTTGTCCGGCGGCCCGAAGCTGTCCTGTTTGCTCGGGGTGCAGATAAAATCGTTCATCGTGCCCATGTGGCGGCGTGGGGAGCCACCCAGAGCCTGTGGTTTTTTATTTCTGACCATTTTTAAACGTTAAGGCCGCTGAATAATCGCTATTTTATGGCCAGGGTGTGAGGAGCTTGGTCTCTACACGTCCTGTCGCATGCTCGGCTCGGCCACGCCCCCCCCCCCTTTATGTATTTAAATGTTTCTATCATATCCCCCGTCTCGTCTTTCCTCCAAGCTATACATGTTAAGTTCCTTTAACCTTTCCTTGTAAGTTTTATCTTGCAATCCATGAACCAGTTTAGTAGCCCTTCTCTGAACTCTCTCTAGTATCAATATCCTTCTGGAGATACAGTCTACAGGTCTACAGCACTGCGTACAATACTCCAAGTGAGGTTTTACCAGTGTTCTGTACCTCTTTCTACTGCTAATACCTCTCCCTATTCAACCAAACATCCTGCTGCTCTATTACATTGTCTGCCTCCTTTTTAATCATCAGAAATAATCACCCCAAAATCCCTTTCCTCAGATGTTGAGGTTAGGACTCTATCAAATATTCTGTACTCTGCCCTTGGGTTTTTACGTCCAAGATGCATTATCTTGCACTTATCCACATCAAATGTCCGTTGCCACAACTCTGACCAGTTTTCTAGTTTACCTAAATCATTTGCCATTTGGCTTATCCCTCCTGGAACATCAACCCTGTTACATTTCTTAGTATCATCAGCAAAATTGCATACCTTACCATCAAGACCTTCTGCAATATCACTAATAAAAATATTAAAGAGAATATTACAGATCCCTTAAGTACTCCACTGGTGACAAGCCCATGCTTCGAATATACTCCATTGACTACAACCCTCTGTTGCCCGTCACTCAGTCACTGCCTTACCTATTCAACAATATTGGAATCCAAACTTAAAGATTGCAGTTTATTGATAAGCCTTCTATGTGCAACAGTGTCAAAAGCTTTACTGAAATCTAGGTAAGCAATGTCTGCTGCACCACCCCAATCTATTATTTTAGTTACCCAATCAAAAAAACCAATAAGATTAGTTTGGCTTTGTCACGACACTCCTTAGTTAATATGCCCTCGTGCAGTACTCACACTCACCACTGTTTCTGTTTGGCACTGTTTCTCATTTCTTTTTGTTAAGCACTTCACCTGGCCCTTGTTTAGCACCTATATATTCTGGTTTCTCCCCTCACTCCCAGCCAGATCATTGTCTCTTGTCTCCTGTTTCCCCGGTTCCTGGTCCCCTGTGATTCTGGCTCCTGGCTCCTTGATCATGCATACTGTTCCTTGGTCCTGTGCCTCCTGATCTTCGTTCCTGTGTTCTCCTGGTCTTCCTCCTGTGTCCTCCTGATCCTGCATTACTGTATCCTCCTGGTCCTTCATTCCTCTACCCTCCGATCCTGTGTTCTGGTTCCGTGTTCTCTGCTTTATTTCCAGTGATCCTGACCATGCAGCCCTGTTAATTTATTCTGCTTCTGATCTTGCTTCCTGGTGTCAGTATATTAGTCTTGTGACTCTGGATCTGTGCCCTACCTGCTACTTGTGGTAACTGCAACAATCCTATCCTTTAAAATGGTTTTCATTACTTTCCCCACTACTGAAGTAAGGATTACTGGCCTATAGTTGCCCGACTCCTCCCTATTACCTTTCTTGTGAATGGGCACAACATTCGCTAACTTTCAATCTTCTGGGATTACTCCTGTTAACAATAATTGGTTAAATAAATCTGTTAATGGTTTTGCTAGTACACCACTAAGCTCTTTTAATAACTTTGGGTGTATTCCATCAGGTCCCATTGACTTACGTCTTTACTTTTGAAAGTTGAAATAGAACCTCTTCCTCTGTAAACTCACATGTAACAAATGACTCATTTGTCCTTTTTCTTGGCCGAGGCCCCTTTCCTTCATTTTCATCTGTAAATACTGAACAAAAATATTCATTGAGGCAATCAGCTAGACCTTTATCCTCTTCTACATAACTTCCTTCTTTTGTTTTTAATCTAACTAATCCTTGTTTTACTTTCCTTTTCTCATTTATGTATCTAAAAAATGTTTTGTCCCCTTTTTTACTGGATGTGCTATTTTCTCTTCTGTGTGTGATTTGGAAGCTTTTATAACTTCACTACCCTCTTTCAGCCTAATCGTATAGATCATTCTGTTTTCCTCACTCTGTTTTTTTTTTTTATAATTACTAAATGCTAACTTTTTGTTTTTTTACTATTTTGGCCATATCTGCAGAGTGCCACAGTGGTTTCTTGAATTTTTTGCTTTTACTGGCAAGCCTAATGCAATGTTTTGTTGACTTCAGCAGTGCAACTTTTAAACAGTCCCATTTCTCTTGGACTCCATTTAAATTTCTCCAGTCTGATAATGACTCCTTTACACATATTCTAATTTTAGAAAAGTCTTTTCCTTTTAAAAGTCTAAAACTTTTGTTTTCATGTGGTGTGACTCAGTCACTGTTTTTATATTAAACCACACTGACTTATGATCACTGGATCCTAAACTTTCACCTACAGTAATATCGGATACCAAATCTCCATTTGTTAATACTAAATCTAGTATGGCCTCTTTACGAGTTGGCTCCTCAACGACTTGTTTTAGAGACAATCCCAGTAGGGAGTTTAGAGTATGTGTGCTCCTGGCACAAGCAGCTATTTTGGTTTTCCAATTTACATCAGGAAGATTAAAGTCACCCATGATGATAACTTCCCCCTTCATTGTCATTTTAGCTATTTCCTCAACTAGTAGATTATCTAACTCGTCTATTTGTCCTGGGGGCCTATAAATCACACCTACACGAGTTACTGTGTGATTACCAAATTCTAACGTAATGTTCACTTCACTAACTTTCATTAGGTTAGATTTTATGCTATCCTTCACATACAGGGCCACCCCTCCCCCTTTCTTGCCTTCCCTGTCTTTTCTATATAAAGAGTACCCTGGAATTGCTATGTCCCAGTCATTTTTCTCATTGTACCATGTCTCAGTAACAGCGACTAAATCTACATTATCAGTTATTGCCACAAGTTCATGGATCTTATTCCCTAAACTGCGAGCATTTGTAGACATGACAAAGTCCCCAAACAGTGACAATGCTGCTTTCAATCATTTGAACAAAACATGCATTTTGCAATAATTATTGTAAGTGCTAACCTAAACATTACTGACTTTGCTGTTAAATACTGTGCACATTACACAACTTTAGTCAACAAAAGCCGGGGAAGAAAAAGAAAGTGCTGGGAGGCAGGACCAGTGCAAGGAGTTTTGCCATCCTAAGCAAACAAAATTTTCCGCCCCCCATATGCTCTGCCCACCATGTGACATCACAATACCCCACCCATAGGATCTGCCATATGAGCCAACGCCAGTGCTGCACACAGTGTCAGTTTGTGTAAGGGATGTAGTGTGTGTGTATAGGGGATGCAGTGTGTGTGTGTTCCTGTGTGTGTGTAAGGGATGCATTGTGTGATTCTGTGTATGTATTGTAATGCAGTGTGTGTGTCTGTAATGGGTGCATTGAGTGTGTCTAAGAGATGCATTAAGAGAAGCAGTGTGTGTGTGTGTAAGGGATGCATTGTGTGCTTCTGTGTATGTGTGCAAGGGCTGCATTTTGTGTGTGTGTGTGTGTGTGTTTGTAAGGGAGGCACTGTGTGTAAATGTGAGTGGGTAAGGGAAGCATGGTGTGTTTCTTTGTGTGTAGGATTCACTGTATGTTTTGGTGTGTGAGTAGGGATGCATTGTGTGTTTCTGTGTATGTGTAAGGATGCATTGTGTATGTGTGTAGTGTGAAAGAAAGGGTTTGTGGGCCATCTGTGCATCTCCCTCCTGAGCCCCTCTGTGTGTCCCTTAGTAATCTTCCCTCCTCCCCTGTCCCTTAGTTGTCTCTCTTCTTCCCCCCCCCCACTACCCCTGGTGGTCTCTCTCCCCCTCACTCCTGCCTTCACCTCTTCCACCCTTCCCCTCCTGGTCTCTCTCTCTCCCACCCTTCCCCTCCTGGTCTCTCTTTCTCTCTCCCCATCCCCTCCTGGTCTCTCTTTCTCTCTCCCCATCCCCTCCTGGTCTCTCTCCCCCCCCCTTCCCCTCCTGGTCTCTCTCTCCATCCCCTTCCCCTCCTAGTCTCATCCCCTTCCCCTACCTCAGTGTAGCGTGGCGGCGCAGATCGCGGTACAGGAATTCTGTACCTGGCCAGACTGACAGGAAGTGCTCACTGAGCCACGCTACACTGAGTAACCGGTAGGAGGGAGCGCTGGTCACTCAAATCTGGTGCCCTCCCTGCCGGTGGGCCCTAGACGACTTCCTAAGCCCTAGACGCTCTGGCCCTGCTGGGAGGAAGGATGGATGGATTTATGTATGTGCTGCTCTGTCGTACTTTATTCTTTGGCCGGAAGCTGCTGTTACAATAGTTAGATAAATTATCTAATGTTGTTAGCTTTGTTGTTGCAGCCTTGTTGGTCTCCTACACAGTGTGGAGCCAATGGGGGAGGTCCAAGTTCCGCAAAGGAGGAGTTTATCACATCCCTGCAGAGCATGAAAGCTGGGAGGACATCCGAGAGAACGTCTTAAATTACAATGAAGAAGGAGGAGGAGAACATGATCAGGTAAGTGTAATGAGAATGTTCGAATTGCAGAAATGCTCATCCAAGTAATGACACATACTAACAAAGTATCAGCCTCTAAACCATAGTTTCACTGGTAACAGAGCAGGATGGCATAGATTAAGCAATTGTACAGCGCTGCCGAATATGTTGGCGCACAATAAATATCTAAATAAATATAGAATGTCATGCCAGTTTCTGGTCTTTTGATATTATTATAATTAAGCTGTTAAGAGGTTAATCAGGTGCAAGTTGGTTTAACCCCTTAAGGACACATGACATGTGTGACATGTCATGAGTCCCTTTTATTCCAGAAGTTTGGTCCTTAAGGGGTTAAAGAGACACTCCGGACCACTAAAGCATTTTAGGTCACTGAAATGCCTTATACGTGAGGAATGTGTTCTCTTTTTTTCCATTTAAAAAAAAGTGTAGTGGCCCTTTTATAAATTAACCGTTACAACCCCCCTAATGTTCAATCAAACAGCAGGTTCTGTTACTTACTGGTTTCGTTAGCTCAGTGGAAAAAAAGACAGCAATTGCCCAGAGCACCTGTTCTGCAAAAGTGCTTCTCATTGAGCTGCTTTGCGAAGTCTGTGATTAGACAGCCATGGAAAGCCCAGGCGGGGTAAGAAGGGGAGGGCTTGCAAAGGCTCTAAAAAGAGAACTGTAAGCTGTAATGTACAATGAACAAAATGCATAATTAAATCCATGCATGATTTCATTGGGGATGTATCTACTAAACAGAGATTTTCTTTTTTTTAATTTATAGGCAATTTTCCCTTTAAAATGTTCCGACTGACTTGAGGGTAGGACCCCAATAACCTTCTCTGTTAATATGTTTTTCTCTGTCAGTCTGCATCTAGAAATATTCTTAAATGCAGGGGTGTCCAAAAGCTGATGTAGAAAGGATAGTGGGAGTTGTTATTCTAGAACAGCTGGGACTTTACCCGATGATCACCCCTAATATGTGCGTTTAGCTTTGCAGAATCTCTTGGCGCAACGTAGACAAAGAGTTACAATAAATTAATCTATCCCCTCCAGCAGCAGCATTCATGTTTGTTTGATGTGCGGTGCCACATATGGGGAAGAGGAGCCCTGTCTGTTACGCAATGCAGCCAGGTCAATAGACAGCATTTTGCTCCAGCTGGATGCCTTCTGTGCTTCTTCCAACCAATGGCTGGCAAGGAATTCTGGGAGATATAGTCCCACAGCAGCTGGAGGACCAAGGTTGGGCACCCCTGTTCTATGGGTTTTCCATGCCTGCGTTGTGAATACTGGACATGTTTTTTTCCCCTTTGTGTTATTTTAACAAGTTTTAAAAAGGGCTAAATATGGCTTTAATAGTGTACCTAAACTTTGAACCTCTTGAGAACTAGTGGATATGTAATGACACTGGTATGTCACTTGGTCCCTTAAGGGGCACTCCAGGCACTCAAATAAATTAGGGGAAAGGCAGGAAATGGGTTACAGTTAGTTATGCTGCATTTCTTTGCTTTTTTATTGAGTTTAGTGGGCTTTATTCTTCTTATTTATTTTAATATATTTTAGCCAGAATTAGTTTTGCTGAGGGCATTGTTAACCATAAGGCTACCATAGGTGGCTGCCTTGTGTCCCTAGGTTAGACAAAGGCCCGGGAACCATGCCATGCTTTGCCCCATTCACCATCCCCTATTAAGAATACTTGTGGAATCTAAAGCCTTATCTGGGTTTTGCTCCTTAGACCAACGCTGACGTCACAGGTTTATTCACTAACCTCGGTATTGTTGGGAATTGACTAGGTAATTTAATGTTAGGCCAACAAAGTTAAAAAAAAATCTCCTATTTTACCAACTTGACTGTTTTTCCAATTTGAACTCTCTTTGTCAAATTTCTACAATTCTTATTTTAGTGAATAACCCTGCCTGTATTTAAATTTTTTACTTAAAAAAATATTATTGTATATGATGTAAGACTTGGGTTGTAGTTGAGTTGTCAGAATCCTGCAGTAGAAAACACATAATTGAACTGCAACTCCCAGAGTCCAGAGATATTCTGTTTTAGCGTTAGGATTGTTCCTTTAACCCTATCTATGAATCCAGGATCCTCCTATATACCTCATACAAAAAAAAAAATTTACATTTTTTTTTCTCCATTCCTCTCTTGCTGCTGCTCCGTTCCACCCCCAGGAGACTGTCAGTGAGACAGTCTCCCCTTCCTGTCCAGAGGAAATTGGCAAATGCGTCAATCAAATGTGGCAATTTCACAATATAATGCCTCTCAAAAGGAAGCATTAGACTAATACACTATAGAAGATCTCCCTTCTGCTTGAACAATTGTTCAGGTGGAATGAACCAGAAAGCCCTCCTGGCTGTAAGCTTAACTGCTAGGTGGTGTTCCAAAATTAACTCATAATTTGCCAATTCCTTTTGAAAGTAGAACTTCTATGAACTGGGACAAGGTGGACACACTAAAGCACTTTAGAGGGGGTTAATCCTCGCACCATAAGCACTACTTGGTATTGTAGTGGTTATGATGCTAGTGGGTAGTAGGGTGAACTCCCTGGGTTTGCATCAAACCACACTTTCAAACATTTTGATAGAAACCTCCATGAATTGATAAATCAGAAGTACCACGTTTGCATTTGTGATATCAATTTCTTCAACTTTGCACTAATATACTGCTGCCATTGTAAATTTAGTCAAAGGGCTGCAGTGGCTACAGGAAGAAAACATTTTTTTTTTTTTTTTTTTTTTTACACATTATATTTTTGTTTAGTATCTTTTCACATTTTAATACACATTTGTAATGCATAAAAAGAATAAAAGGAGTAAAAGGAGCCTGGAGAGTCCCTTTAAGGTGATAATCTTAAAAGTCACGTGATATATGTATTTATGATATAATGCTTTTACTTAAATACCTATTATCTGTATGGTTGACTATGCGTGCATCCAGATAAAGAGTTATAAAAACAGGCAGCCATAACCCTGCATTCCTAGCTCAGGTTATACAGAACTTATTTAGTTTATGTTAACAAGCTTTGCCGAGGGTGAGGTGCACACACTATAAATTTCATTTAACCCCTTTTCGGTCATGTCTTAAAGGGAAACTCATTTGATTTCACATGGGGAGTGCATGAGTTTCACATACTGCAGGGCAGCACTTTCAAGCCCTGTCCAATATGGTGAAGAACTCATAGTGAAGAACTCATAGGGACCCCAAAAAGATCTGCTGATCTGGAACCTAACATTGAATTCATCAGAACTGCTTAAAGCAAACTGTATTAGCTATTGGCATCACAGGATGTCGTACATTTAGATATTTTCTTGTTATTATCAACATTTATTTATTAAGCGCCAATATATTCTGCAGAGCTAAACAATTAAAGAAAGGGCTGACAGTAAGGAAGTAAACAATATATATTTAGAATGGAATTCAAAACCTTTCCTGTGAGCTTACAATCCATCCTTTCTAACACATTTGTACAACAGTATTCAGTTAAATAGCAAGCTTTCTAAGTGGCGTGTGATTATCCAGGATGTTACCATAATTATTGTCCAAGATGTTACCAGAACAACTTGATTTAGATTAAGTAGTTATGGTGACTGGAGTGTCCCTTTAAGTCTGTGAAAGTTTAGCCTCCCACAAATTTACGTTAATGAAATTAGTGTCACCTACCAGATAGGTGTGTTGACTTTAAATCCATAGTTTGCATATCTAGACTCTCTGCGATAAATGAGAGTTCAGGGTGTCCCTTTAAGAGTTTGCCCTTGGTTTTGCCCTGAAAACACAGAGGCGAAGAAACTACAAACTAATATCATAGTTGCAGTCCTATGCTGTAATACATTAAAAGGCAATAACAAGTTTTATATTTACTATAATTAAATTAAACAAAAGACTGATTTGATTACTAGCTGCCGTGAAGAGCACTTTTAGTTTTTACATTTGATGTAGCTTTAATATCCTCTCTTGATGATGCATACATGTTGTATATGTAGCAATCCCTGGTCCTGTTATAATATAAATTTTTTCAGAAACCCTTTACTCATGACCTTTTACGTCCACTGATCAGACCTTTCTTTTTTTCTAGAATGGATATGACCTACACAAACTGAAGAAGCCTTTGCGGATAAACATGCAGAATCTCTGCTTGGCATCCAACAATCCCCCACCTTTCAAGGTACATCTGAGTTTAGAGAGTCATCTCAATGTGCCAACCCGAAAATCACCAGAGGAAATCGGAGCAACTGTCCCTAGCTTTCATGACTACGTATCCCAAATAGTAGGGGCTGGAGACTATGACCTAAAAAGCCATTCAGGTGATGTTCTCCATAGTTATTTTATGGAAGGCCACGGTTCCTCAGCTGGAAGCCTCAGTTCACTGGACTCTTTAGCTGTTGAGGAAGATGTGAATTCTGACTACCTCAGTGGATGGGGCTCAAAGTTCGACAGGCTTAAAGAACTTTACCAGGCCTCAGACAGCCAAGTTTAAGAACTTACAGTATGGAAACACATGACAGAGACAGGCCACATACATTCTGAAGCTAAAACATTGAAAGGACACATTAATTTATATGCCTGGTTGACAGACCCTTTTTCATATGGTATGTAAAAAATAAATTTGTTAGTTACAGTTTTGTTTCTTCTGGGGAAAACAAAAAACAGTGTGTTTCCTTTATTTTGTTTGAGATTAACAGCAAGTGAAATGCCTCTTGATTAATTTGTAATCAGAGGAACTATTTTACAACTGGCACAGAAAATATTCCAGTTCATGTAGGTGGTAAGGTGGGATTCAGAAGCTGCCATGTACCAGTCCACCCAGCTCTTCTCCTTTGTCACTCACTTTATCTCATCAGTTGGGACATATCATATATACAGGCCTCTCAACCATCGTGATTTTGGTGGGTACTTCCCTGGCATCCTGCTTTTGGGGACTTAATGGAACTGTCCTCAACATGCATAGCATGAGCTCATCATAAGACGCACTCACACGATGTTCAAGGTACTAGGATCCTGCAGAGGGCACTAAAGCAGTGCTCCTTGTATGGTCTGCCCTCAGTGGGCTGGCCTTAGATGGTAGACAGGCAGCCTGACGTGCATTTATGCCAAGCTGACCTGCCAGTAATTTGGCCTGCTGTCTATGGGGCAAAGCCTGGCCAGCTTACTTTACCCTCCTTCAACTGGTGTCCCGCTTCTCTGGATGCTGGAGTTGGGAGGTATGTATATAGGAGGGTTGTAGTCAATGCATGTGATATCATAATGTTAAAAAAAAGTTATCAGAGAGCAATCTCATGGACACTATCCCATCCTGCATATTTGCCATTTAACTGCTTAATGATTAGTGAGTTTAAAGAATTAGGGCTAGTTTAAAATCTTGTTAGTTCTTTTTATGGGCCAGTCATTACTCACTAAAATGCATGTCACTACTGTTACCAAGTACTGACTGATTATCGAACTCAAGTTTTTAACCACAGCTACATGGCAGCTGTATCTGACAGCTAGGTAAGATAAGACTAGGGAGTAATGAAAGTATTTAGAAAATTGGGCAGACTAGATGGGCCGAATGGTTCTTATCTGCCGTCACATTCTATGTTTCTAGTAAGAGATGCTATGGGAGATGCTATGGGAGATGCTAATTCCTTCCTAGATACTGCTTTCCAACTCGTTTAAAGCCCTGTTGCTACCTATTACCAGCTTTAACTAACCCAAAAAACAGCCTGTACATCCTATTGCAAAAAAAAGTCTTGTTCCAACTCTGAAACCGACCAGACACTACTTGCCTATCATTACTGGCCACACAGAGTGATGTGCGCATTCTCAGGTATGTGTTTATGTGCTTTACCAGCAAGTCACTAATGTGAGTGAGGTTGGATTCTGTAGCGGAAGCCGTTATTAGCGATATGCTACAAAAATGTAACAACAATGTTGTAAATCTGGTGGTCAATTCTAGCTGCAACAAACTACTGGCAATTATTAATAGTAACAGTTACGGTAGCCATTTACTGATAAGGCTGTAAAGTTAACCTAAGTGGGGACATATGTCTCTACACCAAACCTGTTCTTCATACAGAGTTATAAGATCACAGTACTTTCCATGACAGCTACGAGTATTGCAAAAGGGATTATTCTAGGATATTGTGCTGAAAAGCAGCTGCACAACCCACAAACAAATGAACAGGGCAGAGGGGCGAGACTTCCTGCTAGCAATTAATCTTCGAACTGGCCCAACAATTCCCAAAGTTAACCTTGCTTAGAACCATAGTGTGATTATATGAACTAATCTTTAGCCTCTACCTGCGCAGAACAATCAAAACAGCTTTACAACAAGCCAGACGTTAAACACAGATAAATCAATAAAAATGGTAAAACATAAGAAAGTGTGTATCTTTAACACCTAAATGTGGTGCAAAATGGGGGTCTGAAACTGCAATTCTAAAGAATTATATTGTAAGTATTTTCATGCTGTTAAAATAAAAGTGTCAAAGGAACATTCCAAGCGCCTCTATTTGTGCTGTAGTGGTTATAGTGCCAGGAGTGCCCTGATGTCCCCCAGTGTAAGTAGTCAAACCATTTGCTAATGGTTTGACTTCTTGCCTGATGGCTGGTGGATGTCATTCACTTATGTCAGTGAAAGCCAGAATCTTCTGCTTGGAGCTTCCATTAGCTGTCCTTGGCTAAGAGTATTACCGGATCCTTCTCAACCAATGAGCTAAGTCCTGCACTATTGAGCTCAGAGCGGAGAGCTTATGGCTCTCATAGAAGCAGGGACCAGCGTTCAGCAGACCCGGTGTAAGAAGTCAGACCGTTTGGAAAAGGTTTGAATACGTACATTGGTGGTGGTGCCAGGGCACTCCTGACACTATAACCACTACAGTGTGCAGTAGCTGGTACTGGTACAGAACTAGGTCTATCCTAACTCGGACTAGAAGGAGGACACAAAAATGATAATGAATAATTAAGAGAAAAATTCAAGGTCAGGGACTGAGCCTGGTACTCTGGAAAGATTAAGCAGTCACAGTTCAATCTAGTCCTCATCTCTTAATGCTCTCTGAATTCTGACTAGCAGGTGAACAAGCTTTTTTTTCAGTGACTGAAATGAGCAAATACAGTTGTGTGGACTTCTGCGTTTAAATATAATAAAATAATTATTCTTCAGAGCTGATAAACAAATAAGGGGTAAATAAAAAGTGTCATGGCTGTTTCAATGCCAAAATGTTGTTGTGTTTTCTGTTGTCTTTTTCCCCCCCTAGTAATGAATGTAATCTCCAACTTGTAAAGAGTGTTAACAAAAGGAGATTTGGTATCAGATATTACTGTAGGTTAGTGATGGCGAACCTATGGCACGCGTGCCACAGGTGGCACGCCGGGCCCTTCCTGGGGGCACGCGGCCACAGGTTCGCCATCAATGCAGAGTAGGAGCCTGCCTGCCCGAAACGGCAGGCGCCTACTCTGCTTCCGGGTCGGGAGGCAGGGGGAGGGCTCCAGGAAGCAGCTCCCCTGTCCTCCCGCGCGATGCTGTGTGGAGCGTTGCCGCGCGTTACCATGGCAACGCTCCACACAGCATTGCGCGGAGGACAGGGGAGCTGCTTCCTGGAGCCCTCCCCCTGCAGTGCTTACCACCACCGGACCACCAGGGATCGCTGTGTGTCCCCCCCCCACTTCATTAAAGGTAAGAAGGAGGGAGGGGGGTATACTGACACAGCACCCTTACCCCCCCAGCAGTAACCCCTACCCCCCAGCAGTAACCCCTACCCCCCCAGCAGTAACCCCTACCCCCCAGCAGTACACCCCTACCCCCCACCCCCAGCAGTAACCCCTAACCCCCAGCAGTACCCCCACCCTCCCCAGCAGTAACCCCTACCTCCCAGCAGAACCCCACCCCCAGCAGTAACCCCAACCCCCAGCAGTACCCCTACCCCATACACGCAACCCCACCCTGCAGTACCCCTACCCCCAGCAGTACCCCCACCCCCCAGCAGTACCCCTACCCCCACACACAGTACTCCTACCCCCACACACACACACCCCCCAGCAGTACCCTACCCCCACACACAGTACCCCAAGCCCTCCCAGCAGTACCCCACACACCCTCCCAGCAGTACCCCTACCCCCCACACACAGTACCCCAGTAGCACACACACAGCACCCCCCCACACACACAGCACCCCCACACAGCACCCCCCCCACACACAGTGCACCCCTACCCCCCACACACAGTACCCCTACCCCCCACACACAGTACCCCTCACAGTACCTACCCCCACACACAGTACCCCTACCCTCCCAGCAGTACCCCTACCCCCCACACACAGTACCCCTACCCCCCCGCAGCACCCTTACACATATAGCACACACACACAGCACCCCTCACATACAACACTCACTCACGCTGTGTATTCAGCAGTCTGTGTGTGTGTACTCAGCAGTGTGTGTGTACTCAGCAGTGTGTGTGTAGTCAGCAGTCTGTGTGTGTGTGTGTGTATTCAGCAGTCTGTGTGTGTGTATTCAGCAATCTGTGTGTGTGTGTACTCAGCAGTCTGTGTGTGTGTGTGTACTCAGCAGTCTGTGTGTGTGTGTGTACTCAGCAGTCTGTCTGTATGTGTATTCATCAGTCTGTATTCAGCAGTCTTGTGTGTGTGTGTATTCAGCAGACTGTGTGTATGTATTCAGCAGTCTGTGTGTGTATGTATTGCATTTGTTGGAGATACTAATAAATATAAGCTTAATTTTATCTATTTATATCATTATTTAAAAATTTGTATCATTGAACTTTGTTCTTTTAAAACAAAAGTTATTAGTTCGGACAACAGTACGAGTTGTTTTTTTCTAAACGTAAACCTCAGTATTTGGGTTTAATTGCCGTGTTGGCACTTTAAGGAGAAAAAATGTTGGCATGTATTGCGGTTTGGGCACTCGGGCTCAAAAAGGTTCGCCATCACTGCTGTAGGTGAAAGTTTAGGATCCAGTGATCATCAGTCAGTGCGGTTTAAAATAAGAACAGTGACTGAGTCACACCACACAAAAACAAAAGTTTTAGACTTTAAAAAAACAGACTTTTCTAAAATTAGAATATGTGTAAAGAAGTCATTATCAGATTGGAGCAATTTAAATGGAGTCCAAGAGAAATGGGATTATTTAAAAGCTGCACTGCTGAAGGCAACATAAAATTGCCTTAGGCTTGTCAGTAAAAGCCAAAAATTCAAAAACCACTGTGGTACTCCGCAGATGTGGCCAAAATAGTAAAAAAACAAAAAGTTAGCATTTAGTAATTATAAAAAAAAACAGAGTGAGGAAGACAGAATGCTCTATAAGATTAGGCAGAAAGAGGCTAAGCAAGTTATAAGAGCTTCCAAATCTCACACAGAAGAGAAAATAGCACAGTCATTTTTTAGATACATAAATGAGAAAAGGAAAGTAATACAAGGATTAGTTAGATTAAAAACAAAAGAAGGAAGGTATGTAGATGAGGATAAAGGTCTAGCTGACTGCCTAAATTAATATTTTTGTTCAGTATTTACAGATGAAAATGAAGGAAAGGGACCTCAGTTAGAAAAAAGGACAAATAAGTAATTTATTACATGTGAGTTTACAGAGGAGGAGGTTCTATTTCAACTATCAAAAGTAAGACAAATAAGTCAATGGGACCTGATGGAATACACCCAAAGTTATTAAAAGAGCTTAGTGGTGTACTAGCAACACCATTAACAGATTTATTTAACCAATCCTTGTTAACAGGAGTAGTCCCAGAAGATTGGAAGTTAGCGAATGTTGTGCCCATTCACAAGAAAGGTAGTAGGGAGGAGTCGGGCAACTATAGGCCAGTAAGCCTTACTTCAGTAGTGGGGAAAGTGATGGAAACCATGTTACAGGATAGGATTGTTGAACATCTAAAAATACATGGATTTCAAGATCAAAGACAACATGGGTTTACTTCAGGGAGATCATGCCAAACTAATCTTATTGAATTTTTTGATTGGGTAACTAAAATAGTAGATCAGGGTGGTGCATTAGACATTGCTTTACTAGATTTCCAGGAGGGATAAGCCAAATGGTAAATGATTTAAGTAAACTAGAAAATGGTCAGAGTTGTGGCAACTGACATTTAACGTGGATAAGTGCAAGATAATGCATCTTGGACATAAAAACCCAAGGGCAGAGTACAGAATATTTGATAGAGTCCTAATCTCAACATCTGAGGAAAGGGATTTAGGGGTGATTATTTCTGATGACTTAAATGTAAGCAGACAATGTAATAGAGGAGCAGGAAATGCTAGCAGAATGCTTGGTTGTATAGGAAGAGGTATTAGCATGCTATTGTACAGAACACTGGTGAGACCTCACTTGGAGTATTGTACGCAGTACTGGAGACCGTATCTTCAGAAGGATATTGATACTTTAGAGAGAGTTCAGAGAAAGGCTACTAAACTGGTTCATGGATTGCAGGATAAAACTTACCAGGAAAGATTAAAGGATCTTAACATGTATAGCTTGGAGGAAAGACGAGACAGGAGGGATATGATAGAAACATTTAAATACATACAGGGAATCAACACAGTAAAGGAGGAGACCATATTTAAAAGAAGAAAAACTACCACAACAAGAGGACATAGTCTTAAATTAGAGGGGCAAAGGTTTAAAAATAATATCAGGAAGTATTACTTTACTGAGAGGGTAGTGGATGCATGGAATAGCCTTCCAGCTGAAGTGGTAGAGGTTAATACAGTGAAGGAGTTTAAGCATGCGTGGGATAGACACAAGGCTATCTTAGATATAAGAGACTAATGAAAGTATTTTAGAAAATTGGGCAGACTAGATGGGCCGAATGGTTCTTATCTGCCGTCACATTCTATGTTTCTATGAAACAGGAATATAATACTTGTGGTCAGTTGGGTACACATACACTGGACAGGAATAACCTGTGGCCAATGATGCAGCCTAGTTAGTAATACTGGAAAGAGGACAGGAACAAGTTGAAGTCAATAATCATAGCCAGGTCAGGAGAAGAAATCATGTAACAAACGCACTTACGCGTTTTGAGAAACCATGAAAGGGTCAAGCGATTACACAAGCTTATATAGGGTCATGCCCTTGCATCAGTTGTGTCATTGGCACATGCCCAATGCTGAAAAGTGCATTATCTCAATGCAAACATGAATACATTGCAGAAAGGACACATAACTGAGGGCAAAATAAAAATACCAACACCAAATACAGGAGGGAAACATGAAAGAAAAGGAAACAAAAAAGATCCTCTATTGGCTGTTAAAAAAAGCATTCGTGGAGATGCATCCAGCAGTTCTTTTTTTGTTTCATTTTTAAAACATATATTACATTCACCAAACACTGAATTGTAAAATTTAGGCTAAAACAGAGAATGTTTCCAAATCAAATGTTACCTACATTCGGTGTTGTTGGTAAATAAACCTCTTGAAACGGGCAGTTTAACGTCCTACAGCATTAGATCTATTCCTCTGGTCTTGTATTCAGTTGCATCATTATGACTGGGAGTGTGAAACCATTATAAACATTATTCCCTGTATAGCGCAAGAATAAAGTCTGGGTGATAAAGGAGACCAGCTGAGATAAGGGAGAACTCGGAAGTTATAACAAATTAATAAACTAGAACACATAAAAACAAAAGCTGAAATGAAAGTGTTTACCAGAAGCCCTATGCCACCTATCTGACCATCACATTATTTTCCTAAGTGGTCTGAAATAGACCTTGCCATGTAGCAGTTAAAGATCTTTTGTTTATTGTGGCCATGCTCTACAGAAAACTGTTACTGTTGCCACTAGGTGGCAATATATACTGACAATACATCACCTTCACTCATAACTAACTGAACTGTTACTACTTTAGAAATTACACCATTAAATAAAATGTTGAAAGTCCCCTATAACTTCTGTTATTTTTATTTTAGGCAATGCTACATTTCCCTTTAAATGTATATGAAAGATTAAGCAGTCACAGTTCAATCCAGTCCTCATCTCTTAATGCTCTCTGAATTGTGACTAGCAGGTGAACAAGCTTTTTTTCAGTGACTGAAATGAGCAGATACAGTTGTGTGGACTTCTGCATTTAAATATAATAAAATAATTATTCTTCAGAGCTGATAAACAAATAAGGGGTAAATAAAAAGTGTCACGGCTGTTTCAATGCCAAAATGTTGTTGTGTTTTCTGTTGTCTTTTTTTCCCCCTAGTAATGAATGTAATAAGTGGTAACATCGTCAGAACAAAAAGAAACAAAATTTCAGGAAGAGTAATACATAGTGGCAGAAAAGTGGATTATTTAGGTACATTACAGATGAAGTGGACAAATGTCACCAACGCATAAAGGGTGGAGCAACCGTTGCATACAAAATAAAATTGTGCATGTGCATAGATGTAGTCCTAAATTCCTGGAGCACCAAAGATTTGTCCTTAAGGCCTTTATACTGCTCAGTAATAGAAGCCAAACCAAAAAATTAGATAACAGGTTGCACCAAAAAGTAAAACATCACAATATAAAATAGCTACAATGAAAACATAATATATATATATATATATGAAGACAAGATAAAAAATATATAATATGTCAACAGTCCAAAGTCTATATGTAGGAGTAAAAAATAAATACCACTATAAATAGGGCAAAACACAACAGAGACTTCCAGGTGAACAATCTTTTCTTGTTAGGAAAAACTCTGTAAAAATTATTGTTTCATGATGGAATCTGTATAGATATATAAAAAAGAAGGGGGCGTGGCCTGGACGAACATGGAGCAGGACGCTTAGACACTGAGCTCCGCGTCCCCGGCCGACGTTTATCAGCCATAATATAGCAAAACCGCTCACCTACCAGTGCAAATGGTCCGCAATAAGAAGCAGTCAATCCCAGGCACTCCCCCCGCCGCCACACGGGCCCGATGGACGGGTACTTTCCCTCGCAACCCGACGGACGTGACATGCAGCCCGCAGACAAGATGGCGCTGGAGGAGGAAAGCGCGGCTGGATCCCCGGCAGGGGAACTGGCACTGATACGAGCTGAGCTCACTCAAATTTAGTCCAGGATGCTAACCAAAGCGGACACTAACCAAATGGTGCAGGAACTCAGGGGGGCACTGAGGGAAGAACTGGCAGGCCTGCGCACTGACCTGACTGCGCTGGAGGGCAGGGTGGAGGAAGTGGAGGCCACGGCCCAAGATTGTGCCCAGCAACGCCAGGCTACAGAAATGGCGGTCACCAGGCAGGGCAACCTATTGCTCACCATAAGAAGGCAAGTAGAAGACCTAGAGAATAGAAGCAGACGCAGCAACATACGGGTGCGCGGTCTGCCTGAAACTGACGCTTCCCCGCTCACCAGCACGCTGGAAGCGCTATTTCAGCACATCCTAGGAGCCGAAGCACCAGATGCCATTCGCTTTGTGAGGGCATACAGAGCACTGGGCCCCACGCGGCAGGATGGCAGCCACAGAGATGTCATATGCTGCTTGCACGACGGAGGCCTGAAAGAGAAGATCATGGCAGCTGCGAGAGGGGAGCCCACCATCAGGTTTCGCAACGCCGACATATCCCTGTACCAGGACTTGTCTGCACTAACGCTAGATGCAAGAAGAGCCGTGCGCCCAGTTACAAGCGCACTCCGTGACAAGAGGATCCCATATCGTTTAGCCTCCAAGCAAAGCAAGGAAACTCATGGGTGACCGCCCGCTGGCAAGAGGACATACCGGGTTTCCTGAGAGCCCTGCATTTACCAGCAATCAGAGTCCGAAATTGGATTATAGAAGAAGCAGTTGCCGCGAGGAGAGACCCCCTGACCCCGGTGTTCCATGAGGGGGTGCAGCGGGAGAGGAATGCCCCACAACGCAGGTGGGGAGGACTCTCCGGTCCGGAAGAATAGGTCGGCGGGCTGACTGAGTGGCGGGTGGACGGTGAGTTGACTTGTAAGGGGGGTGAACTCCTGGGGTGAGCAGGTGGACACGTGGGTGGTCGGAGGACGTTTTTGGGGTGGGGGGCATCAGGGGATACCAGGCACTACGCCTAGCCATGGATACGGTCAGGGCCAGGGGGATGCAGTACGGGCTTTAAGTTCCCCTACTTTTGGGAGGGTGCATGGGGGGCAGCGGAACGCGGAGGGTCTAGAGACTGGAGGGCCCCTGGTATGGAACGAAGGCGCACCACCGCACTCCAGACTGCGGCCAGCCGGGTCCCCGGCATGGTGGAGGGGGCATCAAGCTTCGGCCCGGGACCTGCTGCCAATACGCGGCACGACACCAGACTCACTCCTACACACCCAACACTACAAGCGGCTGACAGGCAGTACACTGACACAGGGGTGGGCATTTATCACACCCTAGCTGGTAGGGAAATAGCGAGGCCTGGGCAGGGATGGGACTCACAAGACCGGACCCTGACTGCCGACCGAAGGGAGGGCCCCTGACTACATCGACACCCAGGAGGGACCTCAAACGAGGGACTTAGAGATTAAGCACAAACCCACCGGCACTGTTGGCATGCTTAGACCCATGGAAGAGACCCCAATGCGAGCACAGATGATGGATCGCCCGCCGCTTGGGCTTACCGCTCATACCTACACTGCTACACCACGACACGTAATGCCTCTACTAGCGAGTATATGACCATGGCATTATAATGCAGCACGAGCCAACCCGGCCAGGGAGGCGCACACTCAAAACCCTTAGTTATCCACTCTATCTTACCAGTCATACTCTGGTAGAGTTATTAGTAACAAGTTACACAGCGGGCACCCCGAGTGACAGGTACCTTTATTGCCCTGGTTTGGGTGGTGGGGTTAGCGCCGATAAGGGGTGCACCACTTGACACCAAACCACAGGTACCAAGTTACCATATACCCCTGCTACGGGGTCCAGCTCCTGCCTGCCTCGCCCCGGATCCGGTGGGGCTCCCCCACAGGGGGAACGCAGAGCCTGATCTAGGTGCACGGCTCTCCCCGTTGCCTCTGCATCCCTGCCGCCCCTGCCCAGCTGGGGGTCCCTCCCTGGCCCTTCATGTGCCCGTGCTCCCTCTGGGGGGCTTCCCCTCTCCCCCTTTTGGCCCTGAGGGGCCCCGGCCTCGCCGCCCCTCGGGGGGCCTGGGGTTCTTGCCTGCTCCGCTCCACCTATGGTTGCACAATGTGAGGGGCTTGAACGCCCTCGAACGTAGATCTCACCTCCTGCGCTCCCTATGGGCATCCCGGGTCTCCATCGCATTCGTACAGGAGACGCACTTTAGGGGAACGGTTGGCCCGGTGCTCCGTGACTCCAGATACCCGGTGGGGTACTTCGCCAACCATCCCTCAGCTAAAAAAGCTGGGGTCGCAGTCCTGTTTGCGAGCACGGTTCCGTTTATCTGTGAGGAGGTCTGTGGGGATCCCATGGGATGTTATCTGTTTCTGCGAGGCTCGATAGCGGACACCAAGTATACTTTCGGATGTATCTACGCTCCCAACACATGGCAACATCGCTTTCTGAGAAGCACGCTGCATAAACTCGAGCGGTTCCGGGAAGGACTGCTCGTGGTGGCTGGCGACCTCAACGTGGCCCGGGAGCCTCAACTGGACACATCCACCGGTGCCAGCTCACTACCGACCCATTGTTTACGAGACATCAAGGAAGCACTGAGGGGATCAGGCCTCATGGACTGCTGGAGGATGCTACACCCTGCCGATAGAGATTACTCTTATTTCTCCTCGGTCCATTCGAGATACAGTAGGCTGGACTATATTCTCCTTGCCCAAGAATTCCTGCCCCTGCTCATATTGGCGGACATACAAACGATGGGCTGGTCAGATCATGCACCCATCTCAACTCATATCAAATCCCCCCTAATTAGACCCCGAGAGCGCCACTGGAGGATGAATGAATCCATCCTGACGGAGTTGCCCATAGTAACAGACCTGCGCGCCACAATTACCACCTTTTTCGAAGAAAATGATACACCTGAAACCCCACCGCTAACCACCTGGGAGGTGCATAAATGCGTCATACGAGGACATCTCATCAGGGTATGTACGCAGAGAAAACGAGACCGGCAGGAACAGATGTCTGGCTTGATCCAGAAAATCAAAGAACTAGAGGGAAAGCACAAAGCCACGCAGGAAGATGACATCCACAAAGCCCTGCTGGACGCTAGGGGGGCACTCAGGAACCTACTCTCCCAAAAATTACAACACACCATATGCAAATCTACGCGGTTTTTTTATGAATACTCAAACAAATGTGGCAGACTGCTGGCCAGGATGCTGCAAAAACAGAGGCGCATGTGCCATATCACCAAAATCAAGCCCCGAGAGGGACCGGCGACCCAACTACCAGACAAAATCGCGGAGGAATTTCATAAATACTACTCGGCCCTCTATAATCTGCCACAGGGAGACCGAGCCGCCAGGGAGCAGGAGAGGACAGCTCAGATAACAGCGTACCTACAGCAACATGTCACTCAGACCCTGAGTCAGGAGGACATGGAAACCCTGGAGGCACCAGTCACACTAGAGAAATTACAGGCAGCCCTGAAGTTAGCTAAACTGAACAAAGCTCCGGGGCCAGACGGCCTACCGGTCCACTACATTAAGGAATTCGGGGACGTGCTTTTGCTAAGACTCCTTAGAGGTATCAACTCCATCCGGGACGGGGGTGCCTTCCCGAGGGACACCCTGACTGCAACAATAACGGTCATCCCGAAAGAGGGGAGGGACCCCACAAGCTGTGTGAGCTACAGACCTATTTCCCTCCTGAATGCCGACCTGAAGCTCTTTACAAAAATCCTGGCCTCTCGGCTCAGCGGAGTCCTCCCGGACCTGGTGGCGCAGGATCAGGTGGGTTTCATCACCGAAAGAGAGGCGAGAGATAACACCATCAGGGCCCTGAACATCATCCACGCGGCTGGACGGCTCAAACAACAAATCCTTCTCCTCTTTACGGATGCGGAGAAGGCCTTCGACCGCGTGGATTGGCAGTATATGAAGGCTACTCTAATAGCGATGGGTTTTGGGCCGTGCGTATTGGCATGGGTGTCGTCGCTATATACGATCCCGAACGCCAGGATTCGGATAAATGGTGCCCTCTCACTGGCGTTCCAGATCCGGAACGGGATGAGGCAGGGGTACCCGCTCTCCCCCCTTCTGTTTGCCCTCTCCCTGGAACCATTCCTGGTGGCGGTCAGACGGGACGGGGGAATATCTGGGTTTACTCTGAAGGGAACCACCCATAAGATTGCTGCTTATGCCGATGACATGCTATTCTTCATCAGCAATCCCCTGGTATCCTTGCCAAGCCTCTTAAAGGCTTTCAAGGACTACGGCCATATCTCGAACCTGAAATTAAATACAGAAAAGTCGGAGGCTCTGTTCATCTCCGCGAGGGAGGGGGAGACCACTCACCTACGAACACAGTTCCCATTCATGTGGTGTGAGACCAAACTGAAATACTTAGGTATCTGGTTAACTGCGGACCTCACCCAGCTATATACCCACAATTTCGCTCCGCTCCTACCGACGCTAAAAAGGGATATGCTACGGTGGTTTGGCCTATGTGTCTCATGGTTTGGCAGAATGAACACCATTAAGATGAATCTCCTCTCTCGACTACTTTACCTCTTCCAAACAATACCAATTTGCCTGCCCACGTCCTTCTTCCAACAACTGGATGCTGACATTTCGCAGTTCATCTGGCGAAACCAATTATCTCGAATCAGGAAAACTCTGCTCCATAGGCCGAAGGCACAGGGAGGGGTGGGACTACCCTCAGTCCGGAATTACCACAGGGCCACACATCTACAGCGCATAGTGGAATGGCATGTGTCCAGGACAACCAAGACCTTGATACACATGGAAAGAGCCCAGATGGAAGGGGCGCTCCCGGCTTTAATTTGGAGATACGAGCCTATCAGAGGCACATTAGCACAGCACCATCCATTCATAGGTGCGACCCTGAAGATCTGGTGCGCGATAAGGATGAAACTTACGCTCACCACTGTACCAGGGCCTCTGACCCCAGTGGCGCACAACCCGGAGGTGGCGGGAGGTCTAGCACACCGGACCTTCTCGCGTTCAGGGGCACTGACTGGTCCTATATGCAGCAGTGGTGCACACAGGACGATCTCAAACAACTACCAGACCTATTGGGGGACAGGATCCCGACTCCCTTAGATAGGTTACGGTATTTCCAAGTCAAGTCATACTATAAGGCACAAAACGGGAAACACCTCTTGCACAGACCCCTGACAGAGTTTGAGGGACTGTGCACAAATAGGACACGTCCCCCTAGGGGGATCTCACTCTTATATGCCCTGCTAATAGCGACAACCCCACTGGAACCGGCAAAACACGCTGCACAATGGGAGAAAGCCACGGGAATCACACTCACTGATCCCGAATGGGCGAAAATATACATACTGACGCATCAAAGTTCCATGTGCTCTAAAATGCAGGAGTTGAATTACAAACTGCTCACCGGATGGTACCGGACCCCAGACAGGCTACACCGTATGCTACCTGACATCCCGGATACGTGCTGGAGATGCGGGGGACGGCCGGGTACAGCTCTACACATCTGGTGGTCATGTGATAAGATCTCCCCATTCTTGCAGGAAATTCACAAGACGATACAAGAGGTAACGGACAGCGACCTTCCTTTTCAGCCTTCTGGATGCTGCTTCACCATACCCCGATGCCCATTTCACGATATAAATCCTCCTTAACCAAGCACCTCCTCAACGCCGCCAAACTCATGATCCCAGTTCGATGGCGATCTCCCCAGGTGCCTACCATTCAGCAGTGGATGGACAAAGTGGAAGAGATACACGAGATGGAGAGGCTCACGGCGACACTCAGGGACAAAATGGACAAATACCAGCAATGCTGGACCCCATGGATACTCTATCTGTCCAGACGATAGGAGGGACATCGGGGAGGGGAGTCGGGCGTCCGGATGGGTCGGGGGTGGGTGGGGATCGTCTGGGCCTGGAGGGGCGTGGGGCGTCCCGGGGCCAGGGGAGGCGGGGGGGGCGCTGCTCCTCCCCCCCTTCTACCTTCCCTTCCCTCACCCTAAGCACTCAGCTGGCGTCACGGGTGCGGGTTGGGGGGCGATGGGGGAGATGCCTAACCATGAAGACCCATGCGGGGGGATAGGGGAGATCTGGAGCCCCGACATGTCTAAGGAACAAGAGGGAGGACCGAGAGACCAGATAGGCTAGCCCCATGGGCGTCCGCAGGGGGGGGCAAGAGGGGGCACTTGCCCCCCCCTGGATTTTTCAGCTTGTTCTGCTATTTTATGTGAGATTTAAAATGAACCGGCGCTGTGTATGGAGAGAGACAGGGATAGGAAGCTGCATCTTATCCCTGCTTCTCTCTGCTGATTGAAACCGCAGGGGAACAACACATGCAGCCAGAGACAGCCTACAGATCAGGTAAGTGAGGGATGGGGGGGAAGGTTTGAGAGGGGGGCAGCAGCCTTTAGATTTGGGGGGGGCAGCAGCCTTTAGATTGGGGGGGGCAGCAGTCCATAGATTGGGGAGGCAGCCTTTAGATTTGGGGCAGCAGCCTATAGATTTGGGGGCAGCAGCCTATAGATTTGGGAGGCAGCCCATAGATTTGGGGAGGGGGGCAGCAGCCCATAGATTTGGGGGCAGCAGCTTTTAGAGTACCCATATATTTGGCGGGGCAGCCCATAGATTTGGGGAGGGCAGCAGCCTATAGATTTGAGGGCAGCAGCAGCCATAGATTTGGGGACAGCAGCCCAGCAGTAGATTTGGGGAGGGGGGCAGCAGCCTATAGATTTGGGGGCAGCAGCCCATAGATTTGGGGGGGCAGCAGCCTTTAGATTTGGGGGCTGCAGCCCATATATTTGGGGGGGGGCAGCAGCCTATAGATCTATAGAAATGAACAGGAAGGGTCAGCAAGGAGCTGGAAGGTAAAGCAGCACAAAGGTAAAGTAGAAGGAGCAGAAAGGGTCAGAAATGAGCTGGAAGGGGCAGAAGGAGCACAAACATAAAGTAGGAGAATGAGCAGGAAGGGCCTGCAAGGAGCAGGAAGGGCCTGCAAGGAGCACAAAGGGACAGCAAGGAGCACAAAGGTAAAGGAGCAGAAAGAATCAGAAGGAGCACAAAGGTAAAGTAGGAGAAAGAGCAGAAAGGGACAGCAAGGAGCACAAAGGTAAAGTAGAAAAGGGAGCAGAAAGGGTCTGCAAGGAGCAGAAAGGGATCAGAATGAGAAAGGAGCAGAAGGGCGCAAAATAAGCAGAAAGTAGCAGAAAGGTAAAAGAGCAGAAGGGGCCAAGGATAGAAAACAGTGTCAGAAGAAAAAAAAAGACTGTCAAATGAAGGAGAGGAAAAGGAGATTGGAGCAGGAAGGACAAATGAAGTGAACCCTCCACTTTATTCTGGACACCACATCATAAGGCTTTGGTACCTGGGCCTGGCAGGGAAACGCTGGACCTTCTCATCTCCAAAGGTAAAAAAATATCAGTATTAATGTGTTCACTTTTATTTACTGAGTGTCAGGAAGCACAGAGTGCCGTTGGGTAGGGGTGTTGCTGATTGGCTAGAGCGGTCAGCTGGCACTCTAAGCCAATCAGTAGCTCCCCATTCATAAAAAAGTAAAAATATTTTATGAACCGGGAACTAGCGATTGGCTTAGAGCGTCAACTGACCACTCTAGCCAATCAGCGGCACCCATGCCTGACGTCAATCTGCACTTCCTGACACTCTGTTTCAGAAGCCAAATACCACTGAGCGACCTGGAGCTGGAGGAAGCCTTTGGGTTAAACCATTTGAGAGTGATTTAACCCCTTAAAGGAAAGCGAGCACCCAGGGGCTTCCTGGCATCATAGCATTTTCATTTAGGTGAAGTTGTTATGGTGACCAGAAATGTCCTTTAATTTGCTTAAAGGAACACTATAGTGTCAGGAATACAAACATATATTCCTGACACCATAGTTGTGAAAACGCTATTCACCCTGGCTTTATGTGATAATGGCTATGCCCCTTCCCTTTCATGACACTGTCAAAAAGGTACCAAGCATGGATGTCATTACAATTATGCCCCCCCCCCCCTGGAAAAATTCCTGCGGACGCCCATGGCTAGCCCCCAAGATAATTAACAGGAACAAACTCAAAGGGAATGCCCCATTGTAGCGCACTAAAGATGAGGAGCATGCAGGCCAAGCAACACTAGCGGAGGCAAGTACCCGTAGAGTACCTGAGCACACTAGGCCCTACGCCTTGCAGGTTCTGACTGACTGAGTGGGTCGGCCCCCATGGGATCGTATATGCCTCACGAAGCGATGAGGGCAGAGACATGCCGGTCGGCCAGATACCCATCTAATGGGCGCAGCCGCCTCGAGCAGGCCGGTATAGCCCGAGATGCCTGACGGGACAAGACGGGCCGGTCCTACCCTTCCGCACACGCTGCCCCAAGTCAAGACAAAAATTTTGTAGGAGCACGGACAGGCGGGCATAGACTCAGCTAACCGCATGCTAGCTTGTAGACTACAACAAGTAGTAGAGCAGGGGCACACTCAGCTAACACTAGCACTAGCCTTTCGAGATGGCAACATCGCAGATAACACTAACTCCGAGTGTAGGGGACATTTAGAAAGGGTACGCTACATGAGGCCACATTAATGCCAAGGACAGTGCTCCTAACTTAGCCACTTACATAACACAACATCGCAGCACTAAATACTACCACTGTTTTGCTGAAGTTGTTTTCCATGAGACGTTATGCATACCTAATGTTTCACAGGCATGTTATAATTGTTATACATTATATGTTGCCATATCACTGTTTGGCATCAAAAAACAAAAATAAAGATTGTCAAAAAAAAAAGAAAGCAAAACAAAGGATTAAATGGTACAGTATGCCAATACAAGTAGAACTAATGCAGCATACAGTAATGGCTTACTCACATTTGTTAGAGCTATAATCGGCTTAGCGTAGACAGCATTCAGTGTGATAGATCTGCACTTGTAGAATATGATGTAGATGTGCACAGCATGAAAACAACCATATAACCCCCAAAAAATGAAATAATTAGTTTTTGCTTTTTATCTCTGTAAACAAGTACAAGGGGAGCCTCCACCAGTTATTGGAGACCACATATTTATACTGCCCAGTTGACTTCATCAGAATTACTACAGAGTAAATTGTAATTGATGAAAATTATATTGTGTAACTTAGGACAAAATACCTTAAATTGATAGAATCTGCACTACTGCATATTTACTAACTTTGCTATTTTAAACTTAAACTAAAGTTTCTAATATGATCTTTATAGCTTAGTGAATGAATACTGTATTTCTTTAGATTTTGATCCAAACCTGTTTTTTGCAGGTAAACAGGGCTATTCACTACAAATTGCGATAGTCACTACACTGACAGGCTTATCCACAAAAGCGAGAATTAAAGATGAATTCAATGTGAATTTTATATTTAGGGTAAAAATAGGAGAAAAAAAACCCTTTTTTTCAGCTATTCTGGTCTTATATTTGAAATTAAAATAAATTGTAATTCACTCTAAATTCTAACTTAACTAAATAACCCTGTGAGGACAGTGGAGAATTTAGCAGGGAATTGAAAATGTTATGCCAAAATGCAGCAGAAATGGGAATAGCCAAGTTGGGGATTGTTTTTCCAATTTAGTAATTTTAGCCTTCAATATGCAATTCCCTGGTCAATTTCCAATTCAGTGAAATAACCCGGCAGGTCTGGTGCTCATTAACAATATATGTCAAGCAGCAGTCTGTGCAGAGAGGCAGGGACTATAATTATGAATGGTGCCGTGACATTAGGGCAGCAGATGCATCACATAACCCTACAAAGAACAGGAGGGGGATGAGAGACAGAGGAAAATGTTAAACTGTTTTTTCAGGGGGAGGGTTGAATAAGTGGCTACAGAAAAGCATAATAAGTCTAGAGTGTAAAAGAGACTTACTGAATAAAGAAGAGAGGGTAGAAACAAGTTGCGCTGAATGCTGGGTGGCAATTAAAGGGACACTGTGGGCACCATAATTATTTATTCACATTGAATTGGTAATAGGGCCTGGAGTACTCTAGCACCATTTTCAAGCAGTTTAACACTAAAAAATAAATTACTCTCTTCCTTCTAGCCATACTAATTCATGCCAGCAATGGGCACTGTAATAGGCTGAAAGAGGACAGCTGGCATTCTTAGCCAATCAGTGATGCCCATTTCTGCATTGGCCAATGCTTCCTTTTTATCCCAAGCAGCACAGGGAAGATGTGCTACTGGGGACTCTTGTTTATCATTAAAACAGTAAAAACTGTTTAATGCTGAATGGAAGAATGGTGCCAAGGGACTCCAGACATTATAACCACTTCAATTATATAAAGCAGTTAAAGTGCCCCTTTCCCATAACTCTTGCTGTATGGACTTCACCTTATTCACAATGTGATCTACTCCTCTTCATAAAGTTGATCAAGCAGAGAGCCTTTCAGCCCTACTTGTTTATACACCTGATGCTTTCTAGCCATTATCAGGTCTCCTTTTAAAATAGATCAGGTCTCCTTTAAAAATACATGTGGAGCCGGCTTCATCTAATCAGCTGGGAAACAATACTTTGAATTGGATTTATTGTGTACAATTCAGGGCAACCATTTGTCACTTGCCGCATTGATATTCTTGCACAACGGCCTCTAACACAATAAGTCATGCATGGACGTGTAGAGCAGGAATCAACTAAGCAAAGTCTGTTGGTACTGCTGTGAGGTTTGGGATTTAAATACATACAGTGAAGTGAAGGAAAAACCCTCACTGGTGAGGAGGAGTTAAGAGTTAGGAATAACTGAAAGTATTATAGATATTGACCTCTTTATGACAAATTATGTGTTTTAACGGTCATGATATTGTATTTATCTAACCAGTTGTCTTGCAGGGGTTAATAAGATAAAGATATTAATAAATGTTGGGTCATACAACTATATGTATAGGCTTTGAAGGTCACGGGTCCAGAATACCTCATCTACTGGTGACTTAATCATCAAATGAAAGCAAGGAGTGAGCAGGGAAGAGCGTTCCACCATCAATGCAAAGAGAAGAGGACACTGTCTTTATAGAACTAGTGTTCTGCTGGTTATTCTTGCGTGCCTCGCATTAGCATATGTAATGTGCAAGTTCAGTTTCCAAATAAGATCACTGGAAGAAGTCACTGCAATTTTATTTCAACAATAGAGCCAAAAGTACTGCTATAAATAAGATGCACGAGTGGAAGGTGAACATACAAAGTGTTTAATGTTCAGCATAATATACTAAGAACTCCACAACAAAGTAAATGTCTTATCTTGAATTGTATAATCAAAAATATAAAGGCATTATGGATCTGTACCCATAGTTAAAGGGTTTCTCCAATCCTTTTTGTACCTCTCTGGGCATTATTGTTTAGGATCCCCACCCCAAGAAAATAGCTTTAAAAGATTTTAAAATCAAGTTTTATTTACATTTATCCAGTACCAGGAAAAGCGCTCCTAGTTCTGAAAAGTACCAGAATGGGTGCTGGAATGATCTCACAAGAGCATCTATAGGTCAATTGAAAGATATGACATGGACTGGGGGTCTTTCTGAAAAAAGCTCCCATGTTCTTGTGCAATTGTGATATTTTAGGTAGATTAGCAGAATTTGGAGAATCTACCTTGGGATTTAGCTTTTAGTCTGCTCTAAATCCATGTAAGTACAAAATTCCATAATGCCTTAAATAGCAACTCTCCAGGATGTCTAATATTTGGCTTACTTACCTCCTACAGTTAAGTTAGTTAAGTATGCATTTGTAAGGTATAAACATACATTTAAGTGTAGAAATTCACATTTCTTTAGCCTGCTACTGGGCACCTCCATCTTCTCTCCCTGTCTATAATTGTTATAAACTCTATCCTTTGTACATGGCAGTCAGCATAGAGAAAGCATACAGAGAATAGTAGAATGACTGCCCTGGCTTTGCCTTGTCTAAAATGCAATTTGATGTCATTTGCTATACCTTTATTATAAATTAAAATAAAAAAGATCATCTCATGAAAAAAGAAAAAGTTAACACAACATATAGGTGTTCCTCTTTAATAGTAAATTTAAGAGTAACTTTTCTTGTTTGGGCACTTTCACTTAATTTATTACACCTATGTGGCAATGCCCAGTCAGAAGAACGCCCTCTGATGAGACAGCCAAGATGTCCATTTAGATAGTCCAGCAAAGGCATACTATCTTTAACTTACACAACATAGGAATAATTTCTTTATCACCTGGTAAACTGGAAGCAACACCAACCCTGAGTTGTAGGGGTCATTATCATTTCCATATCAAGCAAGCACCCCAGCTATTGCGATATATCCATCAAAACCTGTCTGACGATAATTTTATTATTTACAGAGATAGTCACGTTACTGTGCACCCCTTCACACACATTTACATTTACACTTCCAACCATATGTAAATTCAGAAAGCAGAACTGTACATGTTGATCTCTACACAAAGCAAAGTATGTTTGAGGATATTCAAAACAATATTGGCAGATGGCCCAAAACTGGCATGCAAAGGGAGTGCATGTACAGTGAATACACAGTTCCCTAGCTTTGAATACTATATTTATTATATATGTGTTGGCACATTACTCTGGAGTCAGGACTGGCATACAGGGAGAAGGTATGCACACACAGAATTACTTATTATATTAACAAGGGCAATGGCATGCCCACACTTCCCAGGGCTGGGTCTGTGTGTGTGTTACCTAGAATCTGGGAACTGGATGGACCATAGCTCTACGCATGGTGTCATTGGGGGAAAGGACCGAATGTGTCCAATGACCAGCAGCAGCCCATTTCTGGTGAAGCAACATTAAGAAGAACACCATTCTAATCTAGAAGTGAATATTTTGGCGCATACCACTAAGGGAAGATTCCAATCTAAACAGGAGACCAAAAGAGAGATAGAAGGGACAGCTATAACAGGGCAAGGGAAGAAAGACAGAGAATGAACATTGTCACAAACATGAGAGTGGACCATATGGGAAACTACAAATGAGATGGAAATGATGTTAAGTGAGAAACCGTACCAAACACCAAAGACGGGCAAAAAGAAGAATAATTTTAAAGGGACATTACTGTCACCCAGACCACTTCAGCTCAATGAAGTGGTCTGGGTGCCAGGTCCCTCAGGTTTTAATCCTTCAGATGTAAACATAGCAGTTTCAGAGAAACTGCTATGTTTACATAGCAGGGTTAATCCAACCTCTAGTGGTTGTCTTCCTGACAGCCGCAAGAGGCGCATCTGCAAAGCTGGATGCGAAATTCGCATCCAGCGTGCAGAACGTCCATAGGAAAGCATTGAGAAATGGTTTCCTATGGACTGTTTGTATGCGTGCATGGCACTTGCTGCGCATGCGCATTCCTCTCCACTCAGGAGCGGATGTTGGTGGGGGGAGGAGAGGTCACCAGCGCTGGATTAAGGTAAGTGGCTATAGGGGTCATTATAGTGATCCTTTAAATGTGACATGAGATCATCTGTTCTTTATTCTGTCTACTTTTTTTATGCCTGTATATACTGCATAGATGGCAGTGGTTTTGAAGACATGCAACGTGTAAGGTTTTATATGTGTTGGTTTTTTTGTTCTGGTTTCATTTAAAATAAAGCAGAAAAAATAATCTTGGGGAAACTCGATGTGAAACAACTGTTGGCTACAATTTATTTACTTAGCATTGTATGTAGTTTATGAAGAAATACAGACTTTCTAGCACTGTGGATCAGTTCCAGTAAAAAATCCCTTCCAGTCAATCAACAGAACAATAGCTTAATAAATTAATTAATTGTTTATACAAAAGTGAGCTAAATAAAGATCTGTATTACGGGTTTATTTTTTTCTAAAACACAAGAAATACTGGAGCTTTAGCTTATTAGTACAAATAGTGCCCTTTTATAAGTTGTGAGTATTTTTATTTCAGGAAATGTGACTTTCTTAAAAAACATTTTACTTACTCTGCTCTAGTAATGTAATATATGTGGTTATGTGTAAAAATAGGCAGAGGAATGATAAACAAACAGAAGGTTAACGCGACATAAGTTCACCAATAACGTCTGGTTGAGGGCTAATGCCCTTAAGGCTATGTGGCACGGTCAGCCAATGCCTCGGCTTGGTGCGGCTGTGGGGCCCCTGGGTGCCACAGGGTTCGCCCGGGTATGTGCTTGTGGCTTTGTTGGACGTAGGTTGCGCTCGCCCACCTGTAGAGCCGGATCTCCGCTGGATATTGTAGTGGGTGGACTCCGGCCCTGTGGCTTCCAGCATGATCCCAAGTCCATTCTTCCAAAGATGTGCCTGTGGCAAGTCACTGGTACCCTGCTGCCCCGGTGCCGTGTGGAAGCTGATGCCCTTGTGCCACGAGCCTGGGTTCCGTAATGGCCCAGGGTCGACCCTGTCGGGATGGTGCGGCGGGTCTTGTACTCCGTTTTCCATCTGGTATGTCTTGTCTCTTTCCGCTGGTGTGGCTGGCATCTGTGGAGTGCTACCCCTGTTGCCCCCAGTGCGGGATTCTGTTGCTTATGGCTACCAGGCTCCCGGAGGTATTCCAGGCCTCCCCTCTACTTGGGCTGTGTGCCTCGCAGGTATCTTGCGGAATGGCTCTGCAGGCTGCAAGTGTGTTTGCAGTCTGGCCCAGAAACGCTTGAAGATTACATCAATCGGGTCCCTTGTGTGGACATCGATGCCCCTGTTGGTAGACCGTCGATCGCCTCGTGCCGCTAATGGGAATGCGTCCGCCATCTTGGAGGCCTCCACTCCCGCCTTGTTGGAGAGGGTTTCAGGCTTGTTTGTGGGGCGGAGGGTATGGGGTTCTCCGTTTGGCGGGGACCGGGATCTCCCCCACCGGTTCATTGGGGGGTGGGGCGGGGAAAGTGTAGTTGGTTCACTTACGGCTGTTTGTGCCTCACGGGAAAGCGGTCGTCTTTCCTCGCCGCCTCCTGAGGTAGTCCCCACTCTGCCGTAGCGGTGTCCGGTTGAGTCGGTGTAGAATTTAGTGTCGGTGTGTTCCGCCAGGTGTCCCCTGTGTCGTGGTGGCCTTTGTAGGAGAGTTACGGTTCTACAGCTCAAGGAATTGGCATAGTTTGTGCCCGTGTGGCAGGAGCTCCTGCTGAGCACGTCCAGCCAGCTCGCGGGTTAAGCTCCCCCCTATATTTTTTTTTTTTTTTTTAACATCCAAATACACTTGGAATGAAATTCTAACTCTAATATTTTTTTTTTATTCTTTAAAAACACCCGAACGGGTCGAAACATTGATTTATTTTTGCACAGTTATTATGGATTTGTGAAATACATTAAGGCACCAGGTGTTTGAATTTTGAGACATGAGATTGCATCCTATTTTTCTTTCTTTTTTTTTTAAATTTGACAATTTTTATTTATTTTATCAGTAAGCAACGTATTCAGGGTATAGAAAAGAATGGGATTACAGTTAATGAGATTAGATTTGTACAGTCGCTCATTATACAGGGGGAGGGTACATAACAGAGGAAGAGGGTGGGGGGGTGCATCACAGGTTGATACAGACAAGCATTTTTAGTAAGATTAGATCCACATTATTTCCAGCAGTAGGCAAACCTATGGGGTGAATGGGGGAGAGCTTTGTGTGGCTTCTCGGATCAGTGCATGTACTTCAGTCCAATAAGGATGTAGCGTGGGCAGCTCCATATGGTGCATTGAGCCCTCTGCTGCATGGCATCTCCAGCAAAGTGGTGAGGTGGAGGGAAAGATCTTGTGCAGTCTGGTTGGCACTAAGTACCAACGGTATAAACATTTTACGGTGTTTTTCAACGTGAGAGGTGGATTTTAGTAGCTTGAGAGGGTCGGACAGGATAGTGTCCCAGGATGTGGGTGGCACTACACAGCCTAGATCGCTCTCCCATTGCTGGGCATATTTTGTGGTGGAGAAGTGGTTGTGTTTCGTTATGGAGCTGAGACACATGGAGATCGGTTTACATTGAGGTAGTAATCTTGCAGTTATACACATTTGTTCCCATGCAGTTAACCTATTAACATCTCTAGAGGTGTCTAAGAAACGTTTTGCTTCTTTAGAGATATAGGAGTGTAGCTGGAGGTACGAGTACTGCGAGGACTGTGGGAGCACGTATTTGTCGGCTAGGCTCGTGTAGTCTAGTAGTTTATGGGTATCAAATTGGTGGTAAAGGTGCGTTGCACCTCCTTGGTACCACGGTAGGGCATTAAATGTGGGGATGATTTTAGGGGGGTTGCCAGGGAGAGGCTAGGTGTGCTGCCTAACTTAGAAACATAGAAACATAGAATGTGACGGCAGATAAGAACCATTCGGCCCATCTAGTCTGCCCAATTTTCTAAAAACTTTCATTAGTCCCTAGCCTTATCTTATAGTTAGGATAGCCTTATGCCTATCCCATGCATGCTTAAACTCCTTTACTGTGTTAACCTCTACCACTTCAGCTGGAAGGCTATTCCATGCATCCACTACCCTCTCAGTAAAGTAATACTTCCTGATATTATTTTTAAACCTTTGTCCCTCTAATTTAAGACTATGTCCTCTTGTTGTGGTAGTTTTTCTTCTTTTAAATATAGTCTCCTCCTTTACTGTGTTGATTCCCTTTATATATTTAAATGTTTCTATCATATCCCCCCTGTCTCGTCTTTCCTCCAAGCTATACATGTTAAGATCCTTTAACCTTTCCTGGTAAGTTTTATCCCGCAATCCATGAACCAGTTTAGTAGCCCTTCTCTGAACCCTCTCTAAGGTATCAATATCCTTCTGAAGATACGGTCTCCAGTACTGTGTACAATACTCCAAGTGAGGTCTCACCAGTGTTCTGTATAATGGCATGAGCACTTCCCTCTTTCTACTGCTAATACCTCTCCCTATACAACCAAGCATTCTTAGGTCTGTACTTATCCCAGATTTGAAACAACAGCAGTATCTGGGGGGGAAGTGTCGTCAAGTCAGGCCTGAGATGCGATGGTGTCCAAAGCAGGTGCAGAATTTCATAGTTATCTAACTGATCTCGCTCTAGGGAGACCCATTGTGGTTTGGGTTCAGAGATTATGTGGGGCATAGCTGCAGCTAGTACTGCCACGTGATAGTAGCCCTGGACATTGGGTAGTGCTAAACCACCCTGTTTCTTGGGGGACTGTAAGACATTCGCGGCTACTGTGGCTTTGCCACCTGCCCATACAAACTTCCCCATATTAGCCTGAATGGTCTTAAAGTAGGTGGGTGAAGGCGGAGGGGAATAGTGCGAAAGAGGTACAGCAGCCTTGGTAGTATTGACATATTGAGTGTCACGATGTGGTCTGTCCAGGACAGGTTCATCGGAGACCATTGTTTCAGTAGTTGACTGCACTTGTTCCAAACTGCAACATAGTTTGCTGACATAAGGTTTGCAGGATTTTTAGTGATTGTCAGGCCTAGGTAGCGTATAGATTCAGTTCTCCAGTCAAAGTCATATGTGTGTGTGAGGGTGCGTAATACCGGGGCAGGGATGCCAATAGGCAGGGCCTGTGTCTTGGCTGCATTAACTAAATAGTATGAGAACTGTCCATATGTGTGTATTATCTGCATTAGTGTAGGTAGGGAGTCTTGTAGGTTTGTTACGTACAGTAGTACGTCGTCCGCGAATGCGCTAATCTTAATCTGCTTGTCCCCTATATGTATTCCCTGTATCTTCTCATTTGAGCGTATGCGGTGCAAGAGAGGTTTTAGTGCGAGGACATATAAAAGTGGGGATAGGGGGCACCCCTGTCTTGTTCCATTGGTAATCGGAAAGGTGGGGGACAGGAAACCTGCTTGGTTTATCTGTGCCGAGGGCGAGGAATAGAGTGCAAAGATCTGTCGGATTATTTGTGGGGGGAATCCAAATTTCTCCAAAACCAGTTTCAGGAAGACCAAGCCGAGGCGGACAAAGGCCTTCTCCGCGTCCAGCGCTAGGAGGAGACCCCCTCGTCCAGGCCTCCCAGGCTCCCACTGCGCCAGGGCTAATTTTCGGGTGTTGTCTAAGCCCTGTCTGCCCCTCACGAAACCCGTCTGGTCGTCATGTATCAGTGTGGTAGGATTGTGCTCAGTCTATTTGCAAGGATCTTTGCGTCCGTGTTAAGTAGGGAAATAGGTCTGTAGTTCTTTCACAGGTCCGGGGAGTTATCAGGTTTGGGGATTGTCACTATCGTGGCTAGTAATACTTCAGGAGGCAGGCTACCGGTAATTGCCGTCTGCTGGTACATTTTTAGGAGTTGCGGCATCGGTGTGGCTCTGAACTCCTTATAGTAAGCATTGGGAAGTCCATCTGCTCCTGGAGACTTCCCCGGGGGGAGCTGCATAATAGTACTGATGATTTCTTGTACAGGAATGGGTTGTAGTAGGGCTTGACAGTGGCCCTCCGTCAGTTTGGGCAGTGTAATGTCTACTAGGTATTGGGCTGTTTCCGAGGGTTGAGGGTGGGGCCTAATGTCATCCATGTGGAGGTTATATAAATTAGAATAAAAGGTTGCAAATGTGTTACTGATTGTTTGTGGGTCTATGTGTTTATTGCCGTCGTTATCTATTATGTGGGATATTTTACATTGGGTCGATCTAGCCCTGAGCCGTGCTGCTAGGTGTTTGGTGGGTTTGCAGGAGGTGTGGTACGTGGTGGCCCTAAGCTTATGAAGAAGATCGTTTGTTCTGTCCGCCTGTAGTTTGGTAATGGTCGTCTGAAGGTTGTTTATTTGGTTTAAATACGCTTGCGTGGGTTGGGCTTTAATTTTTCGTACTGACTTCAGCTAAGGTTTTTTTAAGCATCTAGTAGCGTGAGCTGATTTCTCCTCTTAATATAGGAGGACCTTTTAATAAAAAGCCCGCTGACTACGGCTTTATGGGCGCTCTACACCATGCTGTCTGTGACCTGCCCTGTCCCGTTCGTTTGGAAGTATTCCGTCAGTGCGGTCTGGATCGAATCTCTAAACGCAGCCTTTGCCAGGAGCGATTCGTTAAGGCGCCATTGCCCTTGCCCTCTGAATTGAAAGTTATCATGTAGGTGTAGGTGTACTGGGCCGTGGTCCGACCATGTGTCTATTCGGGTATATGTGTTGTGGACTTTCGAGTGAAACGTGTAGTCAGCCTGTTTGGGGTGTAATGTTCGCCAGGCATCATATAGTCTGTGTTGTGCCAGTAATTTGGCTATAGCTTTACATGTGTCGACTATGTGTGATTTCCTCCTACCCGTGGGGCGCGCTGTGGTGTCTAAGGTTGGCAGTTGGATAAAGTTAAAATCCCCACCTAGGATCAGGCCCCCGGTCTTAACCACATCTATGGTGAGGAGGAGAGTTTGAAGGTAGCATTTGAGTTCTACATTAGGAAAATACGCCGCAGCCAGGGTATACATTGCGTTCTTAAAACATGCCCACGAGGACGATAAACCTGCCCTTAGGATCTATGATTTTTCTATAGAGTGTAAGGGATGTGTCTTTATGAATGAAAATTGAGATGCCTTTAGTTTTGTTATCAGAAAGGGGGTGGAACTGGGTCGGGTAGTATTTGTTATATATACTCGGAGTATGGTCTCTTTTAAAATGGGTCTCCTGAACACATGCAATGTCAACTCTCTCTTTTTTCAGGTCTCTGAGTAGGAAAATCCGTTTACTGGGGGTGTTAAGCCCCTTAACATTAAGGGTCCTAATTTTCATAAATGGCTAAGTGTATGGTTGCTGCAGTGGTGGCCCAGGGGTATGGTGTCCCTGTGGTTGGTGCTATGTGGAGTATTTGGCTCTTGTCGTAGCATTTTAAACATAGGACTACATGTCCTTTTTGGTGGAATTGGTGATCCTGGGTGGTAGCGGAGGGGGGAAGGTAACTATAGGAGGGGGGGGGGGGAAATTCCGCAACTGTGGGTGAGAAAACGCTCAGAAAGTCTGAGCAAGTGTGGCCTGGTTCTCCCAGACCCACATGGAGTGGGTGGAGGCTTCGAGTGTCTCCATACAGTAAATGGAGTTATTCTGGTCTTAGGGCCCAGTCGGGGCTGCTGGGAAGCCATTGGTTTAGTGAGGCAGTATTTCTCATGCCATGACTGTGCTGCAGCGTACGCCCATGCTTACGGTGGTGTGATCCACTGTTAAAGATGTGTTAAGGCTGACCGCAGATCACGGAGTCAAAGTAAACGTGAGATAATTCCCGACCATAGAAAAACATGTACATAAACATATAAACAATAAGACATCTCTTTCAAGCGAGGATATATAGTGTGTAATTAAGTATGATGCCCACCTTGGGCAGGCGTCCGTCCCAGGGTATGCCTGTGTTTAGCTAACATGGGCCCTTCTAGGATATTTAGCAATCAAACCGTAGCGGGTGTTGGCTATAAACAGCTCAATGTACTACTCTGAGGTCTAACCCTAGAAGAGTAGATATAGAAACCTTGAGTTGTCGCATATGCTAAGGCGTAGTATGGGCCTTGGTATAAGGTGCCCTACAACTAAAGGTTTTCTGCTTTGAAGAGTGACTATGCTCAAGTGCTATACAATTGTTATTTGTATTTTTATTTTTTAATGTATTTTTTTCTAATTTTTTTTTTCTTTCTATACGTTCTGCTTTACTGCTATACATTCTTGTGAACGGTCTTGCTAATCGGGCAGTGTCGGGTTCTAACCTTAAAGTCTAGCACATTATAACTAAATGTACAGCTCGCATGAAACATAAGTGGGAACCATAGAACATCTCTCTAGTAAGAACATAGAATGTGCATCGATATACAATACCCTACATGGGAAGGCCTTCTGCCCTTAGGCGGGAGTCCATTCTGATGACAGTCTGGGGACTTTAGCCGGTGAAGATGCCAGAGGTGTAGGTAGTGGTACACCCCAGTCCTGTAGCTTTTTTAGGCCATCTGTTTCCGTCGCCACGTCATGTATTCCCCCCCCCCCCTTTTCTGCACCAGCAACTTCGCCGGATATCCCCATCAGTAGCCTTAATATCGTTGGATCGGAGCGTGGTAGTGATCAGGGATATCGATTTCCTAAACTGCAGCGTGGCAGCCGACATGTCTGCGAAGACTTTGTTGTTAGTGTATGGTTCAGGAAGGGAGGTATTCCTACAGGCCTTTGTAATGCGCTCCTTCACGTAGTAGAAATGAATGCATGAAATTACATCCCTCACTGTAGTGGAAGGTAGATGGCTAGGTCTGCGCAGGAAGTGGGCTCTATCGATTACCAAGAGGTCTGGGTAGGTAGCTGGGATTAACTCCTGGAACAGGTCGGTCAGGTATTTGTGCAGTTCTGTGGCTTGAACTGATTCTGGTATACCTCTGAAACGAAGGTTGTTCCTTCTGGACCTATCTTCCAGATCTGTGACTTTACGTTTCTGGGTCTCTAACGAGGTCTCTAGTTCTTGTAGCTTGTCTGCAAGGCTGTTATGGGCCACTGCAAAGTCATCCAGTGATTTCTCTACATGGGCTGTCCTGCTCCCAATTACTAACAGCTCCTTTGTGAGATCTGTTGTAAGCTCATGAATCTGCACTTTAATGCTTGCCTGCAGTTTGTCAGTGAGCTCTGCCATCAGGGTTCTCATCCCTGCAACTGTGAGGGGACCTTCCTCTAAAGCTGAGCTCGGTGAGGGTGGGGGGGAGGGAGAAAACTCGCCTGAGTGCTGGTCGCCGCCATCTTGGGCCTGGTCTTCTGTTTTATCCTGCCGGAGCTTGTGCGAGAAAGGGGGTCTGGGGGGGTGAGGGAGGAGAGGGAGAGAGGAGAGGTGAAGGGGGGGAAAGGAGAGGTGAAGGGGGGAGGAGAGGTGAAGAGGGGGAGAGGAGAGGTGAAGAAGGGGGATAGGAGAGGTGGGGAGAGGAGAGGTGAAGAGGGGGAGGTGTGGTGAAGGGGGAGGAGAGGTGAAGAAGGGGAGAGGAGAGGTGAAGAGGGGGAGGAGGAAAGGTGAGGGGGGAGGAGAGGTGAAGAGGTGGGGAGGAGAGGTGAAGAGGAGGGGAGGAAAGGTGAAGAGGGGGGGAGGAGAGGTGAAGAGGTGGGGAGGAGAGGTGAAGAGGAGGGAGGAGAGGTGAAGAGAGGGAGGAGAGAAGAGGAGGGGAGGAGAGGTGAAGGGGGAGGAGGAGGAAGAGGGGAGAGTAAGTGAAGGAGGGGGAGTAATAAGAAGGGTGGTATGAAAAACGGGGGTAAGAAGAACAAGGGGGGGAGTGAGAACACAAGGAGGAGGGGAGAGAGTAAGGGTGAGGAGAAGGGGGGACTGAGAAGAACACAGGGAGGAGAGCGGATAAGAAGAACACAGGGAGGGGGGAGGTGAGGAGAACACAGGGAGTGGGGATGAGAAGAGCACAGGGAGTGTGGGGCAGAGGAGAGACCACTAAGGGGCAGGGGAGAGCTAGAAGGGACAGCTCTATAGGACAGGGGGCAAGACAGGGAGCTCTTTCACACTACGCGCACACACACAATGCATCCCTATACATACACAGAAACACACAATGCATCCCTACACACACAGAAACACAACATGCTTCCCTTACACACAGAGAAACACACAATGCATCCATTACACACACATACAATGCAACCCTTACACACAAAGACAATGCATCCTTTGCACACATACACAGAAACACACAACGCAAACCCTTACACACACACTGCTTTTCTTACATACACACAGAAACACAATGCATCTCTAACACACACCCAATGCACACACTTACAGACACACACCTTGCATCCCTTATGCATACAAACACAGATTCACGCAATGCATCCCTTACACACAACCAGAAACACACAATACATCCCTTATACACAAATACACACTGCTTCCACTACACACAAACACACTGCATCACCTGCACAAACTGGTATCCCTATACACTACATACCATAAGCACACATATTAGATCCTCTACAATAACACATGACACATCCCCTACACACTCCACTCCCTGTGAGCGAACTCATGGGTGGGTGGAACATATAAGTGGACTTATGAGTGGGCCTTGTGGGCATACTCACCGTCAGGTCCTGGGGCCCAGAACTTGAGCTGTGTCAGGGGCCCCCAAAAAATGGAGCTGCTTCCAATTCTCCCAGAACATTGAATTTTGTGACCACAGTTGCAAACAGCCTCCAGAGATCCTGTTCTACACCGGACCAGTGGAGCCAAACTGCAGCCCATCATCATCCTCATCTTGTTGTAAGTAGGCAATCTAGTATATTGTTAGTGACACTAATCTATAATTTACCTCACATTAAAGGGACACTATAGTCCCCAGAACGAGTGCAGCTTAATGAAGTGGTTCTGGTGTCTATAGCCAGTCCCTGCAGGCTTTTTAATGTAAACATACACTGTGGCAGCACTGGCGTTAGTTCGTATGGCAGCTCATATAGGTGGGGCATTGTGATGTCACATGGGGGGGCGGCAAATACAGCTGTTCCCCATGCAGCCACAGGTGCCGCTGTGTTGGGAGATTGTGATTACTCTTCACTTCCTCCCAGCCTACAGAGCAGCACATGGGAGAGAGAGAGAGGAGGAGGCATGATTTAATCTTACAACAAATCCAGTAAGCAAATCTTTATAAATTTGGGGGGATCAGCTCTGTTTCCACAGTTTATTGGTGTTTACTCTGATGTCTGTATTAATATTGAGGGATTTCTAAGTAGTAACATCAGTGTGTGTCAGCAGGGCCAGCCGTTGGGGTGTGCACGCGGAGGCGCCCCGCGGACAACACAGCTCACAAGTTGGGGACACCAGCCTATTCAATTTAAACGATTTGCTGGTGGTCCACTGGTGCGCACCAGCAGTAGGTGCAGTCAGATTATAGCCTCTCCCTCATGGTTCCGACGCTCAGTTAGTGAGTCAGAGCACAGGCTCAGAGATTCTTAGCCTGCGCTCTGACAACATTGAAAAAGTCAGAGCCGTGAAGGAGCGGGTATGGCAAAGAGCTACTGATTAGCATAACATCAATATCCGTTATAAAACCAGGAAAAGATGGGCACCATTGCACTGATTTGGTGGTGCAATGGGCCACTTGACTGGTTTTGCCCCCCAGGCCTAAGGCTGCAAGCCCTCCCCTGATACTGAATGTGGGATTTTGCACCTAGGCATTTATTATTCTCATATGATGGTTTTCTTTTGGAGGAGTGCCAAGTTTATTTGAGCTAATACACACACACGCTCTCTCTCTTTTGTAAATAAAAGGGTCGTTCTGAAGAGCTCAGTTAATTCAAACATGGTACTATGATAGTATGCCACTGTGACGGATCCCCTATACTCCAGCTGAGTATATCTGTTATAAATCTCACGAGTCCCAAGCGCAGTAGTGATTAGAGCCCAAGTTCCCCAAACATCAGCCTAGACTTGATGAAGGGTAAAACTAATCTGTTTAATCAGGGCTCAATGACCCACTTTTATACAGTACAGAGAAACAGTAAACACGCCCAGGACACTCCCATAAACACACCCACAAAATGTCCACAAATTGCAGTGTCACCATGACTACGCAATAATCACACAACACATGAAAATACATAAAAACATATTAAATACATAGGAACCCCCCACAAATATTACATCTCCAGATAGCCTGGATCTGAGCGCCCAAGCTGTCCAAATAGAGCTCAGATCAATTGAACACAGCCAAATTGCCACAGGGGTAAAGCTTTGACCGACCGCACACGAGGCTTCTGCCCAAAACAGTTCCAGGGATTCAGTGGTAGCGGCCGGTCACTTTCAGGAGTTCCATACGAAAGAAATACCAAACGCACTATCTGGCTTGTTGATACCAAATGGTGCTCTCCTGACCTGTGTGGGAAAGAAGCAGGCGTTCGTCGAAGTTGAGCGGTGTTCAGAAGTTTCAGTGTCCGATTTTAGTTCCATGAATTCGATGCCCAAACACTGCTGCCCGCGAACAAGATGGCCGCCAACACAGCTCCCAAGTGCTTGTGCATACGAACGTCGGCCACCCAGCATCACAATTAAAACACACGATGATTGAAGTGTTAGGAGAGGTTAATTGGGGTTAACAAGCACAGAGGTGGTCCACAGTTCGTGAGTTTGTTTGGTTCCCGAACAGTACAAATAAATCCCACAAACCAAGTCTTTTTACGAGCCTTTTCCATGGCCCATAGTTAGTGGCAGGAGGTTAGCCTCCACACTCCTCCAGGAGCCCGTGGTGAACGTCCAGGCAAAGAGGCATTCATCACAGCCACCTTTGCAATAAGTCAGTTTGTGAAATTTCATACCTGTTAGATAGTACATGGTCAACTGTAAATGGTATTATTGGAAAGTGGAGTTGTTTAGGAACAGCAGAAACTCATCCATGAAGTGTAAGACCACGTAAAGTCACAAAGCAGGTCAGCGAGTACTGAGCTGCATTGTGCCAACTGTAAAGATTGGTGGAGGAGGGATAATGGTATGGGGCTGTTTTTCAGGAGTTGGGCTAAGAAGGGATATCTTAATGCATCACCATAGAGACATTTAGGATAATGCTATGCTTTCAAGTTAGTGGGAACAATTTGGGGAAGGGCCTTTTCTATTCCAGCATGACTGTGCCCCAGTGCACAAAACAAGGTTCATAAAGATTGAATGAGTTTGGAAGAACTTGACTGGCACGCACAGAGCTCTGACCTCAACCCCATCGAATACCTTTGAGGTTAACTGGAACAGAGACTATAAGCCAGGCCTTGCCGTCCAACATCAGTGCCTGACCTCACAAATGCTCTACTGGATGAATGGGCAAGCATTCCCACAGAAACACTCCAAAATCTTGTGCAAAGCCTTCCCAGAAGAGTGGAAGCTGTTATAACTGCAAAGGGGGGACTAACTACATATTGATGTCTATGTATTTAGAATGCAATGTCATAAAAGTCCCTGTTAATGTAATTCACTATATTCACTAAACAGTTATTTCAAAGCTCACAGAATGTAATTGTTTTTCCTTTTAAAAAACAAAAACAAAAAAACAAACAATCCACCAAACCTAGGAAACAATAATGGGTCCAAGTAACCCCTGTGACCCCAAAAACTGCAAGAATGGGGTCAGACTTTGTCAAATGACCGAGGCATTAATATAAAATTTTAAAAATGTAATGTAAAAAGACTGTGACAAACATGTCTAAGTAAAATGAAACTGTTGGAGCCTGTTCAACAGAAGCTTTACGAAGTGTCTCTTTTCTCCAGTGATGCGGTCAATTATTTGTGCAGCTGTGAATGCACACATTGCAGATCAGCTTCTACCCTGTGAGCTAATAAGGTGATACAGATGTAAGTAGAGCACCACTCTCCTCTGATGCTAATAAATCTCCTGTCATTTATTACTCACAAACCAAGCCTGACATGTTGAAAAAAACCAAAAAAAAAAATAGTTTTTTTTTTTTTGGCTACTAACCATATTAGTACACATTGCAAAAGCTATGGTTTTACTTTTTTTTCTAATATTCTTTCATTTTGGAGTTTAGGAATGTAAACGCACTACGCTATAGAAACGTCATAGGCTCAGGCTTATGTACTAATTTTGTTTCAAATGGTGAAATGATTGAAATATGCAGTCATGGGGAAAAAGAAAGTACACCCTCTTTGAAATCTATGGTTTTACATATCAGGACATAATAGCAATAATCTGTTCCTTAGCAGGTCTTAAAATTAGGCGAATACCACCTCAGATGAACAACACATGACATATTACACCAAAATGGAGAAGCCATGTGTGAAAAACGAAGTACACCTTATGATTCAATAGCTTGTAGAATAGCCTTTAGCAGCAATAGCTTGAAGTAATAGTTTTCTGTATGACTATCAGTCTCGCACATCATTGTTGAGAAATTTTGGCCCACTCTTCTTAACAACGTTGCTTCAGTTCATTGAGGTATGCTGGCATTATTTATATACTGCTCTCTAAATGTCTGGACATTGACTGAGCCATTGCAACACATTAATTCTTTTTTTTTTCAGCCATTCTATTGTAGATTTGCTGTTGTGCTTGGGATCATTGTCCTGTTGCATGACTGAATTTCGGCACAGCTTTAGCGGTTTGATAGATGGCCTGACATTTGACTCTAGAATACTTTGGCGCACAGAGGAGTTTATGGTCAACTCAATGACTGCAAGATTCCCAGGTCCTTTGGTTGAAAAACAAATCCAAATTATCACCCCTCCACCACCGTGCTTGACACTTGGTATGAGGTGTTTGTGCTGACGTGCTGCATTTTCGCCAAATGTGGTGCTGTGCATTATGGCCAAACATCTTCAACTTGGGTCATGTCTGTCCAAAGGACATTGTTCAGATGCAACTTTACAAACCTATATCGTGCTGCCATGTTCTATTTAGAGAGAAGAGGCTTTCTCCTGGCAACCCTTCCAAGCAAACCATACTTGTTCAGTCTTTTTATAATTGTACTGTCATGAACATTAACATTTAACATGCTAACTGAGGCCAATAAAGTCTGAGATGTAATTTTTGTTTTTTGTTTTTTTTGCAGTTTCTCTGAGCATTGCACTGTCTGAGCTTGGGGTGAATTTGCTTGGACGTCCACTCCTGGGCAGATTGACAAGTGTCTTAAATGTTTTCCACTTTTGAATAATCTTTCTCACTGTAGAATGATGAACTTTAAATTGTTAGAAAATTGCCTTATAACACATCCTAGTTTGATGGGCAGCAACAATTGCTTCTCTAAGATCATTGCTGATGTCTTTAATCCTTGGCATTGTGTTAACACACACCCGAATGGTCCAGACCAGCAAACTGCCAAAACTTTGGCTTTTATAGATGTGGTTACACTTACTGATGATCAATTAATCAAGGGCACCTGTCTGCTACTTAGCCCCTTAATTCCTCTACAAGCTATTGAATCACAAGGTGTACTTATTTCACACATGGCTTCTCTATTTTGGTGTAATATATCAAATGTTGTTCATCTGAGGTTGTATTTGCCTAATTTTTAGACCTGCTAAGGAACAGACGATTGTTATGTCCTTGTATGCAAAACCATAGAATTCAAAGAGGATATACTTTCTCTTTCCTATGACTGTACATATGCTATTTCAGAATGAATCCCTGGTGGTCTGGTGGTGCAGCATATTGTTTGCACCTCCAGGTAATGCAGACTGTATTGCTCCGTCAAGCCCAGCATCAGTGAGAAACAGAGTGCAGGCTGGGAATTCGGGGTACTGCACTCTGACTAACTCATTAAGAGCAGGAACTGCAAGGACGTGATTATTATGGACTTGGCCTACCAGAGGTGCAGACCATGCACTCTACCACCAAGGAATAATTTTTATTTAAAGGACCACTAATGGCACCCAAACCACTTTATCTTAATAAAGTGGCCATCCTGCAGTGTAAAGCATTGCTGTTTAGTAGTAGTCTGCTCTCTGTAACCTCCTCCTTTGGCCTTACGCAATGGTCCAATTTAGCAACCCATACAGCGGGAAACACTCTTGATCTCGCCTTCACCAACCTCTGTACTGTCTCTAATCTCTCCAATATTCTTTTTTCTCTATCTGACCACCATCTGCTGACTTTTGATATACCTAAGACCCAGATGACACCACCGTCTGAACATCACTCTCACAGAAACCTCCAATGTTCTAGTTCTGCAACCTCCTTCTACAATTCCACCCTCTCCTCTCAACTAGACATCATGGCACCTTGTACATTTAAATGCCGCAGGCGCCCCCAACAACAACCCTGGCACACAAAGCTCACTTGATACCTCCAAAGATGCTCCAGAACTGCTGAACGCTGTTGGAGAAAGTCTCACTGTGCATCTGACTTTCTCCACTATAAATTTATGCTGAGCTCATACAGCTTGGCTCTTTCCTCTGCAAAAGTTAATTACTTCAATACCCTCATAACCATACTCTCCCGCGAACCCAAATGACTATTTCACACATTTAACTCTTCGCCCTGCTGTTCCTCCTCCACCTACTAACCTGACCCCCTCAAACTTTGCAACTCACTTCACTGTCAAGATCTCTACAATCAGAGAAGAGATCTCTCATCTTTCTTCTTCCCCTTACAATACTTCCCATAACTTCATTCCCTCTGCTGTTCTATGTTCATTCGCACCTGCTACATTGGAAGAGGTTTCTGCTCTGCTCCAGTCCTCCCACCCCACCATCTGCTCCCTAGATCCAATCCCCTCGCATTTCATCCGTACTATGTCTTCTTCTCTTTCTCCACCTCTCACTAAAATTCTCAATCTCTCTCTCCCCTTCAAACATGCAACTGTAACCCCAATTCTAAAGAAGCCCAACCTTGACCCTAACTCCCCATCCAATTATCGTCCTATCTCGCTACTGCCTTTTGCATCCAAGATCCTTGAAAGAATTGTGTATGCGAGATTGACAGACTTCCTTGAGTCCAACTCTCTGCTAGACCCGCTTCAGTCTGGTTTCAGCGCTAAGCACTCTGTGTAAACGGCACTGACCAAAGTATCCAATGATCTACTCGCTGCAAAATCTCGTGGTCACTACTCTATCCTAATTCTCCTTGACCTGTCTGCGGCTTTTGACACTGTTGATCATCAACAGCTTCTTCTCATCCTCCGCAATATCGGTCTACAAGATATTGCTATCTCCTGGTGCTCCTCCTACCTCTCCCAGCGCTCTTTCAGTGTTTCTTTCTCTGGCTCTGCTTCTTCTCCCCAACTCCTCTCTGTTGGTGTCCGCCAAGGTTCATTCCTTGGTCCCCTACTGTCTATACTGCCTCCCTTGGTAAACTCATTAGCTCCTTTGGCTTCCAATATCATTTCTATGCAGATGACACGCAAATCTACCTATCCTCTCCTGATCTCTCCCCGTCCCTCTTGACTAGTGTCTCTGACTGCCTCCCTGCTATTTCTAATTGGATGGCTGCCCACTTCCTTAAACTAAACTTGACCAAAACTCAAATTCAGTTTTTTCCTCCCTCAAGTGTTGTTACTCCTGTGTCTGTCTCCCTCCAAGTCAACGGTGCTACCATCAGCTCCACCACACAGGCTCACTGCCTGTGTTCTCTTTGATTCCGACCTCTCCTTCAAACCTCATGTTCAGTCTATCGCCAAATCCTGTAATTTCCATCTCAAAAACATTGCCCGCATCCGCCCCTACTTAACTCCAGATGAGACTAAGGTGTTGGTCCATTCCACTGTCCTTCCTTGCCTTGACTACTGTAATCCGCTTCTCAGTGGTCTTACGTGCTCCCAACTTGCGCCGTTACAGTCCATAATGAATGCGGCAGCGAGGCTCATCTTCCTGTCTGCCCGCAACTCGCATGCCTCACCCTTCTGTCAGTCCCTACATTGGCTTCCTATAAAATACAGAGCTCAATTTAAAATTTTGGTTCTTGCTTTCAAATCGCTACATAATGCTGCTCCCACCTATCTATCCTCCCTTATACACAAGTATGTCCCGTCTAGGCCCTTACGATCTGCTGAAGACTTACGTCTATCTTCTGTCCGTACTCCCACCTCTGATGCTCGCCTTCAAGATTTCTTGAGGGCTGCATCATTCCTGTGGAACTCACTTCCCTCCTCAGTTAGATGCTCACCCAGTCTCCACTCCTTCAAAAATCGTTAAAAACCCACTTCTTCATAAAAGCGTATCAATTACACTGTTAATAACTCCCGACTGATTCCTCTTCTGCAACTGTCACTAGTCTAATACTATCCTTACCTTTTTGTGTCATTTTACCCCACTCCCTCTAGAATGTAAGCTCATTGAGCAGGGCCCTCAACCCCTCTGTTCCTGTGTGTCCAACTTGTCTGGTTACAACTGCATGTCTGTTCGTCCACCCATTGTAAAGTGCTGCGGAATTTGATGGTGCTATATAAATAAAATAATAATAATAATAATAATAATAATAGATACAGCAGTGCTTACATTGCAGGTGTAAATATGCCTCTAGTGGCTGGCTACCTGACGGCCGCTAGAGGCATTGCTGCTGAGAGAACCAAGCCAATCTCAGTTCTCACAGCTAACATCCAATGGGAGTAATGCCGTGCATGCACCTTTAGACATGATGTTGTGTGAGGCAGGATGAGCAGCTGCAGGACTTCATCTCAGTGCTGGGGGGAGGGGAAAGGTATGCAATACACATTTCCCCTTATTTTTTAAAATAATTTAGATTTAAGGGAATTGGTCTAAATAAAGAATGGTATTCCTATAGTGTTAGGAATACAGGTTTGTTTTCATAACACCATAGTGGTCCTTCAATATATTGCCAATTCGCCCTAGGTTATATATTTCTATGCTTTATTGGGCCATTTAAAGAGATCTTCTGATCTTTCCAGCCAGCCCTTAGTCTGTGCCCATCACAACCACTGGGCATTTACTTGGTTGCCCCAATGCACAACCGAGGCCTGGCAAGTAGGGAGAAAAGGATTAATTGTTAAAGAGGGCATTAAAGCATACCTCCCAACATTTCAAATAGACAAAGAGGGACATTTTAAAAGTAGGGTTGTGAGAGGGGGTTTGATCAGGGGTGTGGCTGTTTTTAGAAATTTTAGGTGACTTAAAGTGGCACTGTCATGGCTGAATCCTGTTTTTTTTAACCCCTCCTCCTGACTCAACTACATCTAATTGTCCCCCTAGCCACCCCCAATTGCCCCTAAGCCCCCCATCTTACCTATTTTTGCATCCTTTTTTTGTGCCCGAACAGAGGTCATGGGCGCCGCCCCCTTTGTGTGGGTAGATGAAGCCCCTGTGGGACACGTCATCTGCCAACACTAGATAGGGCTGTGAAATGCCCGCGCATGCCCAGTTAAACACTTGGGCATGCAAACAGGAATTTCATCTATTCATTCGTCAGAAAGATGAAGGAATGAATAGAAATTTCAAACAAATGAACGAAGACCTCTTCGTTCGTTTGGTTTATTACAAGGAGGGAGCTACCGACGCATAGCTCCCTCCTTGTAATATGTAAAAATAGAAGCGTCAGGGAGCAGTGCTCCCCACCACTTCCTAAGCCCCCCATGTCCTCCCTCACTCTATGGGGGTCAATATGACCCCCATAATAGCATAAGGGAGATTAAAATCTCCCAAATGCTCCTACTTGCAGAAAAAAAAGACATCAAATGGTAAGTTATTTTTTAACTATTTTTAACTATTTTTAGGATGAGGGGGGCAGGTAGGTCTTTATTAAAAATTGTGTGGGGGGGTTACATTTAGTCTCCACCCGTCGCCCATGGGCGGGGGCCAGGGGAAGGAGGACAATAGGTCGTCTCCCCAATAGTCATTTAGGGCCCCCATGGGTGGAGGACTGGGGGGACAATAGGTCCCCGCCATTTTCATTTAGGGCTAATGGGGGCTGGTGGAGACAATACCCCAGCCCCCCCCCCATTTTCATTTAGGGCCCCTATCCTCCGCTCATGGGCAATGTTACCCGTACTTACCTTTCTCCAGTTGTCTCCTATTCTCTTCCTCTTTCCTAGTCTGTTATTCCTTCCTTTCATCTTTTCTATTGAAAAACATAAGACAAAGTGGGACTACTTTGTCCAAAAATGCCAAGCATAGGAAAAAAGTTTTCCTTTTCAGGGAGTTGATCCCCTCAAGATCACTTGTCTTGTTTTCTGATTGTCTGATGGTATGTATGTGTGAAATTAGAAAGGGGGGAAGGAAGGGTAGTTGAAGGCAGATCAAGGGCATCGTCGGAAGCTAGGGGGGTTTTATAGGTAAGAACAGGGGACCTGTATTAAAAAAATATTTGGGCCTAGCCCAATGACCACCCTAACGGACAACCAACTAATAGGGGGAGGACTACCGGCAAGCGCTTGGAACTTCCTGGGGGTAGAAGACTTCATCCCCCTCCACAAAACACTGACCGCCACCGGATTGATACCTCTAGAACAAATGATAGAGGGCACACCGACCCCCATGCGCAGATACCGATATACACAATTGACACATTTCTACCATACGCTACCGAATAGAGCCACAGTACATAGAACCCTCACGTGGTTCGAAGAGCTTTGCAACAAAAAAACGACTATCCAGAAACCAACCTCAACCCTATACCAACACCTGATAACGAACAACCAAAACACAGCACTGCCATACAAAAGAAAATGGGAACACCTCACAGACAGGATATTCACAGACACACAGTGGGACAAAATTCTAATCCTCCACCACAAATCCTCAATCAGCTCGTCATATCAAGAAATGAATTACAAATTACTAACGTTCTGGTACAGAACCCCGGACCTCCTACACAAAATATTCCCCAACACCCCAGCGACGTGCTGGAGATGCGAGACGGACATGGGCACAGTGAAACATCTGGTGGGAATGCATCAAAATCAAACCATACTGGAACCAGATTATAGCCCGCATCAAGGACGTCCTAGGGGACACGATGCAGCTGTCCATGGAAAATGTACTCCTCCACCACACACAAGACCGAAGACCACAACCCACAGAAAATGATGACAGAGCTTTATAACATACACCCGAACAACTAACACAACCATAACACTCGCAGAGAACACTACACAAAAACCATCACGGATCACCACCCCACAATACCTCATTGTAAGGAAATACAACTAACCCTAACACGTTACTACAAGCCCGGAAAGACCCACAAACCCCAACAGTTCACAATCAAGACACAAACCACACTACCCCGAACAAAAGGTATACACACCCCACCACCAGAAGACCCATAAGCCCAAAGGACACAAGACATAAATCTACAGATAAACCACCCCAAAACAACGAATGAGGCAAATGATAACCAACAGACTGAGGACATGATCACCGCATACCACACAGTAAGAGTAACAAACCCACACACTCATGTCGGACAACGAGATCCAACACCCGAAATACCTAATGATTCTAAGGTCATACATAAATCGAAACACGTAACAACAAAGAAATGAAAACCATACCTACCACATAACACACCCTGTAATAACAGAATGGATGTTCACAGACAAAAACGAATCACGCACACACAGGCACTATTAGGAACACTACACCACCTACCTAGACCGATACACACATCCAGAAGCCTAACTCGCACCACCAATAGAGATTAATGAAACAATACTCAGGTCATGGTTAACTCAATTGGGCCTGCAAGTACATCACAACTGATAGATAAGTGCTAAATGTGCTTACTGTTTTCACTGTTTATGGAGGCCTGCGAGCCTCGCTGTTTCAAATGTTCTACTGTTACATACCTATGGTGTTCTTAACATAACCACCAAAAAGTAATAAAAACCACATTTACTTAAAAAAATATTTGGGTTGGGAGGTAGGGATCGACCGATATATTTTTTTTAGAGCCGATACCGATAATCTGTGGACTTTCAGGCCGATAAATGTACAGAATATCGGTAAGCTATTTCTAAACAAATCTACTGTTAACTGAACATGTTTATTATGTATTTCTTTTTTTGCAAAAACATTTTTTATTAAGGTAAATGCACAAAATATACATGGCAGTCAGAATTTTTTATGTTTTCAATAATATATGTGTATGTAGTGGATGCAGTGAGAGTATTTGATTAGAGAATGCCATGTGTGTATTTGTGTAGTGTGGTTATAGTGAATGCAGTGTGTTTTTGTAGTGTGTATATCATGAATGCAGAGTGTGTGTGTTTGTGTAGTGAATGCAGTGTGATTGTGTAATGTGTATATAGTGAAGGCAGTGTGTGTTTGTGTAGTATGTATATAATGAATGCAGAGTGTGTGTGTGTAGAGTGTATAGTGAAAGCAGTGTTTGTGTAGTCAGTGTATATATAATGAATGCAGAGTGTGTGTGTAGTGTGTGTATAGTGAATACCAAGTGTGTGTGTGTGTAGTGTGTGTAGTGTGTGTATAGTGAATGTAGAGTGTGTGTAGTGTGTATCTATAATGAATACAGAGTGTGTGTGTTTGTGTAGTGCGTGTGTTTGTGTAGGTATGTTAAGTGTGTAAAATGGGGATGAGGGGGCATTTTTTTTTTTAAACTTAAAAAAAAAAAAAATTTAACATTTTTTAAATTATGCTTCTTACCTGGCCAGGGAGGGGGGTTATGGCATTCTCTAGTGGTCCGGTGGCATGGACTGTGCAGAGGGGGCCCAGCACACTTTTGCTCACCTTCCCAGTAGCTCCCCTGTCTAACTCTCGCAGCCTGTGTGCCGTGCGGAGCGTTGCCATGGTAACCCGTGGCAACACTCTGACGGCCGCAGGACTCGCGAGAGTTAGACAGGGGAGCTGAAGGGAAGGTAAGTAAGAGTGTGCTGGGTCTGCATTATCGGTATCTTTATTGGCCGATACCGATATTGCCGAAAATACAGAATATCAGCCAGACCAATAATCGGTTGATCCCTAGTGGGAGGAACCATAATAGGTTTGTATAGGACAATAAAAATAAATAGATTGACCACGATACAGCCACTTTCCTGATAATATTTTATATAACTAAAATGTAATTAAAAACAATAACAATGGGGGCGTGGCCGACCGTTTGCAGAGATGGCCGCATGTTAGAGCGGCTCCGGCATTGCAGTCAGTAAAACAGCCGGGACACGAGCGCCAACAACAATGGGGAACCCCAAACGGACGCAGAGCGCCCACACAAGCAGCGGGAAAGTACCCGCCGAGAAACCGGGCTCGGTTACGAAATTTTTCAAGGATCACGTCGGCCGCATGGCGGAGCGCGGAGAGACGAATATGGCGCCGGTGGCGGGAGACCGCCTCTCCAATCCCTCCAGCCCAGCTGCATCCGAGGCATCAGTAGCCTCAGCAGATCCAGACATTAAGGAACTGCTTAAGAATTTGCCATCTAAGGCAGCCCTCACTGTTATGCTGCAAAAACTAGAGTTTTCATTCCAGCACAAGATGGAGGGACTGGGCGCAGACATCAGGCAGGTAGGCCTCCGGGTCCAAGACTTAGAGGGAGATAGGGGACGAGTACAGACACAACTCACAGCCCTCTCAGACCGTATAGATGCCCACGACACCCAAATGTCACAGCTTCAGAGATCACTAGATGATATTGACAATAGGGGGCGCAGGAATAACCTCAGGATAAAGGGCCTACCCGAAACAGAGGCTGAAAACATTCAAGCATCCCTGCAAGAGTTATTCAATTTAATATTAGAAAAACCACCATCAGCACCGATCCACTTTGACAGAGCGCACCGCTCACTTAGACCCAAAAGTAACAACGGAGACACCCCAAGAGATATCATATGTCACCTACATTACTTCACAGATAAAGAGCGTATACTGAAGAAGCTCAGAGACACCGAGCCGCCATTGCTGTTCCACGGGCACGAGATCCAGATTTACCAAGATCTCTCATGGCTCACTCTCCAAGCAAGGCGACACCTAAAGCCGATCACAGACCAACTGCGGGCCAGAAACATCAAATATAGATGGGGCTTCCCCTTGGCCCTTATTGTTACACTTAAAGGGACCAACCACATCATAGCAGAACACAGGGATGTGTCACCATTCCTCAGGGCACTGAAACTCACAGAGGTGCGCATCATGGATTGGTACGCCATGGACCCAGCGCAGACCTACACGCGACCTCCGAGGGAACAGAGAAGACGCTCACCCCCCAAGAGGCAAAGAATGGGTTCCACCGATGACCACGGAAGGAGTGACCATCCACCAGCTCAGAGACCATGAAGAAGGCACGACAACAGCTAGGTCCCCCCCAGAGATGTCAAGAGGTTAACTCCGCACCCAACACAGAATGGACTTACCCAAACCGAGAACTACAGCTAGCTCCTCCCACCCAACATCAGGCCCCGACAGACCTGCTCCATAACCCCATTGCCTCAAGCCAAGGTAGCAGGACAGCGAGAAGTGATTCTTGGACTATAACACCGTGGACATACTGAAAAAGGAAAGAGACCGCCCATCACGATCCGCAATGAAGAGCAGGAAAAGACACCTCCTGCCAGGTCGTATGATTATGCACCTCCACACGCATGCCAAGACTTACTTCAGAGGGGGATAAAACAAACAACAAAACACTATTACTTATATACGGGGGAGGAAGGGGGAAGGAAAAAAAAAAAAAAAAAAAAACACACCACAACTCAGCCCTAATTGTGGACCATAATGACACCCCCGCTATGGGATCTAGCCTCCATTCTACCACTGCACCACACCCCATAAGGCAACACAGGAACATATGCTCATTCCCAGTTCCAAAAGATGAAGACAACCGCAAATGCCTGCTTGCCCACCGACACATGCAAGCCACACACCAACGACACAGCACATACACCACCGCAGCTGTACCTGCTGCGCCTTTACAGACACCACGCACACTGCCTTAGAGCCGGCGACACCTGCGGATCTGCCCGTAGCAGTACTAGACCTGGTACGGGAGAACCGCAACCCGCAACCTCACTGAGGCCCCAAGATATCAGACACACCAATACAAATACATATCTCACACTTCCTCTACATAGTTACATCCGGCACTACACGCTATTCGGACAAGGGAGCCCACGCCCCCAGCTGTCTCTGGCAGGGTGTAAGACCGGAGTCTTTATTTGTGTTTATGCTTGTTTTTGTTTATGTTTATGCTTTTGATCTGAGAGTTAACGGTGTACTTTCCTTCTGCAGTAGAGGTTACCTACGAAGCGCCTACGGTACGTGACTGCTGCTGCCCGCATCCCGGGCGAGGGGGATCCACCCACGGCTAGAGGGACACAGACCACACAACAAAGTAGGTGCTCACACGAACACACCACCACACCCCACACGAATGGCCCTTAAGGTCGCCTCACTCAACGTTAAGGGACTTAATACCCCGAACAAACGTAGGCTATTACTGAGAGACCTGAAATCACGCAAAATCGACATTGCCCTTATACAAGAAACCCACATTCCTAGGTCAGCGTCAATAACCCTGAAAGACAGACATTTCCCACAGACCCACGAGGCGAGAGCGCTCCACAAGCGAGCCGGGTGGCAATACTGGTACACAAAAACTGCCCACTCCACGTCACTGAGACACTTGCTGACCCGGAGGGCCGCTACATCGCCCTAACAGGTACAATACATAGCACGAAAATAAGAATCATTAACGTATACGCTCCTAACATACCAGACCCAACATATTGGGACACGCTCAAGACAATAATACAAGCCGGAGGGGGAGGGATAACGCTAGTGGGGGGGCGACTTTAATGCTGTTCCATGTCCAGCGGTTGACAGAAGCTCGAAAACAGGCTCACCCAGGTCCCATGGGAGAGGTGCACAGGACAAGCTGCTGCACACATTCCTCACCGACACACAACTCCTAGACACCTGGAGGCTCCAACACCCAGACACACGTGACTACACGTTCTATTCGGCACCCCACGGAACATACTCCAGAATTGACCACATTTTCCTCAACGGGGTAGGGATGTCCAAACTTATACATGCTGACATAGGCAGTATTACATGGTCGGACCACGCAGACATATCTGTCACGTTGGACAAACTCAAATACTCCGCCACCTGGACATGGCGCCTTAACACAAGTCTGTTAAATAGCGACACTATATGCGAAGACACGCGCACTCTCCTCACAGAATACTTCACCCACAACAACACGCCAGAAGTCAACCCAGTGGCGGTATGGGTGGCTCATAAAGCGGTCGTAAGAGGATACTTCATAAGAGCAGCAACACACAAAAAAAAGTGCAACACACGGGCACTGATAGAATCTCAGAATGCCCTGAGAAAAGCGGAACAACAGCACAAACACAATCCCACGGCAGACAAATTAACAGAACTCACCGGATTGAGACACTCGATCAGGAGTATCCTGCTCGAGGGGGTGGCGCACTCCATCCAGAGGTCTAGGCGACTGTTCTATGAAAAGTCCAACAAAATGGACTCCCTATTAGCCAGAGCTCTACGCCCACGCGGGGACCACAAACCCATCACGAAAATACGCACACTTACCCAAGGAATTGCGACAACTCCCCAAGAAATAAACAGGGTGTTCACAGAGTTTTACTCGAACCTATATGGGCAGACACCACTTGCACAAAACACGCCAGAACAAATACGTTCCTCACTTCGTAGCCGGCATTAAACTCCCTGCGCTGACACACACCGATATCACAGACCTACAAGAACCAATCACACAACCAGAAGTAGAAAAGGCAATAGCGATCTTAAAAGGGAACAAAGCCCCAGGCCCCGATGGATACGACATAGGGTATTACAAGAAATTCAAGGAAGAATTGGCCCCCCACCTTACCTCTTTATATAACCACTTCATGACAGGCGGTGCGCCTGATGCGGACATGGCATTGGCCAACATCACGCTTATCCCCAAACCCGGGAAAGATGCTGAATCGGCAGCAAATTATAGACCCATCTCCCTGATCAATTCGGACCTCAAAATCTACGCAAAAATCCTGGCGGCCAGGTTAGTGCCGATGCTCACACGCCTAATTCACCCCGATCAGGTGGGGTTCATACCCGGTAGGCAACTGTACGAAAACACACGCAGGGGGGCGGTGCTCACATGGTACATGCAGGTGTCAGAGCGGCCTTCACTGGCCTTGTCCCTGGACGCGGAGAAGGCCTTTGACAGGGTGCAATGGCCATACCTGTTTGGCCTGCTGGAGGAGTGGGGCTTCCCGGGGACATACATCCAGGCCACACGCGCCTTATATACCAACCTGAGGGCCCAAACCCTAATAGCAGGAGCCACTAAGACCCCCTTCCACCTTCACAATGGCACACGGCAGGGCTGTCCTCTCTCCCCACTATTGTTCGCTATCTCCCTAGAACCGCTCTTACAAGCCATACGCCAACATCCACACATACACGGAATACGGGTAGGGGGAAAAACCTTCAAAGTCTCTGCATATGCGGACGACGTAATGCTGACCCTCACGGACCCCTTGACCTCCATGGAACACCTGACAGAACTCTTAGACAACTACGGAACCCAGGCGGGTTACAGAGTGAACCTCACCAAATCCATGGCACTACCATTTCACCTCTCGACACAGGACAGAGTTACTATACAGGATAGATACCGTCTGCCCACCACAGCCGACAACATACCCTATTTAGGGATCAAACTCACGGCGCAGCACGAACACCTACACGACACAAACTACTCCCTATTGATCCGTTCACTCATAAGGGACCTGGAATAGTGGACAGACAAACCCATCTCATGGCTAGGTAGACTCCACTCAGTTAAAATGAACATTCTCCCCAGAATACTGTTCCTGTTCCAGGCCCTGCCCACACCGATCAAAAGGAGAGACCTAGCCACACTCCAAAAAGCAATAGACATGTTCATTTGGCAAAAGAAGCGGCCCAGAATAGCTAGAAAACTCCTATACCGGCCCAAAGAAAGAGGGGGACTGGGGCTACCGAACTTGTACATATACTACCTAGCGGCGCAGACAGCGCAAATCGCATACTGGCACTCCACCCCAGACACCCGACGGTGGGTAGAACTTGAGACATCACTAATGGGGCAAGATTTACCACAATTCTACCCCTGGTTACATAAGGCACACAGAGCACTCCCCAGAGTAACCTGTCCAGCAATAACAAATTCCCTGAGAATCTGGAACAAAATAGCAGTCAAGTACTCTTTAAGCAGGTTCCCCTCCCCAATGTCCCCTGTACTTCGGAACCGATCCTTCCAACCGGGAATGACAGCAGGTGACTTTAGTGGCCTCGAGAGGGCAGGTATACAGAGATACTGCCATCTATACAAAAACGATCAAATAGTCACTTACGATCAGCTCAGGGAACAATCCACCCTAACAACCAGGGACTTCTTCCGCTACCTCCAATTACGAGACTTCGCTAGCTCAAAAGAAGTCAAAGAGATAGCCACCCTCCCCCTCACCTGGTTCGAGAATATATGCTACCAAGAAACACACCCCAAAGGACTCATATCATTATTGTACTCTCATCTTAGCGGGGAGGCCAAAGAATGGGGGGAGTTACGTTACACTGATCAGTGGGAGACAGACCTGGGTGAGACGTTAGAGGGCTCCGATTGGCAAGATATATGGGAGGCCACAGCCAGATCATCAATATGTGTCACCCTTCAAGAACAATCATTTAATACACTTTTCAGGTGGTACACCACACCATTAAAACAATTCCGCATGCAGATCACTTCCACAGATCAATGCTGGCACGGTTGCGGGGAACGAGGCACCTACGTGCATATGTGGTGGAAGTGCCCCTTGGTACAAGCATACTGGGTTCAAATCATCAGCCTGAGCACAAACATACTGCAGAGACCGCTACAGCTAGACCCCTGGGCCTGCCTTCTCTCCAGACCAACAGTCGGCCTCCCACGTCCAGAGCAACAATTATTAAACATGATTTACTTAGCGGCACGTAGGGCTTTAGCACAGAAGTGGCGATGCCCAGAATTACCCCCGTTGGCCCTGGTCCTAGCAAAGATAAAAGACAATTACCTTATGGATAGATTAACCTCCCTAGTCAGACACACCACTAAAAAGTTCAACAGAACTTGGGAGTTGTGGGAACAATATCAGGAAAACACGGAGGGTTGACAAGAGACTCAAGCACCCACATGGGAAGGGGGGCGGAGGGGGCACACGACGACCCTCGTCCGGGCTGCGGGCACGGATACACTGACCTACCGTATCACTAGACGCCAGGTTTAGTTTCATATATGTTCTACCTATAGGAATATTTAGAAATGTTAAATGATTATTAGTTAACAACTGTCTAATACCATGCCATTCAAAGTGACATGTGTACTCAAGCCAAGACCCGATCGACGGCCACGTAGAGGTGGTGTGCTAAAACACAAAATAGCAAATCAACCACTGACGAGACTGGAAGCGCTAGTAAACATGCACATCAGTTGTAGATTATTGCTCTTCATCTTTATACTACTGAACTACTGGAAAACGGCTTCTGCGTAAGCCTATACAAGTATTAATGTATGTACCTCTATTGCGGCTTCTGCGTAAGCCTATACCCTGACATCATTCATACAGCGGCTTCTGCGAAAGCCTTGGCTATGTCACAAATGTGCACTTTATTATTGGCTATGAAAAAATAAAGAATAAAAAAAAAAAAAAAAACAATAACAATGTATCTTATTTACACAGACAGATGTCCAAATACATTTATTGTAGTATAAAGACACATTACCATGAGTATTATTGCTGTGGAGCTCTGTTACACACTCAGGCACATCAACAATATGAAGTTCCTAAAAAAATTTAAAAGAAAATGGACATTAGGAGAGAAAAGAGGGATGGAGGATTTTGGGCCCAAAATAGGAACGGTTCCTCTCAAATAAGGACAATTGGGATGCGTGTTAAATTGAGAATTATAGAAGAGAGATTGCCAAGGATAAGAGATAAGGTGGAGCAAAGTTATAGAAGGATTTGTGCATATAGGGTTAATATTACAAAATAAAATTGAAGCCACAGCAAACATGAAAAAAAGGAATCCTGACCCTGCAGCCCAATGGATACAGTCCAAAAATCTAAAGTTTCCCTCCTAGCAGGAATATTTGAATCGACATAAATCTCAAACACACACTAATATATATATATATATATATATATATATATATATATATATATAGAGAGAGAGAGAGAGAGAGAGAGAGAGAGAGAGAGAGAGAGAGAGAGAGAGAGAGCGAGAGCGAGAGAGCGAGAGAGAGAGAAATATAAAATTCACTCACACATTTGTAGGCACTGTTAGGCACTGTTATACACTACACACACGTGTGTGTGTGTATATATATCAGTAACAAACTATATAGAAATGAATAATTATAAGATATACAGTGTAAAATAGAGAATAAGAAAATGTAATAGGACCTGAGCTTGATCATTGACGTTATCTAAAAACACTGAGAAAAGAATTAGATAACTTCTTAAATAAATCAATAAGACAACTATGAGAAGAAATCCCAGAAAAACATGAGTCTTCTAAAATGAAAATAGTTGTGTAAATTAATACTACGAAACGGCAATAATTTATGAGTTAATACACTGTAGCAAAGGTATCTGCAAGCAAATCCAATGCCGATTTCTGGGGATAGCTCAGTAGTGTTCCCAAAAGCAGACAAAGTCGAGAGAACAAAGCAAGTACACAAGTACAGGGCCCTAAAATAAGGACTGTCCCGCCAAAATCGGGACAATTGGGAGGCCTGCATCACAAGAGTATAGTTACACTTCAAACAATCTCCCAAGCAATTTGGTTGATTTGCTAAACTCTAATTAAAAGCTCAGTTGGTAACACTGGGGGGAAAGGTATTCATAGAAAACATAAAATGATCCTATGAACAAATAAGAATACATTTTTAATATTGTATAAAATAATACCAACAGTCAATCTTGTTAAAATGTTTTACTATATTACACAAATAAATGAATAACTCTAAAGAGTCTCTGGGTTACTATCAATTCCTATGTGATGTCAAGGGGGAAGGGAGTTTTGATTAAAAACTTGCTTTGGGAATTGTTACCCTTCCCCCAGCTCCGTGAAAGGATCTATCATTGTTAGCTAACCTCACTATAGAAGAAATACAATCCTCTGTCAGCACATTCTCAAATTCAGGGGCCCCTATTCCAGATGGCATAACTATAGAATTATGGAATACTAGCCTCCATTTTCATTAAAAGCAGCATATAAAATTGTATGTGCACCACTGGCAATCTCAAATTTTAGGAAAAAAATATAAAAATAATGAGATGTAAAAATTCTTTCCAGCTTTGTATTTTGGACAAAAATTTTTTGAATTCCCTGTCTAATTCCAGGGTTAGTGAATAGCTATAAAGATTATTTTAACTTTGACTAATATACCGATCGGCTGCCAAAAGGCCACCAATAGCATTAAAGGAACACTCCAGTGTTATACATAAATGCATTTATAAGCTGGAATGTTGTATTTATTTGCAATTTAGATTTGTGGATCCTCCTTTTACCTGTGATTGTGAGAGTCTTCTTGCCACTGCAAAGGCACTTTTATAAAGTGACAAAGAGGGGACACTCGGTTAGCAGCTTGTCAGGAATACAGGGAGACTCAACATACAGTGTATACTAATGATATAAGTATAAATGTATACTGGACCTTAGAGTGGCAGGGCTTAACCTACAGAAGACAGAGGACAATCAGGGACAAGCTACAGTCAGGGTAACCAGAAACCAGGAATACAGAAGTACAATAGCCGAGTCAATGGGTATAGATAGGAGACTAGTCAGTAATAGCAAAGATTAAAACCAAAAATACAGTGAGAGGTATATAACGCACTATTGGGAACCAAAACAGAACTACAACAGGGCATGGCCCTGAGCCCTAGCAAACTATTAATAGTCTGGCTCTTTAACTGGATAGCCACAACTCAAAAATGTTTGAAATGCTTTGGCATGCACCGCATCACAAAATGGGACGGAGTCACAGTGACTGGCATTTGTACTTCTGGAGTGAGAATAAGGACCATGGGAAGATCCCCAACAGCCTGCAGACGTCCCCCAGGCTGTGTTTCAGCACATAAACAAGGTACAAAGACACAGCTAAAGCAACTCGGCAAGTTCAAGAGCTTTGGGTGTGTCGAGTGTTCTTCAAGAAAACAGAAAGCAATGTGTGTCCTTTACATGGTTTTAAAAAAATATACAAAACACTGCACATATGCACAAATCCATGCAAAGATGATCTATACTTATTGAGGGCCTTTAAAACTCCAGCTAAGAAGCCCTAAACTCAATCTATTCACACCACTCCCCAATACACTAATCAGCATAAGTGATGAGGCAGTTTTATCTCTGAAGTCCCAATTCTGATGAAAAAAATAAAGGACACTGTAAATTGCAGCTTGGGACTATTCCCACCCTTACATGAGCACATTAGATTTGTTTAATTGGCTACTGGGAATTAACAGGATGGTTGCACCAAAATGAAATGTAAAACTGATGACAAAGTTGCAAGACAAATAAAGTCCATATGTCCATATGATTTAACCTGCAGATTAGCTAGAAAGCTGGGTATCACAATATACAGACAGACCTGTAAAGTCACACAATGTCTTTGTGTGATGGAAGCTTTTTCCTGATATCAGGATTTTCATGATTACCTGCACTCTCTTAATTAAATTCAGGGCATTTAAACCCACACATGGGTTGCCCTGAATGGTTCCTTTGTCAGGCAGTCTGTATTCATGGAACACAAGAATGATACTTTCCCAAAACCTACAGGCAAGTAGGTTGTTTGTGTCACTAATTGCATCACAACTTGCCATCAACTTCTCCAGCCCTGTCCACCTCTACATCTCTTGTGCAATGGTTCATTCTAGCACTTCCTAGCAGCACAAAAAGTCCTCATTATGGGAAAGTTGTAGGAGTGGGGAGCTAGTAATAGGCTGAGATCAGATTATTGGCATACAAAACTTGGCAGATTGGATGGGTGCCAACTGTTGGTGAACAGTTTATCCTCTTAAGATGGTGTCCAGAACCTTCTGGTGCCATAACAACTTAATTGACTTGATGTTGTTGTAGTACACAGGGTTCTCTTTTAAAGCGAACCTTCGACTAATTTTTACCTGTAGCCTAAATCACCCTCATATGTTGAACACATCATATATCACAAAGACACATAAGGTATTCAGTGTGCAATTTTGGGATATACTCAACTTACGTCTGATCCAGAGCCATCATGTTTTCATAGGCGCTACCCTTTAATACCCACCTTTGGTAAACACCTTGCTCTTCCTGTTCTCTTATTTATTTTTTCCTGCTATGGGAGATCCTTCCTGCTCTCCCTTGTACGTCAATTTTTGGGCATATAATCTATATAATCACTATTTTGAACAGGTTTTCTCCCAATGCATACATTTGCTAGAAAAATATATAGGCAGAATTTTATGCTTTTTCAAATAAGCATAAGTAATCACGGCAGGGACCAATACCCCTTAAGGGGACTCTCCAGTGCCAGGAAAACATTAGTAGTGGCTTCCTCCTCTGCGTTGCGTCGGCCAGTGGGCGAGACTGATCCCGCCCACCGGCTGGAGAGACCAAATGTGCATGCTCATTATTGCTTCCCATAGGAAAGCATTGAAAATGCATTTCAGTGCTTTCCTATGGGGAAAATGAGCAACGCTGAAGGTCCTCACACAGCGTGAGGACGTCCAGCGATGCTCTAGCGCAGGTTTTCTGTGCTATGATCCAGGAAGTGCACGTCTAGTAGACAGCCACTAGAGGTGGAGTTAACTCTGCAATGTAATTATTGCAGTTTATAAAAAAAAAACTGCAATAATTACACTTGCAGGGTTAAGAGTACTGGGAGTTGGCACCCATACCACTCCAATGGGCAGAAGTGGTCTGGATGCCTGGAGTGTCCCTTTAACTCTGCAAGGTAATTACTGCAGTTTATAAAAACTGGGTTTTTATAAACTCCACCTCTAGTAGCTGTCTGTCAGCCAGTCACTAGAGGGACTTCCGGGCTGTTAATGGCCAGGTGACACTCCTTCTGCACCGCGCGCCCCCTCAGGCCGGCAGTTAGAGCGGACCGCGCGGCCCCTCAGGCCGATAGTGAATGCGGACCGCGAGCCCTCTCAGGCCGGCAGTCAGCCCAGACTGCGCACAGACGGTTGGTTCTGCCCGGACTTGCCTTTGCTACGCTACATGATTGACAGCGTCTTACTGCTTCTTGGCTCCGCCCTGCGGGTCACGTGCGTTAACGACAGCCCGCCCCCCGATTTCTGATTGGCCAGCGACTCCCACTTCCCCGCCCTCCGACGTCACGGGCTCTATCAGCTGTTTCCAAACTGAGTTGTAACAACAACAAAAGCTCCAGATCGAGAGGAAGAGACAGACAGCGAGCGGCGGCCGAGCCCTACCTGACACGGTTATACCGACCTCCATCTACCTCACACGCAACTACCGGGGCTACCTACCTACCGGCCAGCACGGTGAGCGGGTTACCGGTGCAGGGTCCCCCCCAGGGTCGGAGTTGTTTTCATCTCCCCCCCCTCTGGGTCGGTAGTGGCTGGGCTCCCTCTCCCCCCTCTGGGTCGGTAGTGGCTGGGCTCCCTCTCCCCCCTCTCGGTCGGTAGTGGCTGGGCTCCCTCTCCCCCCTCTGGGTCGGTAGTGGCTGGGCTGCCCCCCCCTCTCCCCTCTGGGTCGGTAGTGGTTTCCTCTCCCCCCCTCTGGGTCGGTAGTGGCTGGGCTCCCTCTCCCCCCTCTGGGTCGGTAGTGGCTGGGCTCTCCCCCCTCTCGGTCGGTAGTGGCTGGGCTCCCTCTCCCCCCACTCTGGGTCGGTGGTGTGGGCTGCCCCCCCTCTCCCTCTGGGTCGGTAGTGGTTTCCTCTCCCCCCCCTCTGGGTCGGTAGTGGCTGGGCTCCCTCTCCCCTCTCCCCTCTCGGTCGGTGGTGGCTGGGCCCCCCCTCTCCCTCTGGGTCTCCTCTGGTCGGTGGTGGCTGGGCTCCCCTCTGGGTCGGTAGTGGCTGGGCTCCCTCTGGGTCGGTAGTGGCTGGGCTCCCCTCTGGGTCGGTAGTGGCTGGGCTCCCTCCCTCCCCCTCTCCCCTCTGGGTCGGTAGTGGCTGGGCTCCCCCCCTCTCCCTCTGGGTCGGTGGTGGCTGGGCTCCCCCCTCTCTCCCTCTGGGTCGGTGGTGGCTGCTCCCCCCCCTCTCCCTCTGGGTCGGTAGTGGCTGGGCTTCCCCCCCTCCCCCTCTGGGTCGGTAGTGGCTGGGCTCCCTCTGGGTCGGTGGTGGCTCCCCCTCTGGGTCGGTGTGGCTGGATCCCCCCCTCTGGGTCGGTAGTGGCTGGGATCCCCCCTCTGGGTCGGTGGCTGGGATCCCCCCTCTGGGTCGGTGGTGGCTGGGATCCCTGGGGATCCCTCTCCTCTGGGTCGGTGGTGGCTGGGATCCCCCCCCTCCCTCTGGGTCGGTAGTGGCTGGGATCCCCCCCTCCTCCCCTCTGGGTCGGTGGTGGCTGGGATCCCCCCTCTCCTCTGGGTCGGTGGGTCCCCCCCCCTCTGGGTGGCTGGGATCCCCCCCTCTCCCTCTGGGTCGGTGGTGGCTGGGATCCCCCCCTCTCCCTCTGGGTCGGTGGTGGCTGGGATCCCCCCTCTCCCCTGGGTCGGTAGTGGCTGGGCTCCCTCCCTCTCCCCTCTGGGTCGGTGGTGGCTGGGCTCCCCCCTCTCTGGGTCGGTAGTGGCTGGGCTCCCCCTCTGGGTCGGTAGTGGCTGGGGATCCCCCCCTCTCCTCTGGGTCGGTGGCTGGGGTCCCCTCTCCCTCTGGGTCGGTGGCTGGGATCCCCCCTCTCCCTCTGGGTCGGTAGTGGCTGGGATCCCCCTCTCCCCTCTGGGTCGGTAATTATGGTGGCTGGGCTCCCCTCTGGGTCGGTGGTGGCTGGGCTCCCCGCAGCGCACATACAGTGGTTTGTCCCAGCCGTTCGTGTTCGGCTTTGATTGATTTTTTTTTTTTTTTACATTTATAACTGATTTCCTATCGCGAGGCCACTAACAGTGACTGCCCGTGACGGGCGGAGGGTAGAGCGACCCCCGGACAGCTGCCAGCGGTTGTTTGTTTCTTGGAGTGCGGACTCCTGGTCTCTTTGTGTGACACTGATGTTGGTGACGTCTTCAGCTGATTGCGTGATACGCACTAAACTCCGCCCCGAACTCGGGAGGTGGGTGGGGGTATGTGACGTCACGCAGTGTTTACAAACGTGTTGCCTTGGCCACGCCCCGCGCTGCCCTGTGTTGCTCCCTGGCCGGGGTCACGTGGTGTCAGCTATCCTCAGACTAACCTAGTACATAGAGCTCTCTAAAAACCCTGGGAGAACAGTGCTGCTCAGTTATTTATTTAGCATGTAAGATATTTTAGGTTTGACTTCAAAAAGTCCCCAACATAAAACTTATTTAATCAATTCTTATGTTGTTAGCCCATTAAAGGGACAGTTTAGGCACCATAACAACTTCATATAAATTAAGTTATGGTGCCATGAGGCTCACAGTTTAACCACTTGAGAAATGAGTGCAGCTGTTAACCCCAAACAGTTTAACCCCAAAGTGAGCCTCCAGTGTCATTCTTAAATATGTTTTGCTGTTCTAAAACTCCTATTTGTGTTCCGTGAAATCTCACGAGTATAACACTACCTGCGATATACAGGTTTTATGGTGTTTTCTAAAGTTCAAGGGCCAAGTATAGGGCTTTCTTCCTGGTATGTCAGGCCGGTACCTCAATATTTAATTAAAGGGACACTTCAGGCACCCAGACCACTTCTAAAAACACAAAGTGGGTCAGCGCTAAATAACAAGAGCAAGATAAGGCAGCAACCCTAAGAAGGGGATGCGTCTCAAACCTTCAAAATTACATACAGAGAAAAGGAAAAAGGGAAGGGTTGTGCCACAAAAAAAGTTCTTAAAATCTTGTCCCATTAATGTAAAATATTTCACGTATAAAATGTCTCTTATTAAAAATAAATAAATAAATGCAGCTGTGACTTCTGGGTTCTTTGTGCTTTGGGGATGTGGAAGATCGGGGTCTCCTCAATCTCCGTATGTGGAAAGAGAAAAGACAGAGCGACCTAATAGTGCAATATATGTCTGGGCTTGACGAACAACAAATAAGTAAAAATATTGCACTCACATGAAAAAGAGCTATGACTAGCTAAAGTATATATCGCATACAGTGGTATAATCCCCACTTATGGGATATGATGGTTGTAGTCTTTCACAGCAGATGGTTATCTAGGTGCTCAGAGAAGAAGAAATAGCTGCAAATAGTGCTCTCAGTAATATCATAAGTATATAAAATAAGCAGAATATTACTCATAAGTGTAGAGCAGACTCTCTGCTCTTTTACAATGTTTTTGAGAGTAGAATTAGTAAAAAGTCTTTGGGTAAGAATAGATAAAATGCCAGGAAAAATCTGTTTTTAGGTAGATTATTGAAATAAGGAGGTAGTGGGTTGTAGTAAAACCCAAATCCTTTATTTAATATTAAAAAAAACAAAAAAAAACTTAAAGTAATGTCCATAATGAGTTAATGTAATGTCCATAAGGCTTTCTCAAATGGATCAATATTTTTACCTCTTATGTGTTGTTCGCCAAGTACAGACATATTGCACTATTAGGTCACTTTTTTCTCTTTCCACATACAGAGACTGAGGAGACCCAGACCTTCCACATCCCCCAAGCACAAAGTACCCAGAAGCCACAGCTGCATTTTATTTTTAATAAGAGACATTTTATGTGATATTTTACATTACTGGGACAAGATTTTAAGTACTCTTCTTTTATATCTGTTTCCTTTACCCAGACCACTTCTTCCCATTGGAGTGGTCTGGGTGCCAACTCCCACCACCCTTAACCCTGCAAGTGTAATTATTTTTACAAACTGCAATAATTACCTTGCATGGTTAAGTCCTCCTCTAGTGGCTGTCCTATCATTTGCATGCCTGTGCATTAGGTCTCCCCCGCCAGCTGCTGGTGGTGGTGGAGGAGAGTAGGCAGAGCCTGGGTTTTCGGTAAGTCACTGAAGGGGTTTTAACCCCTTCAGCAACTTGGGGTGGGAGGGAGAGGGGCACTGCAGGGTCCTGCAGTGCCAGGAAAAAGGATATGTTTTCCTGGCACTGGAGAGTCCCTTTTAATGAAATCATATTTATGTAAAAATAATATATAAATATACATGGAGAATTAACCCCTTAAGGACACATGATGGAAATATTCCGTCACAATTCCCTTTTATTCCAGAAGTTGTTGTGTCCTTAAGGGGTTAAATTATGTGCAATAATAATTTAAAATAAATATTGAAATAAAAATGTAGGTAAACGGACACTATAGTCACCAAAATAACTATAGCTCATCGTAGCTGTTCTGGTGAGTATAGCATGTCTCTGCAAGCATTTTCATGCAAACACTTTCTTTTCAGACCGCCTTGGGACACCTCCAGTGGCCGCCACTCAGATGGCTACTAGAGGTGCTTTCTGGTGCAGCACTGCTGTTTAGCATCTGCATGCAGAGCATTAAGATGCTGAACTTTCCTCATAGAGATGAATTGATTCAATTCCGATGTCTGCGAAAGAGATGGATTGAGGTGGGTCCAGGGTGACGCTGGGGAAAAAAAAAGGGAAGTTATAACCCTTTCTGAGGGTTGCAAGCCCCTAAATGGTGTATTTAACACTTTAGGATCAGGAATACAGGTTTGTATTAACCTGTTTAAGCTACAGTGTCTTTCCATTAACCCTTAAATAGTGGTACGTTTTATTCCATTTTAGGAATTCTGTATTGTCCTTAAAACAAATACATTTAAAAATAAATACACTAGAGGCATACTGAATTCCGTGTTTGACAGCATTGCTGGGAAAGTTGCCAGGTGTACTGAGGCATTCTCCTAGTTACCAAAAATAGCCCTATAAACTAATGTATGGTTTATTTATTTTTAAACTAGATGGTAAGAAAATGTTGATGTAGGTGAGTGGTTTACCGTTAAAGTCAGAGCAGAGTTAAAGTAACACTAGTGTCCACCTACCCTGTGCACCCCTTCTCACAGAAATTGAATGGGGAATTAATAATAATATATTTATATGGCGCCAACAAATTCCGCAGCGCTTTACAGTGGGTGGACAAACAAACATGTAGTCGTAACCAGACAAGTTGGACACAGGAACAGAGGGGTTGAGGGCCCTGCTCAATGAGCTTACATGCTAGAGGGAGTGGGGTATAGTGACACAAAAGGTAAGGATAGTATTAGACTAATGACAGTTGCAAGAGAGCAATCTTCCCTTCTTTTCCACTTACTTTATTCAAGGTCTGAGACCCCTAGGCTGCTGGCTCTATGTTGGTCTCCTTTGTCATTGCGAGTTGCAACGTAATGCGCATATTAGACCTTCCCAAGAGGAAAGCTTTGATTTGACATTTTCGGAGTACCATACCCTATTCACAAAGTAATAATATTAATCCCAGTCTAATTCCTTACCCTAAATCTAAAGGTAAACCTCACCCTAATCCTAACCCACACCATAATTCAGTACCTAACCTTATAAACTATAACTTTAATTCTTAATGTATAAATAGTGATGGGATTCTCTCAGTGGATTTCAGCAGATATTATTTTCCTGTCCCTAATCTGAAACCTAATCCTAAAATCTTAAACCCATTTTAAATATAAACCTAATCTTAACCCATAACTGTAATACCAATCCTAAATTTCCCTATGCTTATATCAGTACTAAAACAAAGTGGTAAGTTGCAGGCATATACTGGCTATTTTCAGTATGGCAGCTTCCCCTCCCCCACCCTCTCCACACCATGAGCACATTAGTCCCTCCCCACAGGAAAGCATTGAGTCAGTGTTTTGCTTTGTGGATTAAACGGACGCTGGATGTCCTTGTGCAGTAGGACGTTAGAGGCTGTCGTAGTCCTGCAATGTGAACAGATAATAGGGACACTGTACCCAGGCCACTTCAATGAGCTGAAGTGGTATGGGTGCCTAGTGTCCTTTTCATCTGAGGGTTTTTTTTTTTTTAAATGGACACTATAGACACCCAGACACTAGCTCATTGAAGTGATCCGGGTACCATTGCAGGAATAAGATGGCTTCTAGTGGCTGACCAGACAGCCACTAGAGACGCTTCCTGCTTGATATAGCTAAATATTTAAAACAGAATGTTATTGCTGAGGTAACAAACAAATGTGGCAAGAAGTAACAGGAACACATACTTTAACTTAATTTTGTGTATTAAAACCTGTTTTTGTTTTTTATTTTTGTTACAGATTTAAGTTTCTTTTACGTAATTATTTTTGAAGTTTTCTCCTTCTCTGCCTGAGCTGAGAGTTTATTTATGCACTTTACCACTGCCTGTGCCATCTGGCTGAACTTGAGCCATTTTGAGGACTAAAGTTCTACTAGCAAAACCCCTTGAAACTTCTTGGAAATGTTCCAAATGTTCACCTATGTTTTTGGAGCCGCCAGCAATGTATCAAGCCAAGAGCCTGAATTTAGTGAAAAAAACGATGATGAATGGATCCTTGTGGATATTATTGGTAAGCACATTTTAATTACTCACAACTTTGATCTTCCCTTGCCGCATATGGTAGTTGTATTTCGAACATACTCCTATTATCCTACAGAAATTTCTGTTGGAAGCCACGATGTACATATCTAAATTATCATTTAATCATTATCATTTTTTTTTTTTTTTGTTATTCATAAAACCCTACTGTTTTGTGAGTCTTCAAATACTCTTAGAGTTACTACAACGATTACGACCACTTCAGTGATTTGAAGTGGTAATAGTGTATCTACAGTGTTTCAGCTTGAAACACTGCATTTAGTGGGGGTTTTTTTTAATTGTGCAGCAGGGGCTAGTTGAGCCCCCAGCACACTTGATTAAGGCAGCCCAGAACTTTGTTCCAGGCCGCTTGCACCTCATCCTGGCAGCAGACTTCTATCTATACCTTGCAGGCAGAGCACCTGCAAAGGGAAGCACACTCTCTCCTCCCTCCATTTTAAACTGTGATAAATCCTTCCTCCTTACCACTCCCTAACTGGCAAATTGGTCCAGTCAGAGGCTTTTCAATGAGCAGCCCATTATTGTACCGCACATGGTCACTGTGATGTAAAAGGGGGCATGCAAACTGGTGCCGGGAGCACTAGATTCCAGGTAAGAAAAATATTTCTTTACAGGTTATACAGCAAACTGGGGGGCAAGGGGGTAAGGGGTGGGAAGGTAACGCATAGTGTCCAATAGGGCACATTACACAGAATAGGTCCCTCTCCAAAAGGGTTGCATAACACTTTAACATCAAGTTATAGTGAATTGAAAACAATTGCAAAATATAGTCAGTAAGTGGGGGGTGGGGGGAAGAAAAACTCTTAAACTTAGCTAAAGTTGCAGCTTGGTTATGTAGCCTAAATGTAACCTTATTGAATGTGTTCTCAAGCACTCACATGGAAGTGGTGGGTGGAACAGTTCTGTATGTGAGTAAAAGTGGTAAAAACAAAGTTCAGTCTCCACAATACAGAGGGACTGTGTATCGTCAAAAGAGAACAAATAGACTCTGCTTATATTCACTAGCCCTACCCAAATAGTATGCACTTGGAGTCTGTAACAAACAGCACAATTTCAGCCTTACTGTCAATAGGGTTTATCTTGGATTAAAGACCTCTTCATAGAACATTTACACCAAATATGCCAATACTTTGTATTTACACTCCCTACCTTTCTCTTCTCCAGTGGATTCCTGTACTACGCAGTCTGATGCCACAACTGTTGAAGAACCTGCGCCTTTTGATGAAACCCCTTCACTGTTTACAGTAGGTGCCTTTGAACCATTTGAAAACACCAGTGACTCTGTCTTTGTACATTTCAATCCATCCTCCATGGAGGAGAGCTGGTTTGTGACGCCACCCCCATGTTTTACTGCAAGAGAATTGACCACTACTGAGGTGGAGACCAGCCCCATGGAAAATCTTTTAATAGAGCATCCAAGCATGTCGGTGTATGCTGTGCGGAACCTGTGCCATAAAGAGGTTGCAGCCTGTGAGTCAAAGTCTCTCAGCTCCTCTAATGTTGAGTAAGTTAATATGCTTCTGTTTAATTTATGTTTGCAACTAGTTGAATTGGATGTAATGACTGTGTGTATAATTCAAACATTGGTTTTTATATAAGCTTCTTGGGTCTCCTACAGAGTATATGATGTTATACTGTCTGTTTCAAATTTCTAGTTCACAATTAAGCTCTATTGAAATATCATAAGTGAGATATATATATTATTTAGTGTGAGACACATTACATTTTAAACTCTCTCAGTTCTTGTCAGTGGTCTATGCTTACGTACAGAGAAGGGGTTGTAGTAAACCTGTGCTACAGGTGGTTCTTCTACTCTCTTCTACTTCTACTCTCTAGCACAGCACCCACAGTAGTTTCTGTTGAGCACATATCCTGCCAAGTGTTTTTACTCTGTTATAGGAACATTGTAGTCACCAAAACATCTTTAGCTTAATAAAGCAGTTATTGTGTATAGATCCTACATCTGAAGTCTCACTGCTCAATTTTTTTTTGCCATTTAGGCGTTAAATCACTTTTGCTTCTGCTTATGCAGCCCTAGCCACACCTCCTCTCACTGTGACTCACACAGCCTGCATGAAAACAATATGGTTTCATTTTCAATCAAATTTGCTCTGTAAATTGAACTTTATTTACATACAGGATCTAGCAAGCTATTAACAGAGCAGGAGATGAAGTGTAAACATTAGATGATCATTTACAGGAAGTAATTAGGAAGGCTGTGCAAGTCACATGTAGGGAGGTATGCCTAGGGCTGCATAAAGTGATTTATTTTTTTTTATTTTTTATTTTATTTATTTTAACTCTTAAATCATGCTTGAGTACCCTGGTAAGGGGCTCAGTACAGCACAGAGGCTCACATGAGAACATATGTAGTGTTTTGTGGTCAGGTTGGGCTGATATTTACTTAACCTGTTAGTATTTTAAAGGTTGTGACGTATTTTGTGTATAACGAACTATATTGTTACAATGGCACCGGTCAAGGGACGAAATATATTGGGCAGCGAGTGAACAGTCCGTTCTTGAATTTCATGTGTTGGAAGCAAGAAAAATTGACAATTTGAAAAGATCTGAGCGGCTTTGACAAGGGCCAAATAGTGATGGCTATACTACTGAGTCAGAGCATCTTCAAAACCGCAAGTCTTGTTGGGTGTTCGTGCAGTGGTTAGTAACTACCACAAATCGGTGCAAGGAAAGACCAATGGTGAACCAGGGTCATGGGTGCTTAAAGATCATTTATGCACATGGGGGGTGAAAGCTATCCTGTTTAGTATGATCACCCTAGCCAAAATGTAAATGCTGGCCACGGTTGGTGTCAGAACACCGTGCATTGCAGTTTGATGTGTATGTAGCCACAGACCAGTCAGAATGCCCAAGATAATCCCTTTTACATTGCTGAACGTGCCTTCATTTGTGACATGAGGATCCGAACTGGACCATGGAGCAGTAGAAGAAGAGTGCCTGGTCTGATGAATCATGTTTTCTATTAGATCAGGTGGATGGCCAAGTGTCTTTTACCTGTGAAAGATGGCATCAGTATGCACTATGCAAAGAAGGCAGGCCGGCAGAGGCAATGTTCTGCTGGTATTGAGCATCTGTGGGATGTGCTGGAACAGCAAATCCAATCAATCGAGGCACCACCTTGCAACTTGCAGGACTTAAAGGATCTGTCGCTAATGTCTTGGGGCCAGATGCCACAGGACACATTTATGAGTTCTTGGAGTTATGCCTTAGATGTATCAGAGCTGTTTTGGAAACAGAAGGGTGACATAAGGCTGGTGGTGTTAATGTTGTGGCTGATCAGTGCATCTTTCCTAACCAGACCACATTGCCCAGAACTTTTAAAGTAGGCACTTGATCAGATGGGAGCCTGCACTGCTGCCTCACAGGCAGCAGCAGTAAAAGATGAGATCCCCTTTTTGTCTTGCATTACATTTAGTGTGGTCTTAAAAGCGCATTAATTGTTCTCTACCAAATAAGGGCTCTGATGTGGGGCCGTGTATGGAGGGGGCAGGGATATGGCATTTCTATATATTGTCACCCTCTGCCTTTCTCCCTGCACTTCTGTCCTAGTATGCTTGCTGTAAAAAGGGAGGAGCACTGCAAATGGACTAAGCTTCTAGCCACACGCTCTGGATATTTAGGAGCTCTGGATAATTTTGGCTGATTACTGTGGTGGAAAGATGGGGTTCTGTGTGTGTCAGTTTTTCCTTTTTTGACAATGTGCATACTTGTTTGACAGTGAGGGTCTCCTCTGACTGTGCCAATCTATGGCTGTATACTCACTCAAACTTTAAAATCACTTTGAATTCCTGACCATTCTCACTTAAAGCCAAAATAGCTGAACCAGAAATTTTGATCCGCTTTACTTCTAGTTCAGCTACTTTCACACTGAATTCAACTCCCTTTACATGTCTGACATATCGAATATCCCAGATAATTTGTCTCTATGATTTAGAGAATGTTTACTTGGGTCCTAATTTCTAGGGAAAGTTTGTGAAACCCTGTGATGTGGTGACTTGTATTTGTAACAAAACTTGTCTTTGTTTTAGGTTGACTAAAGAAAACGAAAAAAAAGGTCGTCAACACGCACACTGCTATGTTGCAGCTCTGGCTGCACGTATGAACTATCTGGAAAAGACCAAAAAGTTTAACTGTTCAAAATTATCTCGACAACAATCTGAGAAGTATTTTCTCAACCGAAAAAGCCTTCGACATCAAAACCTCATTCAAGGATCCCACTGCCGTCAAATCAAGCACAGTGGACTTGTTCACCAGCCTTGCAAGCGTCGGTACAATTATTGAGGGAATAGTCTTCGCATGTACAACTCCAGAGGGGTATGCAAATGGTTGGGTCATGGGCTGCTCTGGTTTCAGAACATTGAGCTAAAAGGGATTAAATGTTTTTGTTTTGTTCTTTAATATAAAAAGTTGCAGGACTCTAGCTTGTATAGCACTATAGAGAAGTCCTATCTGTATAAAACTATGTTGAAAACGACACCTCACATTTCTCTTAAGTGTGGTTATACATATATGTGATACTCGAGGGAAACTTCATTCAGTGTTTGTTCTAAAGCTACAAGAGGGGGGAAAAAAGCACCAGGTTGGGAATGAGTGGGGGGAAGGGGAAGGAATATGGGGTGGACTTGAAACATTGTAACAGTTTAGTGATGTGCTGTCCAATTTTGTGCTAAGGATAAAGGGCTGGACCCTGTTAAAGTGACTCTGTCATTAGAACATTTCTTTGCACTTCCATATAGCACTTTAAAAACTAACTTTCTAGAGTGTGGATGAATATGTAGATTGTTAAGCTGTTACATTTCATTATTTATTAAAGCATTTCTAATTTGTACTTCCTGTGGGCATTCAAATAACAGGCAGTTGAAACACTGCACATCTATGCACACTGGAATGCTTTGAGTGAACCTGTTCAGAACTTGGAATCCGAATTTGAGGTCTTGTGCTTATGTGTGTGGTTTTTTTTTTTTATTTTTTTTTATTTTTTTTTATTTTTTTTTATTTTTTTGTTTGTTTTTACCTCATTCACTGCCTGCTATTGGGATATATTAAATGGCAACCACGACACTGGTGGTGTAAATGGTCTTCTAGTCAAATGCGGTAACTTCAAGTTACATTTGCAAGAGCTTGATTACATGGAATATGTTGTGACATTTAAAGAAACATTCTTTTGACAGAGTCTCTTTATCCTAATAAGTGTTCATCCAGAGGGTATCTTGAGCAGTCCATAAAATATATAATTTCTTAACTCAGGACCAAAAAGTTTTATATTACTTTTTGTCTGGATCAGTTAGAATTTGCTATGCCAACTGAAGTCAGGTTTCTAGTCCAGCCCTATAGTTGATCCAACATTTTAGTAAAGCCTGTAGTTCCAGGTTAACATCACTGGGAAATGTCCATTCGCGGCTCTGTAGAGAATGGCATCTTTGGATGTTTTGAGTTGTAGTGCAACATGGTCAACTGAGGAAGTGAAACTAGTGGTTCAATAACCTTCTGGAGGCATGCTACCTCTGATATATGCTTGAGTTGAAATGTTGGATCACAAAATGGATGCAAATTATGACTTTTTAATTTTAAATCAGATGGTCAGATGTTTCATGCTTTTTATAAGCCTTCCACATTGGAATTTTTATTTTCAAAGTCTATAAATGCAGATATTGTACTCTAAATTTTTAACACCGCTTTTTTGTCAGATTTTAAAAGTGAATTCAAAGAACAGCCCCAAACTGCGGATTTTTGTTTAACTCATTATTTGTCGCAGGTTACATAATGCATTGCAAAGGGGTGTGTTTTATCCTTTTTGAAAGGACAAACCGGTGTGCTTTAGCTCAGGTGTTTCTATCACAGGGATAAACTTTGGTGTTACTTCTGTTAATAGGGGCATTCTTAGTATTGCAGTGTGACCTGCAACCAGTGCATTAAACAAAATTAAATTCACTGGAAACCATGGGTGGTTTATTCTGTAAATTGAAAAGAAAATTACATAATTTAGACTAGACTAGCCGAATTTAAATTAATACTATAGTCACCTAAATTACTTTAGCTAAATAAAGCAGTTTTAGTGTATAGATCATTCCCCTGCGATTTCACTGCTCAATTCACTGTCATTTAGGAGTTAAATCACTTTGTTTCTGTTTATGCAGCCCTAGCCATACCTCCCCTGGCTATGATTGAAAGTTAAACCAGTTTTTTATGCAGGCTCTGTCGAACAGATACAATTATTTAAGATAAATTGCATCTCAATCTCTAAAGTGAACTTTAATCACATACAGGAGGCTCTTGCAGGGTCTAGCAAGCTATTAACATAGCAGGGGATAAGAAAATCTGAATTAAACAGAACTTGCAATAAAAGCCTAAATAGGGCTCTCTTTACAGGAAGTGTTTATGGAAGGCTGTGCAAGTCACATGCAGGGAGGTGTGACTAGGGTTCATAAACAAAGGGATTTAACTCCTAAATGGCAGAGGATTGAGCAGTGAGACTGCAGGGGCATGATCTATACACCAAAACTGCTTAATGAAGCTAAAGTTGTTCAGGTGACTATAGTGTCCCTTTTAAAGCATTTTAAAACTATGGCCACGGCGTAGTTAGACTTGATGGGAACTAAAAATTGTAGTCAAAATGACTTGATCGCAAAAATGTCTGTTACTTGGGCCAAAACATCAGTTCAAAAACGGCTAATGGTTAGTATGTCTGTCAGTCCTTTACAACTGTGGATTGCATTTGTATTTTTTTTTTTCATATATGTAAAAAAAAAAAAAAAATTCCAATTAAATAATTCACTTTTTTTTGTTTATTTGTTTAGTGAATAAATCTCATGTCAGCAGCATTTTGTAATTTGATCAGGAATATGTGCACTTGCCTCCAACAGTAAATTCAGAGGGGCTTTATCGTTTGCACTAGTCCAGACATTAAATTCTGTTTCTGAGCTGACTTGCTTAGTAACTATGTATTCTACCTAGTAAAACATTCAGGAACTATTTTTAAAGCCAAGCTATATAGATAGATTTTAGAATGTCTTGATTTCAGTGTGTATGATGTGGACTGTGTGATGGGCATATAATAAATAAATAAATAAATATATATAATTTCACTTATAACCCTATAGTTTAAGATTTAAATATGTCTTGGGTTTTGTATTTTTAAATTTTTTTTATTATAAGAAACGGTTTAATTGTAACATATCACCTGTGCTAAAATCTGCCAGCAGTTGACAGATCAAGGAGGTCCAAGCTGTTGTGAGCAATTGTAGTGCAGCAGGTGGAATGCATTAGCTTGACCGCTTGTTTTTATAGAAAAATGTTTTAATACACTCTTAATTTTTTATTTTTTTTTTGTATGTATATTGTCTCCCCCTCATCCTCCTTTGTATTATCCATTTTTGTATTTTTTTTTTTTTTTGTGTTCTTATATGCCATATTGTTTATCTGTTTTGGGGTGGCGTGTTTGTGTGTGTGTGTGTTTCCCCTCCAATGTAGTGTACCCTAAACATTTAAAGCCGCTCTCACTTTTGGTGCCTTTGCGGTGGTTATATTTTAATAAAGATGAGGAGTCCACTTATAAGGTGATGCCCCGTGACAGAAAGGGAAAAATATAATTACTTGAACATCTTGTTTCTCAGACCCATAATCTTAATCCAGGTCTAAAGTTTGTGGTTGCTTAAAGTGCAAGAATATGGGAATCTACATAGGTAATCTTTTTTTGCCTGTGCAATGAGATTTTGTTGTGCAGCAAGCTGCATGTTCCAAGAACAGAAGTAGGAAGTCCTTCTGTCTTGTGTAGATTTTCTTCCTGTAATTGTCTGAGTTTGAGCTTTAAAGTGGATCTGTCACTTTTGGGTGTTTATAGTGCAGTCAAAGATGGGTTTACTTACCTGAATCTGTCCTACATGGCAGAACCATCTTCAATCTGAAGACTCTATTCAGGTCCTGGTGCTTCATCTGACAGAAGCTGCATTAATGGTGTCCTTTTGCACCTATGCAATGTTTAGGGAGGATGCTGCAAGTCTGTGGGAGCTTCTATAGATCACCTCTTACTGTGAGCAAGACAATTCTTGACTCCCAGCAGTCACTTGTTAGGGCTGCTGGGATTGGACTAAAAGTTCATGGGGAGCACTAAAATCTTTTCATTTATTTTTTTAAACTTCAGGCTTGTCCATAAAACAAAGTAGTTTCTACTTTTGGATTGGATTCTATGAAAGTCCAATGCAGTCAGCATTCGTATTTCTTAGACTTATTATGAAAAACAGAGATGACCAGAGCCACTTTAAGAACTTATTTTTTATTTTATTTTTTTTATTTTTTTTTTATTCCAGTATGTATATTAGATATTCTACAACTGTGTTTTTTTTTTTTTTTGTTTTTTTTTAATAAATAAAAAGCTGCCTTGTTTTTGTGGATTTTTTTTTTTCTTTCCAAGTAATCTAGTCCTATGATCTTTTGGTTTAAAAAATAAAAATAGATCTATAGCTATCTATATCTTAAAGTGACTTACCCAGACTTTTGGTGGGGAGGAAATCCTATACGGGGCTAGTAGTTCAACCTTTGCTAGCAAATGAGGAAAACCTTTTAGTGACGATCTAAGGAATTGGAAGGTAATAAAACTGTTCATTTAACATAAAGCCCATCAAAGCTTTGGTTTATTTTAAATGTAACACTATAGGATCAGGAACACAAACATGTATTCCTGACCCTATAGTGTTAACACCACCATCTAGCCCCCTTTGGCCCCTCATGCCTCCATAAATATAGCAAAATCTTACTGTATTCAAGCTGTGAAGCTGTAACTCTGCATGCTGTTTGCTCAAAAACAAGCAGTCTGCTGACATAATCAGAAGTGGTAGCCTGATCCAATCACAGTGCTTCCCCAAAGGATTGGCTGAGACTGGATATGGAGCCAGCATGATTCAAACACAGCCCTGGCCAATCAGCATCTCCCTTTTAGAGCTGAATTGAATCAATGAATTTCTATGATGAAAGTTCAGTGTCTGCATGCAGAGGGAGGCTTATACTGAATGTTTGATGCATTTTAGGCAGCCATGACCCAGGAAGGATCTCTAACAGCTATCTGAGGAGTGGCCAGTGACGCTTATCACTAGGTTAATGTAAACACTGCATTTCTCTGAAAAGACAGTGTTTACAGCAAAAAAGCCTGAAGGTAATGATTCTACCTATCAGAACTAATTCAATAAGCTGTAGTTGTTCTGGTGCCTATAGTGTCCCTTTAAAGTATACTCTACATTTCTTAAAACTCCGATACATGCAATTACCTAAATGCCAGCTCTGTGCAATCACTTTAAGAATGATTAAAAGATATGTAAGTATAATTCCCAAACTGTCTATTTATATTTTTTTACTTTCTTCCTCTATAAATTACTCATGCTATAGTAATGGTTACTGTGGATATATATTTTTTTCCACTTGTATTTCTACCATGAGGAATTATGGAACTTGACATTTTAATACTTAATTTTTCAGTCTCCATGTTCTTTAAGATATAGAAATGCACCCATTTCAATATATAGTGACAGATCACTTTATTTAAAGTATTAACAGTCAAGTGTATGACACACTGCTGCTTCCATCAGGGCATTTTTATTGTGCTGGCATATTTTGTGGTTATTGTGCGTGATTAACTTGGATAGTCTAACGGTTATGGCTTATTGGTTTAATGTGTATGCCGTAGTAATTCTTCAGTTTAGTGGCTGCATCCATGTTGTGTGTGTGTTTTTTTTTTTTTTTTTTTTGGTATTCTTTGAACCAGCATTATAATTGTTGCTGTGACTGCGAGTATACTGATTTGCATGACTAAAAATGGTGTTTTAAACTAATCAACATGTGCATACTAAAAGGCATTACCTTTAGGCCCAAGATACATTTTCCAGTGCGTATCATGGCACCAGTGCCACTCTCTGGAATGATTTAGTATGTCAGTTGTTCTCGGGTTTAGATTAGCTGAACATTTTAAAGGAGTTAGTAGTTAATGAGATCTTTGTATATAGTTGCAAAATGTTCTGATGCATGTTGCGTTTAGATTACGTTGTAAAATGTTGATCTTTGGTCTGGGTTTATGGGCCAGTGTAATACAGGTATTTTGAAGGATTTGGCTACTAGGCCGCTAGTTTGAAACTGACCTGCCAGCCATTGGTAATTTTTAAATGTGGTAATGCAGTGAGATTGAGTAAATGCTTTCTGATATAAACATAGTTGTGTACTCTTTTAGTGTATTTAGTGTGGGGATTTTGTTCTCCCCATAAATGCAAAATGTATAAAGACCTACATTAGTCAAGTAATTAAAGCTTTTTTTTTTTTTTTTTTGTAGATTTGTAGCATTAGACTAATAGTTATGGGTTTAATGTAACCATAACCTTTCATTTTCCGATTGGTGTCTAAATGTTAGTTTCTCCAGTGAATAGAAACCACTGTATCCACCCCCAGCATAATACTGTGGAATATCTTTAAATTGGTGCTGTTCTAAAGCCTTTAATGACATGCAGTGCCTTTACCGGTTATAAGTGTTTCTGGGGTACTTGTGCTACATGCAAGATAAGGGCTGAGCAACTGCAGTTTTTCTTGTCGCAGTTCCACAAGCATTTATAGGTTGTAAACTTTTTTTTTATTTTTTTTTTATTTAACAAGCTAGAAATCTAGTTTGGATGGGTGCTCTAACCTGCTAGAAGAAAATCTAAGCAGTTCTGAAACTGTACTCTTGGTATTACTGGTTACTACCCATTGGATGCCAGCAATGTGTTTATAGGATTGCACCAAAGCTGGTGTTTTTCCATAGACTTGCTCATTGCTGAGAGCCTGTGTATACTGTGCAAAAGGGGCTAGAAAATTTTAGTTGGCTGTCATCTGCCCCCCTTGTTTTTTAAAGTGTGGTAAATCCATCCTGGAGTGAACATATACTAATCAGCTATGTTAATCATAGATATATAGCGTGCGTGTATGTATATGTATATGTGTGTGTGTGTGTGTGTGTGTATATATGTGTGTATGTATGTATATGTATGTATATGTGTGTGTGTGTGTGTATATATATGTGTGTGTGTGTGTGTATATATATGTGTGTGTATGTATGTATGTATGTATGTATGTATATATATATATATATATATATATATATATATATATATAATTTTTTTTTAAAGGTTTTCTTCAATGTATTCCTGAGACGTCTAAACTAGAAATTGGATTAACATTTAACCTGTCTTACAGATAAAATCCCTAGAACTTACTTTAGGAGCTTCTTACCATCTCCCATTATGCCAGGGTGACTATGATCGGAGGTCCATGGGTGTTGTGCTACTGTAGCGGTCTAAGTGTACAGGCCCAAGGGTCATTTATGGCTCACTAAATAGTCTGATATGGCCCAGTGCCACACATCCTAAAATCAGTCCTCTGCATACCTCTGTTCTGGGTAGGAGGGGGGTGTACACTTTAATCCCATCAAGCGTTGTGATTGTCTAGTCCTAGGTTAAATTGGTTTTGGGCAGAAGAAAATTGGCAGTATTTTGCGCTCATATTCTTTAATGTTAAATTCTGCTTGAATTGCTTACTGAGCTATGATCTTGATATAATATAAATATTTTGGTATTGGGTGTGTCTTGTTTGTGACACACCCAATACTAATTACTATTATTTTTTTTAAGACCAAAATGTATGTGCATGGTATTGGCTCAGCTTTGCATTTTTCAGTGAACTATTATAGCTACAATGATACAATTAAGGCTAAATTTATACATGTCACAAAATTCACTTTCTGCTTTACCAATGTATCAGTCTTCTCAAAAATCATAACAAAGCAGTATGAGAGTCTTCCTGTTAAACTTCTATCCTGTTTCCTGAATAGTAGCTCCATTCGCTGCTAAAATCCACCAAGCAGCCTGTGGCGCATATATTTCAAAGCAGATGGCAGCAGGGAGAAGGACAAAAAGCCATCTGTACAGAAACTGCAGCCTTGACCCTTTCAGTGCCATGAGGTTGAGCAGCACATGGCTTTCTAATGTGTTGCCTCCCCCACCATCTCGCTTTTTAAAAGGGTTAAAATGACTGCTTAACAAATTAAAAACCAGACTAGTTGTTTCGTGCTTAATTCATATACTGGAGCCCTCGGTGTCTCTTCCCCCTCCCCCACATTCTTATAAAATTGTAGTAATGAAGGTCTAATTTATTTATTAATATAACTTTTTTTTTGTTTTTTAATTTGAGGAAAAGGGCTACAGAGCTGGTAAAAACAAGTCTTTTAACTTTGCGAAAGTACTAGGATAAGTGGTTTTTCTCCAGACTTCTTATGGTGTGTGTTATGTTTGATGAAAATGGTGGTTAATTGTCAATGGTGGCACAGGTGGCATTTGGCTACTATTACCATGATCTACAGCCATAAAAGTGGCTGCTTGAGCACCCTGGGAAACGTAGTACACTAGTGTCCAGCCATCACTGTCTTAGAATTCTGCCTAAATGTTTAGTGGTGAGGAATTTAATTTCTCTAGTATTTGTATTGATCTTGTTTTCTTATGCTGGATAAATCAGCAGCTCAGAGGATTGATCTTTCTCACAGTTTTGCTTGGTTTTTAATAAATACATAGTATAAGTATGTGTGTATATATATGTGTGTATATATATGTGTGTATATATATGTGTGTGTGTATATATATATATATATATATATATAATTTATTTATTTTTTTTTTTTCTTCTCCCTGAGAAAGATATTGTTTAAGATGTGATTAATTAATTATCTCGTTTAGTGCACAGTTGTTTATGGCACCTGCCAACTGTCTATAAACTCCAACTCTCTCCAGTTTTGTTAATGAATGGAGCATCCTAGGTGGCTGGCCTTGCAGAGCGGGAAATCCTGACAGCTGTCTGGGTCATACAGAGACTCCACACATGAAATGAATAGGATGTCATCTAAACATGCAAGATGTTGTAAACCTTCCCCTCTCTGCTTGGGGATCTAAGTCTGACTTGCAGGAAAAACTTGACACATGCCATTTCTGCCCTGCAGCAGCTTCGAATGGATTGTGCCTTAACCCATTGAGGACCAATAATGTGTGACTTTTGTGGGATAAAGAACTTGTTTACAAGAAGGGCTAACTCTGGCACCCCAGGTGTTTTTAAACAATTTTCATAATCTGCAAACTGTGTGGCTCTTTTATTTATTTTTAATATATAGATGGAGTGTTAACCCATTTTTATTTTATATTTAAAAACGTCCCTTTCCCTGCCCCCCCCCCCCCCACTTCACACACTAAGTGGTGAACCCCTGGCTTTGTATTGCAACCTTTAGGCAAAGGAAACATTAATAGGGTGAGGGGGGCTATAATGTTCATTTAAAAATGCATAGTATGGCAAGATCATGAGCCATACTAATTAAAATAAATGCAGCATAGCTAGGTTGGTGCACTTGGCTACAGCTGATTTTGGCGGTTTTGGCTGTCAGTCTGGAGATTTGTAAAGCTGGGTACATCCACACCATCTAGTTGGACAATGGTAAAGCATCAAGCGGGCTACTTTCATCTTCATCTTTTTGCTTCTGTCTTAGTGGACAACCCTGTTAATTTTGTTAACTTGTTTTTAAGGTGAGGGCAGTTAAAGTATTTAGGGCTTTTTTTTTTTTTTTCTGTCGGTCTATTTTAACATTAAACTAGAAATTCACTTGTAATTTTTGCATTGGTGAAAAACTCTGCAAGACTAAACTTTTCCAGTTATCTGTAACTTTGGTGTTAACCATGTATCTGCAAGAGTTCCATTTAAAGACTGATATATTTGTGTGTGTGTGTGTGTGTATACTGCATTATAAAATTATTTATTATATAGAGTGCTTTTGATATGTCATCAGTTTTTGGGAAACATATAGCCCAAGCATATATACCTTGTAATTGCATGTGTGGCATCCTAAATGCCACAGACGATCACAGATAGGACTATGATGGGTTCAGGTTACTGTCAGGGAAATGGGTGTTTACTTGTTACACTAATGCCTCTACTTGAAACTGTGCCTCTGATCAATGGACTACCTATATAATGTTACTGAGAGCACTATAAGAAAGATCCTTATTGTGTGGACAAATCGTATATGTCATACTTGGTGGAGGTGATTGTGATTGGTGCTGTGGGTTTTTTTTTTTTCTTCCATTAAAGATAAATATGTAAATAACCATACATTTAACAAAAAAATATTACAAAACGTTTAGATACATTTTTATTGAAATTTTTTAAAATTATACATACAATTATACAAACATTGTTACGATTAAGTAACAAGCTTTTTATATACATACAATACATTACAAAAACGAAATACATTATTGTTTCGTATATTACTCGTTTAGGAAGGGTATAAATAAGTTTAACCATTTAGTAAAGTGAGGAAGTTATTAGACTATCTCCTTATGAACAGTGGATTAATATAAGTTGGTTTTTGTACTGGGAGATATCTGGAGTTGATATTTATTTCCATGATCTTGGATTTACTATTTTCGCAGACATAAGAGAATGTAAGGTCAGTATTTGATTTTGGGGTGTTTACCCCAATTTAGGTGGAGCAGGCCTATTTCTGGAGATTTCTTTAGATTAATATTGAAGAGAGACACGATAAGATATATCGAATCCCAAAAGGTAATTTATTTTTGGGCAATTCCACCAAATATGTAACATAGTTCCTTCCTGAGCTAGACATCTCCAACAAAGTGGATAGTTAGACAAAGATATATTGGCCAGCCTGGTTGGAACAAAGTACCATCTATGAAGTACTTTGAAGAATGTTTTGATAATATTAAGGCAGTTTATATGCTTTTTTTAAGTACTCTCAAGGGGAACACCATTCCTTGTCTCAGATTTTATGGTTAAAATCTTTTTCCAACAGTTTTTTTAGCTGAAGGTTGTATATTTGAATATGATTGTCTAATTAAATCGATAGTGATAGAGCTTAACTGATTAAGAATTTTTTTTTTTTTATTCTTATCTCCTTCAGTTTTTAAAAGAAATTAATTCAGAAATCCTCTAACTCTTAAGTAGGTGAATATTTCTTTATCGGAGATGTCAAATTTCAATTTTAAATTAAATGAACACAAATTAGAATTCTGAAGGAGATCTTCGATAATTTCATTATGAGCTCTCCAGGTGCTAATGCATAACTTTTGAGGAGTCGAATGTTTGCTCCTTCGAATTTTTTTTTTAATTGCCATTCTTCTAGATGGGTTACAATGCTTGAATTAAGTTGCATTAAGTGGGAATTGAAATTAGTAAAATCATCCCAGATCAGGAGGGCTAAATCTTTTTCATTTATTCTAAATGATTCTATCCTAAACCAGGTTTGATTTCTTGAATCTGAAATTTATGAATATGGGTAATATTAGCATTATATACATCCTTAATCAAATGGATTGCCATGCCTCCCTGTTTTTTTGTTTTTTTTTGTTTAAAATGTGAGATTTAATTCTTGGAGTTTTTCCTTTCCAAACGTTTAGAGCACCCAAACATACACTAGATGCCCATTGTTTTGTTTATTGCGCTGTACAATGTCTAGGCAAAACTTGTAAGCAAACATCAAATGGGTAAATGGGACCATAAAAATAAGGGGCCTAGTTTAACCTTCTTTCTAGCCTAGAAGAACTGTATAGTTTTACAAAATATAAAAAGGAACAGCTGATTACCATGGTTGTAATCCATACATATACACACTTGGCTTTAATTTGTTTTGTGATCTTTTTAATGTCTACTATATTTGGTTGCAATATCTTTTTTTTTTAAAGTTGTGGTTTGCTATTAATACCAACTCATAGCAGAGTAACTACTTCTGCCCAACCATTGAAAACATTTTGAAGTATAATTTTACATTCAAAGTATTTAGTTAGTTTTGTTAAACTCATAAGGCTATATTGTTTAGCCTTTTTGTTCAACAAGAGTAGAATGTGGCAGGCTGGTTGGCACCACCTCTGGTAGGTACTAAGAAAAGCTGTTAATGGCAAAGACAAAAGTGAGTTTGTCCCTATCAACCAGTAGACCATTTAGATCAGTAACCCCACCCCAAAGATTTGAGGCTTGTTTGCCAAAGATGGTCCCCGATTTCCCCTGAGTCAAGTTTCTTGAGCAGTTTGATTCAATGTTTATTTTTCTTAAATACTTGGTGAGAAGACAAAACTTGATAAAACACCAGAGTGCTTTCAGTGGCGTTATGGAGAAGATATGGCCAAGCAACACAAACTTTTCTTGCTCAATTTGCACATTATGGAGCAATTACCCTGGTAACCAGTTGAATGTTCCTCAGTGTTTAGAAATCTCACCTAAAATGGCACTTTTTTTCACCTTTGATAAATCATCTTGTATATTGCAATTTTTAAAAAATGTGTATGAATTGTCCCTTCTCTCCGACCTATAAATTAATGTCTAATTGTGCTGTTACAGTACTACTTTTAAAATTTTTTGGTACAGACTGTTAGAACACAAATTGTTACTGGCTGTGTGTGTGTGTTACCTCTGTTCTTTCCACGGTTGGCTTGAGACAGGTTGTATTACGGAGTCTGAGTGGATAATACGGTGTATGTGAGCATTTTTGTATTTTTATTAAATCTGATAAACTTTTTTTTTTTGTGTGTATTTTTTTCTTTTCTGCCTATTAAGAACTTGAAGATTTGAAGAGCTTTTTCCAGTAAGAATCTAAAACATCTATGCATTAATGGCAGCTGACTTCTTGAGCCACATCTTTTTATGAAGCCGTTTGTGTTTTGTCTTGGTTTTTTTTTTTAAACTTGATGTATCAATTATAAGGTTTCAGTTAAGAAGAAAAAAAACAGCACTTTGCCAAAAAAAAGTGTAGCATTATATAAACTAATCTTATTTTTTATTCTATGTAACTCTCACAATAAAATGTTTCAAAAATGTATGTTCTGTGGGTTTTTTAATGTTAACTTTTTAAAAAGCCATGCAAGTCCCTCACTTTAAAAAAAAAAAAAATTTTTTTTTGCAGATCTAGGCACTCTATTGTAGTTTGAGCATTAGCACAGGATGTTCTTTAATACTCCAACTACTCTAAAGGGTCCCTTTGTCCCCCTTCCTTTGCTGTCCCACTGGTGGCAAGTAAAGGGTTAAGTAATCCCTTTTCACTTACATGATTTAAAGGGCCAAAGTCCCTCCGTGCTGGGTCAGGTTCCTCCTCTGCCAACATTGGCCAATGGTGGAGGATAATGTGCATTCCCCCCACGCACATTATGCCTTCCCTATAGGAAAGCAATGAATCAATGCTTTCCTATGGGGTTTTAAGAGACCGTAACATCATGCAAAGAGTGAGGACGTCCCGTGTATTTTTGCGGAGTCAAACTCTGTATTCTAATAACAAAATCCTTTTGACTCCAGAGTAAGAAAAGCAAACCTGTAGAACTGTGCAAAAAACATGTAGAACAGTAAAGATGTATTAATCCAGTACATATTTTGCCATGGCTAACCGATTAAAATAATTGTATGAAATGTTTCCATGAATTGGAGGGAAAATACTATCAAAGGCTAGAGACATCCTAATAAAGACTGAAGGAATTGTCTGCTGGCAAACTTGTGGTCCTAATATATTTATGACTCTATCTTGTATATGTATTGCATTTGCCACTGCCCCAGTTCCCTAGTGCTAAAATACTCACCTGTTGGAGTATAGATTTTGCTTGTGTCCAAAATATTATGTATAAAGTTCAGTGTAAGTTAGTGGACTATGAACTTCACGTTGATATCTCTAACTGCTGACACAACTATTTATGTGCATATATGTACAGAATACTACATGGCATTCTAGGATTGGCTTAGCCTGGTCTAGTCAAAACTTGCAGCACAAATTAAAGGGCTTGATTTAAAAAAAACAAAACAAAAAAAAACCTCACACACCATTAAAGGACCACTATAGTGCCCTGAGGGTGCCCCCACCCTCAGGGTCCCCCTCCCGCTGGGCTCTGAGGAGAGGAAAGGGGTTAAAACTTACCTTTCTCCAGCACCGGGCGGGGAGCTCTCCGCCTCCGATCCTCCTCCTCTCCTCCCTTTTGGCTAAATGCGCATGTGCGGCAAGAGCTGCGCGCGCATTCAGCCGGTCTCATTTCCTATGGACGCTTGCGTGTTCTCACTGATTTTTCACAGTGAGAATCACGCAAGCGCCTCTAGTGGCTGTCAATGAGACAGCCACTAGAGGATTTGAGGGCTGGATTAACCCATTTATAAACATAGCAGTTTCTCTGAAACTATGTGTGTTTGTTTTGTTTTTGTTTTTTTTTTTTTTGTGTGTTAAAAAAAAATGGGTTAACCCTAGCTGGACCTGGCACCCAGACCACCTTCATTAAGCTGAAGTGGTCTGGGTCCCTAGAGTGGTCCTTTAAAGACATCCTAGGAAACTTAACCACTACAGTAATTATGGTTCCATCTGACAATCTGTTTAACAGTTTACCATTTATGAATGGGGAACGATTTACTTAGGGCGTCAACTGATTGCTCTAAGCCAATTGGTGACAGTGGCCTGAGACTTCGTCTACAAGATTTTCTGAAACCAGATGTGGATGGAGACAGAAAAATGATACTGCAGGCTATAATGTTAACACCTAAAGGTAAGGACCTCCTAGCAAAATAATTCAATTTTGAGGAAGTTGCTATGGTGCCTGGAGTGTTCTTTAAAGGCAGTAGGGTCCTCAAAAAGGTTTGAGTGCCAGGATTAGTCTATTCATAATGAAGGAGGAGACTATATTAAAAAAAAAAAAGGGGAAAAACTACCACAACAAAGACATATTTTTAAACCTTTGCCCCTCTAATTTAAGACTATCAGGAAGTATTACTTTACTGAGCGGGTAGTGGATGCGTGGAATAGCCTTCCAGCTGAAGTGGTAGAGGTGAAGAAATTTAAGAATGCGTGGCATAGGCATAAGGCTATCCTAGCTATATGAGAAGGCCATGGACTAATGAAAGTATTTAGAAAATTGGGCCAAATGGTTCTTATCTACTGTCACATTCTATGAACTGCTCATGTATAGGATCAAGTGCAGCATGAAAACTACAGTATGTAAACATAGTGTCAACCTGGACTTTGCCATATTTCCATCATCATTGGATAACGGAGCAACTCCATTGAGTTGTAGGCGGAAAATCTTGTCACATAATTACCAGATTTTCTTAATTTTATGATGTAGTGTCATGATTTTATTAAGGAAACGGAGGCTCATATGCTTATCTCTTTCTTTTATTCCTCAGCAGCAAAGAAAGAATACTTAATATTCAAAGAAAAAACATGTACCTAAAGTGTTAACCACAATATAAACCTGTTATCCAGTTGGACCGTTCCTAGCACCATAATGTCCCATGTGACCTTAAGCCACTCCTCTTTCTTCATGATGCCAAGTAATATCTCGGCATAACCGAAAAACTGTACGTCCAACTCGGTGCAGAGAACCAGCACCTCCAGTACGGATCAACACTTGAAATTCCAATTAGGAAACTTGTATGCATCCATTCGACCATGTGTAAACTGATGATGGCTGGTGTGTAAACTAATTACGAGGCTGTTGGAGACGACGAAAAAAAAAAAAGTGATAAAATATGTTCTTGGACATTGAATATATTCACCATGTATAAATAAACCTACATTATGTTCAATGGCACAACGTTAATATCAAATAGACTAACAAACCCAATTTGTGTAAATAAATACATTTACTCTAGGGAGGGTTCAACATACCTGTATCGGATGGGATAATACTTGCCTATGTGTCCGTAATAAAATCATGACTTTACATCATGAAATTGGTAAAAATCTGGTAATTTTATTAAAGGACACGGAAGCTCATATTATGCTGGTTCAAATCTGTTCAACCACCGTAGTGGCCAAATGAGGAACTGGACGAAAATAAAACTCCTGAAAAGTAGACTCCCGGGACCAATCGGCAGCCTGGAGGATATCTTCTAGTCTACATCTTAACGAGAAGGCTTTAGATGCCATAGCGCCTCTAATAGAGTGTGCCCCGTATGTGTCGATATCCGCCAACGGCATGATCCATTTAACCCAACGAGATAAAGTGACTGTAGAAACTGGTAGATGTGGACGTCGTAGTGCTAGAAACAAATCCAAAAATGTGGGGTCACGTACTGAAGAGGTCCTCTCTTTATATTCTTTGAGGCAGGACACTGGGCATAGGTTGATATTATGTGGAAAAGCTGGATAGAAGACTGAGGTTATAGATGTCTTCGTGCGCGTTGAAATGTCAAAGGAAATGCCATTTCAGGTAAAGGAACGTGCCGTATAGTCGAGAGCATGAACATCTGAGACACATTTCCAGGAAATGAAACAAAACAGAACTAGTTTTGCCGTAAGCTGCTTGAGCAGAAGATCTTTATTCTGAGGCCAATTTTCAAAGAGTTGGAAAACCAGGCTCATGTCACATAAGGAGGAATATCTAGGACGTGGTGGGTGTGCAAATCTGATGCCACAAAGGAGTCGACATACCAAGGTATGTTGGCCTGATGGAAATCCGTTCCAACCCAGATGACCCGCTGAAATGGCCGATCTTTTATAGGTTTATTGTATGGTACGTCAGACAGTGTTCAAAGAGCGAAGTGAGGAAACCCAAGACATAATTCACAGAAATGGGATCCATGTATTGTTCCATGCACCAAACATTCCATGAGTTCCAGGCATGGAGATAGGATTTCCTTGATACCGGTGCCCAAGCTCCCGCCAAGAGGTCCAGAGTTGTTCTTGGAACGTTTGGGACAAAGCAGAATCTCCGGAGAGAAGCCATGCCAACAGTCTGAGATGTCCCTGAAGTAGGAGATGCGAGTTCCCCTTGGGGTCCAGTAGGAGATCGGAGAAAACCTGTAAGTAATCTTGGGTAATCCATGGACATTTCCATGAGTGTAGGGAAGCGTGGTTGAGCTGTCCAGAACGGGGTTTATGAGGATCAGGGAGGTTCGATGACGTCTGAGATGTAGTAACGTCTGGGCAATCAGTGAGAATGGTGGGAAAGCGTAATGGCGCCTTTTTTCGGCCATGGCTTTAGGAAGGCATCTGACACCAGGGCTTCTGGATCTGGTCTCCAGCTGAAAAACTTTGTTAATTGGGAGTTCAAGTGAGATGCAAATAGGTTGATGTGCAGAGGGCCCCATAGTGACTGCAAATGGAGGAAGATGGAAGGATCTAACCACCAATTGCTGGCATCCTGTAGATGTCTTGAGTTCCAATCCGCCACTATGTTGGACATCCCCGGAATGTACTCTGCTTGTACCGAGATATTGCAATCTAGGCAGTACTGACAGAATTCCTTTGCCAAGTCTGTCAAGACCTTGTACCCCCAAGATGGTTGATGTAACAGACTGCTGATATATTGTCCAAATGCAATAAGATGGAGCCCACACCCACCAGGCTCTGCAGGGCAAACGAGCCTGCCAGTAATTCAAGGCAATCGATATGCATTCTCTGTTCTTCTATGTACCATTTTCCCCCGGTGGAGGATGGCCCGCAGTGCGCGCCCCAGCCGAGTGTACTTGCATGTGATTCTACTACAAAGTCCGGCGTGGTTACAAAGATTGCTCGCCCGTTCCATGCTTTCATGTGTTGTTACCACCACTGGAGTTCCTCTTTGGCTGTGCAGTCGAGGGGAACAGAGTCTGCATACAAGTGACCCATGCAAAAGGAGTTTGGCTTTTAGGCGTTTAAGTGCTCTGTAATGTAACGGCCAGGAAATATGGCTTGAATCGATGTTGAGAGAAGGCCGATGATTCTGGCCAATTGTTTCAAGGTCAGTACAGGTCGGGCTAGTGTGCAACAAATTTCCTTCTTTTTGGACTTGATCTTGGAGTAGGAGTGCCCCCCACATGGAATCTATGGTGAATCCCAGAAATTCTATGGATTGAGAAGGTTCGAGAA